GCATATTTTCTGGCATTCTATCTGGCAAATCTTCTGACATATATTCTGGCATTCTATCTGACATATATTCTGGCATATATTCTGGCATTCTATCTGGCATTATATCTGACATATATTTTGGCATTCTATCTGACATATATTCCTACATGAGGTCCGGCACGGAACACTTGGCGTGGATACTCGCAGTTGAGGTCCGGCAGGGAACACTTGGCATGGATCCTCGCGGTTGAGGTCCGGCAGGGAACACTGGGCGTGGATGGTCGTGGTTGAGGTCCGGCAGGGAACACTGGGCGGGGATGGTCGTGGTTGAGGTCCGGCAGGGAACACTGGGCGGGGATGGTCGTGGTTGAGGTCCGACAGAGAACACTGTGGATCGCGGGTCGCAGTTGGACGAGGAGGACGACGAGGAGGACGAGGAGGAGAGGAGGAGGAGGACGAGGCAGGAGGCAGGAGGAGGCAGGAGGAGGCAACTGACATAAAATCTAACAACCCTCACCTGGCAGCTGGGGAACCATGGTTTTTACCATTAAATATGGGGCTTTCCTGTAAATTTTCCCTTAAACCAATCCAATGATATTGAATCAATCGTCAAAATTGCTAAAAAGCTCTGGATTTTTTCTCTGCTTGGGACAAAACACATCTGACGGGCCTGAGTAGGGCCTTAAATTGGGAGAATGGAACCATTCCTGGAACCATCCAATCAATGAAGAGATCCCCCATGCGAAGTGCCACCGGCTGTTGCCCGTGCCACAACGGTGAAGTGCCAACCGTAGTTTTCTTCGAAGCCCACAGCACGTGCCAACCACACTAAAGCTGGCATTTAAAGTGGATACTCTCGATATTTGCAAGGTGAATCCACAATAATTCTTCAATATGGCGGGGATTCTTACATAAGCTGGCCGATTTTGGGGAAACTTCCATACCATTCCTAATCTCACAATGTAATGCCCTCTACTTAGCTAAGTTGTTTTACAAGTGGAGGTTTATGAGTTCATCGTTGGAATATATCTGTATTCAAAGTTTAGTTAGCTTATACATATACCAACAAACATAAGTGGAGTTCCGCCTTGTAGGGGACCCCCGGAAAAGACCCTGTTTTTATGTTTAATCACTATATTTCCTGGGCAAATACATATATATATATATACATATATATATATACATATACATATACATATATATATATACATATACATATATATATACATATACATATATATATATATACATATATATATATACATATATATATATGGGCACATTACAGTGTACATTACAGTGTAAACCGTGTAAAGCCTATTTTCCAACACGCCCAAATCTCAACCAAAAAACATGCCCCTTCAAGGTCCTTTGAAGTTTGGGTTTCCTTTGGATTTTCCGAAAATTGGCCCATTGGGACCTTCAGCCCGAGATTTTCGACAAAAATTTCAACACCCAGATTCGATGGTGTGCATCCAGTGCGTGAAGGCTGTGGAACCTGCCTCACGAACGAAACCAGGATGTACCAGGGGGGAAATGAAGATCTCCCGATGTAACATGGAATATAAATTTCCCATATAACATGTATAGTAACATGGTAAATAACATATAGGGTTTAAATCTCCCTCCTGTGAATTTACCTCAGGAACCGATCAACATGGAGATTTTGCTCACAAAGAAAGGAACAGCCGCGCCTTTGGAGTCTGTAGGACCGCCAAAGGCAAGGAGTTGGGGCAGAAAAGCAAGGGAGCCTCGGATGAATTTCATGTGAGTGGCCAACCATTTCCGGACGAGAATTTAAGCGGTTTTTTTGCCGGCAAAAATAAGGTGATGGAACCAGGAACCAAAATTGGGATTTAAGAAAAACTGGAATTCAACCATCCTAATGAGGATATTAACCTACATAAATCGTATGTCTTCTTTGCGTGTTACCAACATCTATAGGGATTTAAAGATTGCCTGCCAATAGATGGGGATAATGTCTATAGGGATTTAAAGATTGCCTGCCAATAGATGGGAATGACGTGACAATATTTTTCCGTCAATGGTGCCCCCAGGATATGTTCGTTGCTTCATTTTACCCGAGAGACTAACTATGGATAATTGTATAATGATAATTCTATCCACCATCAAGCCATCAGTTAATCTATAAGACTCCGTCTTGTGATGGTTTTCTAAAATGGGGGACCCCACACTCATCCAAACTGTTGGTATTTTCGATGGGAACAACCATGGTTTTAGGTTTTTTCAAATTTCATAAATCAGGTCATTGGTGGGACCTGAAAGATCTGAAAGCGACCGACACACCACTCAAGTCACAAGCGTGAGACCACGGACATCCCCAGCTTTTCGGTCAAATCATCCCATCCTAGGATTCAACATGATTCAACAACCCAAGGAAACTCTCAATGGGTGTTTAATATTGGGGGGATTGGATGTGTCAAATCAATGGGATTTGGTTGCTCAAATCCCCACTCCGTTGGCCAGGGCGCCGGGTGTTGCACGTGGCTGTCTGGCGGTCGCTCGTACAGACCTGCCGTAAGACCTCCGGTTCAGCACCCAGCAACGCGGGAGATCCCGAGACCCATACCCTCTGGTCATTTACAAATTTGCTATGGGAAACTCTCAGTTTTAATAGGTTCATCATCGAACTAAATGGGCCATGTTCGATAGCTATGTCAACTTCCAGAGGGTACAGCTTTAACCATCCAAAAAAAAAAACATAAAAATCTAGCGGGAAATGTATGGTTAATTTATTATCAATCAAAATCATGTTTGGTATAGCTGGGTTCACCATCAAAACAGGATTAATCCCCAGGTTTGCGTACGGAGCACCCCATTATCGGTTGCACACACACACACTAGACAAGAATGGATCATTATATGATCCGGCAGGAACTGAATCCTGAAACATGCAGATTAGATACGAAACAATGAAATTAACGATGCATCCTACGAATAATGCAGGTACGTTTACACGGGTCCCGGGGGGGTGTCTTCGGTGGCCACCGACCCCCCCGGGACCCCGGTGGCCCCCTGCATTGAAATTAGAGTTAGAAAGGGAGAGGACAAGGGAAGAAAAAAGAGAGAAGTTTTACATCTATTTAGATGTTACACACACACACCCGGCCGGAGCCGGATCAACCCTGAAAGGCAAGAGGAAGAAAAAAGCGGACACACGACGGGCAGACGGCCAAAACAGCGCAGGGGGGGGAAGGGAACAGACGGACCTCCGGAACCAACCTACACGGCGAAACGGACCTGACAAAAACAGCGCACACACCTAAACCCCACAACACGTTACGGAGAGGCACGCGGGGAAAGATTAGGGACCAATGGGGAACTAGTTGATGCCAGACAAAAAACAAAACAATTAGTTAAAAAACAGGACCCAGTTCCTAGACCTACTGTTCGTGCGATTATTCCCTGCACCGGGACCGTGGTCAAGTCTTGCCCCAATTGGCATAAAACAGCTTTCAAGTTCCATCGAATTAGATGCACAATATGTTGCACCTCACCAGACAACCATCAAAAAGAAGAATACCACACCTGCAAGACGTGTGCCTGCCTGATTCATATGTCATGACATGATGCACTAGCGCTGCAAACGTTGCTGCAAAAAACGGAGGTTTCAGGCTGTTCAGAGCAGTGCCACTTGAAAGAGCGCAGATCACTGGGGCCCCTGGGACAACAGGAACAGCGGGTCATCGTAAAATGGTGCAGAACAGTAAGGCCAACTGTTGCGATTTACTTAGATGAATTACTAAATTAAAATGTGTAAATTCGGCAGTCAAGACAGTCATCACTCACCCTAAAAAGGGTTGCCTCAAATGGCTCCATGGCACCATGTCGGAGCCACCATGGAAATAACACTAGACAAGAATGGATCATTATATGATCCGGCAGGAACTGAATCCTGAAACATGCAGATTAGATACGAAACAATGAAATTAACGATGCATCCTACGAATAATGCAGGTACGTTTACACGGGTCCCGGGGGGGTGTCTTCGGTGGCCACCGACCCCCCCGGGACCCCGGTGGCCCCCTGCATTGAAATTAGAGTTAGAAAAGGAGAGGACAAGGGAAGAAAAAAGAGAGAAGTTTTACATCTATTTAGATGTTACACACACACACATGCATGCATGCACGTACGTACCTACGTATGTACGTATGTACGTATGTACGTATGTACGTATGTACGTATGCATGCATGTATGTATGTATGCATGTATGTATGTATGCATGTATGTATGTATGCATGTATGTACCTATGTATGTACGTATGTACGTATGTACGTATGTACGTATGTACGTACGTACGTATGTACGCATGTACGCATGTACGTATGTACGTATGTACGTATGTACGTATGTACGTATGTACGTATGTACGTATGTACGTATGCATGCATGCATGTATGTATGTATGCATGTATGTATGTATGCATGTATGTACCTATGTATGTACGTATGTACGTATGTACGTACGTACGTATGTATGTATGTATGTAGGTAAGTAGGTATGTATGTATGCATGCACGCATGTATGTATGTATGCATGCATGCATGCATGTGTGTACATTTTTGTATATATATATATATATTATATTTATATGTATATATATGTGTGTGTGAGATGTATAAACCTGTTCAGCATAGATATTTCTTCCATGAACCATAGAATTCACTTGGTGATGTTCACCAACTTAGCTATCGCTTCCGGGCCTCACCTTACTAACCATAATTCCAGTGAGGGAGAACAGTGAGGTCGCTAGACTTGACCCAGATATTATATGATATTACCCCATGATATCCCAAGATATTCTCATTCTACTACCATTTATGTTGCTTAAATCTATGATGTTCCTATGGGTTTCCTATGGTATTCCTATGGTTTTCCTATGGGTTTCCTATGGGTTTCCTAGGTTTCCTATGGGTTTTCTATAGTTTTCCTATGGGTTTCCTATGGTTTTCCTATGGTTTTCCTATGGTTTTCCTATGGTTTTCCTATGGGTTTCCTATGGTTTTCCTATGGGTTTCCTATGGGTTTCCTATGGTTTTCCTCTGGGTTTCCTGTGGTTTTCCCATGGGTTTTCCATGGTAAAGGCTTAAAACCCGGCCATTTTGAGTGACAGTGGTGCCAGCTGGGCTCGCCCATCAATGCACGCGGGGTCTTGTGGGGTAGACCCATCCAGCCTCGGACCGGATAGAAACCCCAGGGCTTTTCGATGACATTCGATAACATAGAATTTCAGCCAGTATGGGGAGACGGGTATGATGGGGCATTTATTTCTGCGTTTATTTCTGCATTTCATGGGAATCCCTATGTGTATATATATATATATATATGTGTGTGTGTGCGTATTGTATGTGTATATGCATATGTATATGTATGCGCATATGTTTATAATTATATGAATGGGATATGCTAACATGGATAGTATATGATCGTATATGTAACCCTATGTCTCCTTACACCAAAATATTATTAATGATGATGATGATCATGATGATCATGATGATGATGATGATGATGACGATGATGATATTTATTTGAGGGCTAGGCTAGACCCTGCGAAATGTCCCAGTTCCTGGATTTCAGTTTGAAAAATGGAGATGTGGGGTATGCATGGGTATGCATCAAAACCAAAATATTACCATGGAAGGGAATGAACATCCATCTGCCCGATATTTCACGATATCTTGATATCTTCCGGGGTAAAGGGCTTTGACCCATCGCCATTTGCCAAATGGAAAGTAAATTGGGATGTGCCATCCGTAAATCAACAGATTTGTTCTGTTTACCCACCATTTCTACATCAAAAATTCCCAGCAGGAAACCATGGGCTTTCCGGGCATCACATCGAAAGAGGGGATCGGATTTCTTCCCTGCTTTTGAACCATTTGGAGGCAATAAAGCTTGGATGATTCTACTCCAAAAGTTCAGATACTGGGGTAAAATGGGCACATTTTTAGAGCTAAAAGAGCTCAAAATGACCTATTTTCCCCCTTGTGGCTAGCACTCACCTACAATATACTGTAATGGGTTGGAGCAATCCTGCTTTGGGAAATGGAAATGTTGATGATTGAGAATAAACTTTGAGTCTTCACGATTCGCTCAAAGAGCGGCCAGAACCCTTGGCAAGCAACTAGAACCTGGGATGCATACATATACATGCATATATATATATATTCACCTGCATATACATATATATATATATACATGGGTTTATATAAATAGTAAAAAATGCTATTATACATATATATATAGGTATGTAGCTATAGATATCGATATAGATATATAGATATATAGATATATAGATATATAGATATATAGATAGATATATATATATGCAGATATAGATACATAGACATATAGATATAGATATATCTGTGATTGTCTATCCATATAAACATATATATATATATATCACCAAAAAAAACACACACAATCCTCCCCGAATGCCGAGGATTGTGTCTTTGGCCGCGCTGCTGAGGCAGAACCTGGAGCCCAGGGAGTATTCATCGCAGCCGTCTTCGTCGCAGAGGCTCTCCCGCAGTTCGGCATGGTCCTCGTAGGGCGTCTTCAGCTGGGGCTCCTGGCGACTTTTCGTATGGCGGAAACCATGGCGACTCGTCCTGGTCCTGGTTGGCATATTTCAAATGATGACTGGTTGGTGGTTAATAATGGTTATTATATGCTTAATATACGATTAATATATATGCTTAATATATGGTTAATATATGCTTAATATATGGTTAATATATGGTTATTATATGCTTAATGATGGTTAATAATAATCTGGTTGGTGGTGCAATGAGCATCTTGAAAAATATGAGTCAATGGGAAGGATGACATCCCATATATTATGGAAAATAAAAAATGTTTGAAACCACCAACCGGATATATATTTACATACATACGCAGAGATTCCCATGAAATGCAGAAATAAATGCAGAAATAAATGCCCCATCATACCCGTCTCCCCACACTGGCTGAAAATCTGATGGTTGAGTGGTAAATCTCCCATTTTCACTGTACCCTTCCAGCTGGTTTTCTCAGTTTCCCAAAGAGGTAATCAACCATGTGGCTGGCTGGAAAATCCCCGATTTAAATGGGGGCTTTGATGGGAATCATCTATAAATGCTAGATTTTCCAGCCAGCCACATTTGGATACATTTGGTGGAATTCCCATCATTTGGGGATGGTGAGATTAAGCCCCATGTTGGTCAAAATCCATTTTTTGTTGCTTAAATCCATTGAAGTCCCATCTTAGGTCACCACAATCCCATTATGTTCACGGTGAAATTCACCCAACTCCCCAGTTTTCGAAAGAGATTTTGCCACCATTCAAGGCATATAACAATAATCCCCCGAAATCAAGCCCATCTATTGGCACAGCATCTCCAATGTCTTTGATATTTATGACGTATGGGAATTTAAGAGTTTGCTATGGAAGCAACTGGCCCATTAAAAATGGAGTCCGATGATTTCACTTATCAGATGGTAGCCCAGCAAAATGTTCCCGTGAACCAACCCATTGAAATATCAGTTCCTCCCAGGGTCCCATGTCGCTACTGTCATAGTAAATGAGTACAATACCCGGCCTGGTAAACGTAGCCACATAACGAACTGGTTTAAGATCCACCACTTTCTAGCTGGGAAAACTCACGATTTCGACTGGGCGATGGCTTCAATAGCTATGTAACAAACTACCAGGGGGTATATCCCATTAATATCCCATTTATAGATGGTTTACCTATTAAAAATGACCATTTTCAATAGCTTTTTGTATGTTTACCAGGCCGGGTATCCCAAATGTTCCCAGTGGGATATGAAGCGGCAATGTACCAATGATCCCTGAGATCGCCCGTGGATTTCTGTGAAGTGTTGATCAAACCCCCGTCTTGGTGAAGTTCCTAAATGTTGGCAAAATGAATGGGATATACCCTCTGGTACTTTATAGCGATTTAATGGGATTTTATAGTGATTAAATGGGATTTTATAGTGATTTAATGGGATTGTATAGTGATTCAATGGGATTTTATAGTGATTTAATGGGATTTTATAGTGATTTAATGGGAAATTAATGGGATATACCCTCTGGTAATTTGTTACATAGCTATTGAAAATTGCCATTGAAATAGTGGATTTTCCCAGCTAGAAAATGGTGATGTTCCATAGGTATGTAAACGTTTACCAGAGGGTACCTATTTCCGTATTATCAATGGGAATTTCAGGATCCTAAAATCGAGGTACGTTAGTACCATATAAGACCATTTTTTGTGGGGATCTTCCCTTAGGCCTCAAGAATAGGCCTTATATATGGTAGGTACCTCCAATTTAGGTTCCTGAAATGGCCATTGATATTAGCTTGTAGGCTTTATCAGCTATACCAACCCACAAACACATAAGATTGTCACAAATTCCCTCGATTCTTGTTGCTTGTATTGTGTCATCTCCACATTTTCTTCTCATGTTGCACCATGTATTCTGGCCGAATTATAGTAATTCACTCACCTAAAAATCGCTGAAAAACTGCCATTCCGGGATCATTCCCCCAATCCAATTTCCATCATTGCGGCGACGTCCCAGTGAAGTCATTCTTATCTGGTTGGTGGTAGGCCTACCCCTCTGAAAAATGATGGAGTTCGTCAGTTGGGATGATGACATTCCCAATATGATGGGAAAAATAAAAGCCATGTTTGAAACCACCAACCAGTTATTCATCCTTATAACTAAATCCGTTGGTTTGGCCTCGTCCCATGGACGTCATGAATCCTAAAATTCATATACATGAACATTCAAGTTTTAGTTCGAAGTAATAATACGCCACTTCTTACTGTTGATCATATTTTCATATGGGCTTCAAATATTTCAAATCTCCATTGAATTACGGTGATAATCAATATGTCAACTGATTGATTAATGGTATTAATGATATTTTAATGATATGTTAATATATTTCAATTAATTATATTTGGATTAATTTGGATTAATATCATATCAAATATAATTTGGATTAATGATATTTTAATATAACTTCAACTGCCCCAAAAAATCCCACGGTTTTTTCTCGCCCAGGCACCACTTGACACCACTTCCGTGCCCACTTGGCCGCCGTCGGCGTCAGCCCCTCGGCTCCGACGAGGTCCCACAAGGCGACGGACAAAAAGGCGACGCGCCATGGCGATGAGGGCATGGCACCATTTGGTAAGAGGAGTGTGGGATAAAAATGGTGAAAATGATAATATACCAATAGCTATGGCTTTTCCTATGGTTTTTTCGATATAAACCATGGTGATTAACCATCCTTACTTATTTTATGTTGATTAACCAGAGGGTATGGGTAAATCCACTACAATGTGGTGCCCCCCAGTTATAAGTTGGTTTATAAACCCCATGAAAACTATAGTTATATCTACCATAAACCATAGTTATGGGAGTTATAAACCAACTTCGCTAACTATGGGGCACCACCTTGTAGGAATGTGTGTTCTTATTTTTTGTAGATATGAAATGAATATGCATTGAATATGTGTGTTATATTCTTTTATTAGATATGTCAATGTATATTATGATGTGTTGATTTTCAGAGGGAGAACTAGTCTGGGGATGATTGAGACAACCCTGGACTGGACTAGTAAACCCCGAACGCCTGTCTAATTAAGTATCAGATGATCACTATTTGGAGGCTACCCCTATAACTAATATTATTTAATAAACCATGGTTTAGTAATCCGGGGTTGACATTAATATATTTGAATATGAATATGATAAAATGGGATGATGAATATTAGGAGCTTATCCAGTGAATGATGAATATAGTGATGTCACAGCAGAATTTAGGGGATACCCTCTGGTAAACATACAAAAAGCTATTGAAGCCATGGCCCAGTCGAAATCGTGGATGTTCCCAGCTAGAAAATGGTGGATCTTTCCATAGCTATGTAACAAATTACCAGAGGGTATATCCCATTAATATCCCATTGAATCACTATAAAATCCCATTAAATCACTATAGAATTTAGGGGATACCTCAAGTTATACATCATTTTAGGTTCATCACTTGGTCATTTGGGATGGTCATTTGGGGATAAAAATCCCCCTCCTTTTTTGCACCTCTCTGTGGGGACGGTGAAGCCGTTGGCACCACCACCACATCCAGTAACGATGGCGTTTTAAATGGATTAACCCTCTGGTAATTTGTTACATAGCTAATGAAAATGGACCATTTATAGTTGACTTACATAGTAAAAATATGTAAAAATGGTGATTTTTCCATAGTTATGTAAACGTTTACCGGAGGGTAACACCATTATGAAATCTTCCACCATGCACATCCAACCTTTAGAATTGCCATAAGTTGGGGCAGATTTCAGGACCTGCGACTCAGCTGATTGAGCCAACATGACCCCAGTGAAAGCAACGAACCTGCCGGCAGGACCAGGTAATCAATGGTTTGTCCTCATCTCGCACAATTTGTTTGTTTCTTCCTCATGTGTGTCTCCTCGGGCTTTTTCATAGTTGATTTGTTTTGGCTCAAAATGTCAAAACTGGAAATGCCTTAAGATATAGCAACCCCCAAAAGGATTTTCTGAAAAGTATGCAACCAGGATGGCGGTTTCATATCTTTTCCCGGCGTTTACCCGTCGTCCCTTGCTGTTGAAAGTGATGAAAAATCCCTTCCCCCTGAGATTTATCAGCCCCATGTCCTATGGTCAATATGTGGTTTCATCCCCTACATCCACCATGGTTTTGCGGCCCCGGTTCGGAAGTGCGAAGTTTGGTTTACGGTAGAGTGGGTGTATATATATATATCTATCTAACTGGCTAGTCTTGGTTATATAGATAGTAGTCAATAGTAATCAATACTAGCAAATATTAATGAGCTTCATCAACCGGCTCTCGCACCCGGCCCTTATTCAGCGCGCCTGTTTGGGCGCTGAAGAACATGTCCATGGTCCAGTAGAAGTTCATGGGCAACAGAATCTCAGCACGGCACCACCACCCGTCATGGGAGAATTTCCAATAGCTGGATGGTTTATTTAAAAACATCCCATCAAAAGCTGGATGATTTTTCGGGGCAACCCCATTTTAGGAAACCTCTTTTTGCGGAAATTGTCGTGCTTTGTTGTCAGAGTGCATCTCTATTGCTTTTCCGAGAATGATCTAGAAATGGTGAAAAATGGTGCTGCCACATGAAAACGCCAATTTGATGGCGATCTTGGATGCACGTCCCAAGAAAAGCACATGGTTTTTTTTTCCCAGCCATCTGTAACAGGTGATATTCCGAAATGTTTAATGGATTGTGCCGATTGTCGTTACCCACGAAGTGATACATCCAAGGCATGGCGGCATGGCGTTGCCAAAAGTCCGTGTGAGTTCGGGTCTACAGCTGGAGTTTACGAGGTCGTGCCCCATAGTTAGCTAAGTTGGTTACTAACTAAATTGACAATGGTTTATCGTGGTTTATCTCAGAATATCTCAGATTTATCTCTAGACAATGGAGGTTCTCTTAGCCAAACTATCTTGGGGTGTATCACAATACGTTCAAAGCTGTGCATCTTCGTTTGCATAGCGGAGGAGGGAGAAAAAGAAACGACAACATCTTCTTACTGGTGCTTAGCAGGGAATGAGGGAATGATCCATCATCACTAGTAATAATCACCCCATTCCCATCCATTCCCTATTAAGCACCAGTAAGTCTTTGATCCTTCATGTTACCCTCTGGTAAACATACAAAAAGCTATTGAACATAGCCCAGTCGAAATAGTGAGTTGTCCCATTAAAACATAGTGATTTAAACCATATTTATGTGGCTACGTTTACCAGTGATTTGTAGCCTCCAATGAAAAAACATCGCTGGAAAATCCCCGGATTTCCAAAAAATCCAAGCTATAAATGGGATTTTAGTGGGTGATTTTATAGGTGATTTTATGGGTGTTTAGTAGGGATCAGCTAGAAAAATCCCAAAAAAAAATCCAGCCATAAACCTCCATGGCTAGGCCACGGGAATGGTCCAGCTAACCTTGCCGAGATTCCCCCACCAACTCCGAGCTTGGAATCTCCCAGCTCACCATCACCTTTCGCGACAAAACTGCCAAGAGAACCAACCATTTTGAAAGGGGAATTCAGGAGAAAAATGCTGGAGTCGATAGTGATTTTAGATGATTTTAGTGGGTGTTGAGGGGAAAGTGCTGCAGTTGATGGTGATTTTATGGCTTTCTTGGGATCTTCGATGGAATCTGTCGGATATGAATGGGGTATACTGGAATATTGGATTATGCCCTCTGATAAATCAAGAGTTCGCCACGGAAAATCGCCATTCTTAAATAGGTAAATCATCAAACTTCATAGGCCATGTTCTATAGCTATTTGAATTTAATGGAGGGTACCCTCCCTAACTAGGCTAAACAGGACACATGGATGCGCATCCCGGTCTCCACTGGATCGTCCCCAAATGTTGATTCGAATCGCGGGTGGATGTACGGGAAAAATCCACTAAAGACTGAAGCAAACTCAGGGGGTACCCTCTAGTAAACTAACATAGCTATTGAAAATGGCCATTGAAATAGTGGATTTTCCCATTGAAAATTGTGATGTTCCATAGTTATGTTAGTTTACTAGAGGGTAAGTGGTGAAAATCAGCCTGTATGAGGCCAGAAATTGTGGATGCACATCCACTGGGAACCCCATTTTTGTGCCCCAAATATCACCAATCTCTCGGGTATTCACAGCGCATGATGCTGCCCCATTCATGGCCTGCCTGGATACGCTGCTTTTCTTTGATGGCTGGTTACGGCTGGTTAGTCCCCACACCCGAAACAAAAAGCTTGTCCAGCAAAACACTAGCAGTAGTCAACAACAATCCAGCGAGCTGTTCCCCAGTTCATCTCCCGCATCAATATCCATTCTTCAATCTATGTCTGTTCGTTTACATCCCTATTTAAGTTACGTTTGGGCCACAAGGAACCGCCCAAAAATCCCAAACTCCAGCGCACTGGAATGGAGATCGCATCGAAGACCACGAAGAGCAACGCGATCAGAGACCAGACCCTGGGAACGTCGCGATAAACTGTCGCGATGACGGGCCTTCAGGCCCTGAAAAATGGGGACTAAACCCACTATTCATGGGATATGATATATATATATATATATATTATATATATATATATAGTATTATATTATATATATATATCTATATATATATATATGATATTATATATATATATCTCTCTCTCTGTGTATATGTATATGTGTATAAGGATACATTTGCATGCATGTATATCTGTATGCTGTATGTATATCTGCATAACATTCTGTAACCAACAAACATGTTTTTTTCAGGACTTCGTCGTTCCCCAACATGAGACGGACGGCACGCTTGACCCATAGGACTTTGCATTCTCAAAATATTTGACCTAGGACTTGATCAGAATCATGGCAAAAAGGGGCAAGAATTCAGATCAGTTATATCCAACTAACTAATAAATTATGATGTTCCAATGGTTGTTTGACCATAATGTTTCCTAAACCATTCAGAATAGGGCTTCTTTTAGCAGCAATAGCAGATGGGGAACGAACCCGGGCGCACAGAGATCAACGCTGCCCGTTGAGAGTTCCCAACTAAGCCTTCAGTTGGATGATGGAGATGATAGTGATTCATGAAAAATATATGAATATGAATAATAATAATAATAAGAAGAATAATAATAATATAGAGGTTGGTGAATGTTGGTGAATTAATATACATAGGATTGACTCTCTCTCTCTTCATATTCTCCCCAAGCCGGGTAGCTCATGCATAAGCCACTGCATTTTCAGCTTCCCATCGGATTGGTTCAAGGGAAATCGAAACCAGAAACCCTGGATTTTCCCACGAAATACGGAGGTTTCTGGTAAATGTTAATGGGTTTCCATGAAATGTTACCATGAAGTATGGAAGCTCATCGGAAACCATGGATTTTCCCATCAATTTGACCTTTTTAGACCAATCCAATGAGCTTCCACATGGCAGTTGAGGGCAGTGTGATGGAGGCAACTTTCTCACGGAATATGTCATTGAGAAAACTCAAAGGTCTCACGGCCCGGAATCACCCCGAACGGAACGACAATTTATGGTGCTTAGGCCCCGGCGGTTCACAGTGCCGTTTGCAGTTTACCAATCAAGCACTGAAAAATGATCTTGATATTATATCAATGGCCATTTCAGGAACCCATTGATTGGAGGTACCGGTTCCATATTTTTGAGGCCTATATAATACCCATTGATTATACGATACAGATATGTGGTAAATCCATGTTCTGATTGGTTCAATCACCATTTTGCCATTGTGTCTCAAAAAAAGAAACAGGGACCCACCGTGCCAGGGTGCAAGCGAAACTCGCTGTGCGGATCTACCACGATGCCTGGTGCCAAGGTCGAAACCAGAGGAAACGGGTGATTTGAGCAACAAAAACCATAGGAAATGTATAGGAAAATGGTGGTTTTATGGGCTGAATTTCTGTTGGCTAAGTTGGTGAACATATCTCCAATTTCACTAGGGTTTATGATGATACACATAGTTCATGGGGGATATAAACCAACTTACAACTGGGAGGGCACCACTTGCTATGGAAATCACTATGCTTGACTAGGTGAATCATCTATAAATGTGCAATTTTCCATCGCAAACTGTTGGTTTACTCGAGGGTAACCAACAGTAACTGAGTAGTCAGAGCATGTCTGGGATGAATTTTATCTTGCTGAATGTGGCATTTACCCTCTGGTTATGACTAACATAGCCATGGAAAGATCCACCCATGCTATTAAGAACGGTAAACCATCTATTTCTATGGACCATGGCTTCCATGGCTATCTTATTATGATGGGGACTGATGATCAAAGATGGAATTTTGGGCATCCACAACACAGAAACCTTATGACCGGATGAGTTCAATATACATATATTACACACACATAAAACTATGTGTCTAATATTCGGTGTGTTATGCATTACAAAAAATATATCATCATATAACAATGACATGATCATATATATAGAGACAGTGACCAATTTCGAATGCTCAAGCTCTGCTTGCAATTGTTGTTCCGTGATCCAAATTGACTACTGGTTGTATCGTGCTACATCACCGGCCACCGCATTTTTCTATATGTTGCAGACACCCGGCTGGGCCGGTGGCAATGGAACCCCATTGGCAGCCAGGAAATCCCCAGAATCTGGGCAAATTATAATGTTTCACTAACCTGAATTAAGGCCATTTGGGGATGATTCCCCTTACTAACCATGATTTCCAGTGAGGTCGTTATAATTTACCCAGCAGAATGATTTCCGGCCGTTTTTTCGACCTAAACATCTCCACCTCGCCACAGGTCCAAGCCACGTTTCACGCCCTTGAGTTCCAGAGTCTTCTGCTGGTCGTCGGGCTGGCGACCGCGGCGCCATTCAGGGGGCTGATCAACCAGATCCCATCTGATAAAAGCCTGGTTGATTAGTTGTGGTTCCCCCTTTAAAAAAAAAAACAATAAAATGGCTACTGCAATGGTACCCTGATAATTTGTTGGTACTATATAATGGTACCATTTCAGTACAAATGATCATAAATGGCTAGTGAAATGGTACCCTCCCAATCAAATAGCCCGGGTAATCCAGGGTTGACATTAGGCCTTCAAAATCAAATCGGAAAACCGCCCACCTTTGGCACGACCGCCAGGTTCAAGTAAGACCTGGGATTTTTCCGCAAATCGACTTCACCGTGGAAATAAGTAACAAAAATGGGGAGAACACATGGGATTTTTTTTCATGAAACTCTTAGTGAGAACTTAGTGATTCTCTGGTTCTTGAGCCACATGTTCAACATGGGGGTGTCACTATACTTGGCAATTTAAAAGAATTAAAAATTACCCAAAAAGTGAGGATCCTAAGAACCAGCACCTCTGTTTTCCGCCATGCGAACTGGGACTTTTTATTTTGGATCCAACACTTTTCGCCGCGAAAAACCTGGACAAATCTTGTGCTCTGCTATTTCAATGGGGAACTTTTGTCTATATTTACTGTACCTGTTTGGGGGTATGGATCCATGAAGCTCCTTGAAAAATGCACCAACATCAACAGAAATGACGGCAGAAGGCTAAGAGTGGCCCCATAACTTAGCCGCTTAGCCAATCAAACCCGAGAACTCTTGACTTCAATCACTTCAATCCCCCAAAAATGTCCAAGCGTAGGAACTTGCTGGGCATGATGCGCGGAAGACTGGCTGATGCCTGGCAGATCAAATCATGGGAAAATCGATCTCCAATCAGAGGAGTCCGCGTATGTTGGACGGTACGAAACCACCCTGGTAGGAAAGCACCCTGCTAACCCTGGAGGAATCTGCACCGTGTTGCCCTTTGTACGGAGGTTGTTGGCTACTCTGGGTTTCCTGCACTTAAAAATCAATGTTCAGTGAAATCACACCTTCGCAAACCAACTGTGATTTTACATGACTTTAAGAAGTACCCTGCAAACCAACCAAAGACCCGTACCATCTGGCTTAAGTACCTTCTGGTAAACTAATATGGTTTTGGAAATCACAATTTTTATATATTTTAGTAGCATAGTCAACTGCAAAAATTCCCATGTTGCACGTGTTCTATGTTAAAATTACCAGGAGAGTACCATAATTCCCTCACCTGAAATCTTTGGTATTGGTCCCTTTGGGCTTGTTCCCCTCACATCGTAAACTCCGTCGTGGCCGTTTCAAGCGCTCCTCGGCTCGCGCGCTCAGCTCTTCCTGGGCTGGGCTCGGTCCCGTTGGAAAAATCATCTACATTCATGATGGGTTTTCCACATCTAATAGGAAAAAACCGGAGGGTACCAGTTTGCCATTGAAAATGGCCCATATTTATATAATTTTATATATATTTATAGTTGATTTTCCATCTCTCTCTCTCTCTCTCGTCGCCATCTCCAAGAGTTTAGCCAAGGGCCAAAGGCGAGCCATTGGCCCAATGCCCAGAACTAATGTGTCAGCCAGCACTTCAGCCAGCGACTTCATGCTATGTTCGTTTACCAAAGGCTGGCTGTCGAGATGCTACCCCCCAAAATCCAAAGGTTCATCATAATTTTACATGCTCCCATGAAAAAAAAATGTTTAGTGTCGCCTTTTGGTGGTTAGTTCATGTAAATTCGTTGCACAAGGTCAAAAGATGGCCCTCTGGTAAACGTTTACATAACTATGGAAAATCACCATTTTTAACGGGTAAATCATGGTAAAGCCACTATAAATGGGCCATGTTCAATAGCTATGTTAGTTTACCAGAGGGTAAATCACCATAAAATCCCATCAAATCCCATGAAATTATCATTTCCCATCATCCATCTGCGCAGTCGGCTCGCTGCAAGCACAACAAGCGTCCCACATGCCATAGAGCGAATAGGCCTTGCGTTGTTCGGTGACTTCCTCCGGATTCTTCCCCATGACATGCCTCGGCGAGGCAACAGAAATGGCGTGGAGAGATGGGAAATTTGCGGTGAAAATGGGGAAAAGAAGGGAAATAAAGAGAACATAGATGAAAATAGAGGGAAACTAGAAGGGAAATAGAAAAGGAGAATAGAGGGAAAATCGGGTTTGAAGATGCTTTCCAAGAACTGCTATTATTGCGAGAGGGTCGGATGATGCATTTTAGAATCTCGAAATTTGAAACCTTGACCCTATTTTTTTCAACGTGAGAACTCCCAACAATGGCATGCACCACCAAGAACCAGAATTCGCCAAAGCACGCAGAATTCGCCTGCTGTTGGACCCAAAACTCCTGGAAGAGAAAGCTTGGAGGCGTTGAATATCAAATCTACGCCACTTAAATTTGTCGATCAAATCCCTGTCTTTTCAGTTGCTGGGTGAAGTGTTTTTTTTTTCATGTTAATTCAATTGGATTGGTTTAAGGGAAAATGGGACAATTTGGATGAAGGGAAAACCGGCTTTTCCGGTCCCAAAAAAAGCATCCCAATGACCCATCAAATGGCGAACTTGACGGTATTTCCCATCCCAATTTATTTCCAAAATTCGGTTTCTGAAAAATCAAAAAAAATGTCCATTTAATGCCCATGAAAACTTCCCTTCAAACTTCGGTTTCTGAAAAAAAAACATCTGGCTGAAGGCTGCACCAATGATTGCTGCATCTGTCCCCGGTTACCGCGAAAGATCTCAAGCGGTCCTTCAAAGAGGCTGGAAGCATCAGATCCGTGGCATCCTGAACCGCCAGCTGAGGGGAATCTTCGTTTGCCGATTCTTTACCCTCTGGTTATGTCAAAATAGTGATTTAATGGAATTTTATAGTGATTCAATGGGATATTAATGGGATATACCCTCTGGTAATGACTGTTACATAGCTATTGAAAATGGCCCAGTCGAAATCGTGAGTTTTCCCATGAAAAATGGTGATTTAAACCATAGTTATGTGACAGTTTACCAGGCCGGGTAACCTGTTGGAGATCTCCAAACTAGTGATTCTTCCAGCCATATGGGCCATATGTGTGGGAATCGCCTTGTTGATAAACCAGCGCTTTATGAATCCTAGGTTGCCGCTTGGCATAGCTCCCTGAAAGACGGGGATAGCTGCTATACCCACAGGTATACCCACAGGTATGGATCCACAGATGGCTAGTCCAAATTGAATCATTATCAACTAAAATGCCCATCAGGTAACCCCAATGCCATACGTAACACTTGAGCGCGGTTTCAGAATAATCCCACCCAATGGTGATTCTTCATAAGGCATGACATTTTTTCAAACTGCTCCTTCACCGGTTGTCATCCCGTAAAAGACCTCCACCCCTCCGCATCTTGCGTCCTTTTCTTCAATGTACGTGGGAGTGTAGCTGGATAACATGTTCTCCACATTCTCCTGTGACATCTCTGCGTGGTGATGCCTTTTTTATATTTGTAGGAAATCAAGCCACAATCAGCCAGTAAGCACGCACACTATTTTCCTTGAGCCATGAAGTAACAGATACATTACAATGGACAACAGACACTACTTTACAGGGAGGTATGGGGAATACCAAATAGTACTCCCGTAAAAACACCCCCCGTTTACCGCAACTGCTTGGCAGTTACGGTAAATAATGTGCCTGTAGTCCGCCGCTGCAAATCGACCTGAGTCAATGTGAAAATGTTCAATGACTAATCCTACGCCGAATGCGAAATGGGCTCGTTTGCAACGGATGTCAAGGTGATGGACGAATGCTCGAATGCAATTTGCATGCTTCTTTTACGCCGGAGTTGGCTCGAGGTTGCACACGGCACGGCCTTGGCTCCCGCCAGGCGTCTTCAAATGGAATGAAGGAACAATACCATTCCTCTATTGTCATCCCAATCGGACACCATGGCATGGAAAAACTGTACAGCCATGAAAGTGCAAATCGATTTGAGTCCTTGCCTTGAACATCCAATTGTATGGCTTGAGAAGTTATGGATGATATTTTAATTCGTTCAAACTGTGCAGAAGTTTGTGCATAGAAGTTCACATGAATGGAATAATGCATAATGTGCGTCAAAGCTTTGGTTTGTTCAATGGGTGCAATGCCTGCCAAGTTTGTCATAGACAGGCATGCCTCCCGGCAAGCAAATTTGAAAAGGAAAGATATGACCTAAGTGTCAATGCGAGTCATCCCATAGTTCAGGTCCAGCGCCAGTACCAGCCTCGCTGTTGATTCCAGTACCACGTGTAGCGATAGCCCTGAACCCAGAAGGAATCTCCTTCAAAGTCACCGTAGGCCACACCTCCCGGTGGGCTTCTGCCTTGCTTGCCCTTCCCCTTCTGCTGTCCCTTCCCTTTGGTCTGTCCTCCACCTTTGTGATGCCCTTTTCCACCACCACCACCCTGGCCGTAAGGACCGCCGCGAGCAGGCTTGCCAAGATTCGGTTCAAACTGCTCGTGATGGGGTCGTTCATGTTCAGGTCGGCTGATGGCTGCACTTGCATGAGGAAGACTGACCTCCCGGTCGTCGCCGGTGGTCTCAGACTCCTTGTGCGTCTGTTGGGAGGCAAAGTTCGACCATTGCAGCTTGCTGAACTCCACCAGTTCTTTCGCGATCTCTTTGGCATCTGAAGCATCAGGCACAAAGTCACGATTGCCCCATCCATAAACAATGGGTAGAGGTCTTTGCCTTGGCTTGATGAACTTCGCCACGTAGACTGCGAATTGGCCAATGTCGAGAAAGACGCCCCGATGCGACACAAACACCTCGGTGTGAAGATCCAAGGGTTGGTCGGGCTCCCGCTCCGACGATGGCACAAAGATCAACTTGGTGGCCATTTCAAGCTTTTCACCAAGAACCTGAGCTTTGGTGCGCTCAATGGTCGGGCTCACGCAGCCAGCCAAACGCTCAATGAAGAGCAAGGCCTCCGGCACCAAGTTTTGATTCGCCGCATTGAACTGAAAGAACGGGTCGCGGACGAGTCGGTCAACAAGGTCTTTGAAGCCCCTTTTCTTGAAAGATCTGACGTAGTTCTTGGCCATGTCTCTCAAGTTGCCATAGGTGCTTCTGGTCCGGATGGCTGTCGAAGAAGATGATGATCCCTTCTCCGGCTGCCTGGCTACTCTGCCTCTTCGCGGGTGGTTGAAGATCACCTTGTCCATGGAGAAGGGCACTCCTCTGGTACGGGCCATCGCCTCCCGGCGGGCAACTTCCGTGGCGATGTTGGCATCGGTCACGGGTTCCATCTGCTGGGAGCAGCGCGGGCATTTCAAATGTCCATCCACCATCAGATATCCACAGATCGGATGGCCACAACGTACCTGAGGCGTGTCTTGGATCTGGTTGTAGGAAATGTCCTTGAATTGCAACTCAAATCCGTGTCGACCTTGCCCTCGACTCCAATTTCCACCACCGGGTCCATTCCGTCCACGACGTTGGAAGCCACAGGCATCCGTGCTTGTCATGGCGGCCATCTTTCCAACGGTGTAGCCGGGCACCAGCTGAGAACCTGATGCCGGCTCACCCTCCCGGGTGGCAGTACTCTTCTCGACTTCAATGTCTTCACGCCTGGAAAAGGGGAGGAGCTTGCCGAACTCAATGCGCTCTTTGATGCCTTCAAAGTTCAACTGGGCATTTTCCATCAACATTTCCATGCGGCTCATGAGAACATCCGTCGGATCAAACTCGGCCTTGGCCTGCTTGAGGACTTCCTGGTAAGTCTTCCGATGGTTGACATAAGCCCTGTTGATAAAGAAAAATTCGCCCGAACGCATATCAAAGGCGTTGATCATCGGCTGGTTCGAGATCCAGTCCGGCGACAGGATGGCCTCGTCAGTCGCGAAAAGTTTGTAGCCCATTTGCATCATGAGCTCCATGTCAAACGCGATGGCGATTGGCCTCCCGGCCCGCGTACCTTGCAACTTTTTCATTTCCGCTTTCCAGGGCGGAGTGGAGTTGAAAAAGTTGTGGGCTCTGCCCGTTTTGTACGGGAATCCGCCAGGGATCAGGCCGTGCTTGATGATGGAATTGAAGGCGGCTTGGTCACAGGTGTGATACACCACTCTGGGGAACTTGTGCCACACAGGCGAGCCTTCCGGCATCGCGGAGAATGCGGGGTGGACCGTTGGGTCGTCGATCTTGGTCTGGTCGAAGTTCTCATCAAAAGTGAACATCGTTTTGATCATGCTTGACATTCCCCCTTGCTCCACGAGAAAGGCCCGATGACCCTGAATGGCCCTGATCCTCACTGGCGTCCACCTGAGCTTTCCGGACGACAAGCCGTTCACCTGGACTCTGAAGCGACGCATCGGAGAGTTGCGCACAACCATCAAAACTTCTTCTTCTCGAAGGTGCGCAAAATCTCCTTGGAGATGCCTCACCAATGCCTTGAAGTCCATTGACAAATCAGTCCTCCGAATCTCAGGTGATGGCCTCCTGTGAAACATTCGATGGCCACGGAGGTAGTCGGACATAGCATGGGAAATTGATCCAAGCCTGCCGTAGTCCACCTTGCGCACAGGAACTCCTGCCATGTTGTCCGGCTCAATCCAAACCAGATCCTGTGCTGAGGCAAATTTCGACGTGTCAAACTGTTCAGCACTTGGCCCATGTCCCTCATCCACAACCTTCAATCTCTTTGGCATGGCCTTCTTCTTGGGCTTGAGCTTGGACGTCGGGTCAGAAGGCGTGGCTCCCGCCGACGCAGCTGCAGTGGTGTCAGTTCGCCATGTCTTTGCAGATGAGGTGCTCTGAGCCATGTCAGTTTTCCACGTCTTTGCCGATGACGAGCTCTGGGCCATCTCCGTCTTCCAGGTCTTCGCTGATGCCGTACTCTGGACCATCTTGTTGCCCTGATCATCAACATCCATGGGCTCCGGGTCCCCCCGTGCATCAGACTTCGAGGCCTGCATAGAAGAGACCTTGTCGATCACGGCCATGTCGTCATCGTCATCATCATCAATCGGCTCTGCCTGCCCCTCCTCAGCGTCGTGGAACTCCTCTTCATCGACAATCTCCACCGAAGCCACCGTCTCGAGGTCGTCAAGGTCCAGCTCCTTTTCCTCTTCATGTACTGGGTCACTGGCCACGACTCCCGGCGGGCGTTTGTCATCCTCAATGAGGTCCCACCCTTTGAAGTCCTCATCTTCATCCTCAGCCGCATAGGTGGCATCTTGCCATTCTTGGTCGTGCTCCTCTGAAAGGCCCTTTCGCCTTGCCAAAATTCGATCATCCATGGTGAGGGCCTGAACTTTGACAGCCTCATCGTCCGAATCAGCGTTGTCATGGTGCATTGGTTCCAATGCCTGGTCCTCTTCAGGGATGTCACGCAACCAGGACTCGACCTCCCGGTCGGCAGAGGCTGTGGCGCTCTCCTCAGCTTGAAGCACCCAGTTGAAAATCTCGACATCTGCATCCAACATGAGCTTCTCAGGATCAGGTCGCTGAGGAAGATCTTTTGGAGAGGATACATTCGAATCGATTTCAAGCTGGTACGCGGCCTTGAGGATGGTGAGGTTCGGGTAGTTCTTCTGCTCCTGGAGATCGTCAATTCTTGGGAGCGTTCTCAAGTGATCGTCGACGCTGATGAGCTTGAGGTAGGCAAGGTGGCAATCAGCGACGGCTTGGAGGAAGTTGGTGACATACTTCCGGTTGATGTCGTCGTCTTCCAAATGCACCTTGTCATATCTCACAGTTCTGGCAAGCATCAAGGTGGTGTCCAAAGTTTGAATACCATGGTCCTCTCGAAGTGCCCTGATGTGGACCCGCATGGTCTCATTGTAGGCTGACGGGAGAGCAAAGATTTCCGCGTCAGCGTTCCCAACGACCACGATGTCCAGGATCCGAGGCTCATCACGTTTGAGCTGGCCCAGTTCGTTGACGGACCGCTCGACTCTTGCCTTTTGCCGCTCACACCAGTTGGCCGTGACCTCCCGGTCGGCAGCAGACTTGTTGTAGGCAGCCCTGTGGATCCAATGGACACCTCTGTAACCCCCTTCGCCAAATACATCATTGCCGGCCCACCCCACGATGACCAACACCGGCAAAACCGGGCGACCATGTGCACGATTGGTGGACTCGATGTCATCGATGGCCTCGGGGATGTACTGCACCATGTGGTTCAAACCTTTGCCCCACAACATTTTTGTGTAAATGCCACGGATGTCTCCCCAGGGCTTCAAAAGATCGCCTCCGGAAAAACACGAAGCCTTCCCTGCTTGGGGGTCAGGTACCAGAGCAAGAGATGAGTCTGATACAATCAGCAGGTCGACCTCGCCTCCCGGCGGGTAGGGGCACATGGCCAAAAACCCATCGGGCGTGTTCTTGTAGACCTCCGCGAGCGTGTCGTATGCCCCTTCAGCATTGCCACCACCCAGCATCGGCTCGACGATATTCGCCAGGGGTAGGCGGCATCCCTCCATCTCTCGCAAGAGCACCTGTGGGTCGTCCCACGTCGCAACCGCAATGGCTGCCTTCAGGGTGTTGACCACACTTTCCCATTGGGTGATGCGCTCGAGGATGGCGGGCCTCCCGGCAACCGCACAGGCCTTGGCCATCTGGATTGCACGAGTCAACATGACGAAGACGGGAGAACAAAAGGGCGCGATGAGTGCACAGCAAGTTAGCTTGAGAGCGGGATGCTGTCGGGTAAGAGCTTTATGTATGGCGTCTGTCATGCGGAAAGTGTATTCCTCCGTTTTCTTGAGTGCAATACCTCTACCTGGAGCATGACGCCTGTTGCATGTGCATTGGAACTTCGACAATGCTTTACCGACTCCAGCATGGTTTGTGGCCACTGTCCAAGGTTTCTTCAAAGGATCATTGTCTTGATTTACCATTCCAAGAGCACATCCATCAAAATGATATGCAATCATCCCATAAAAGTTCAACAGCTTTGCAACTTTGGTCAATTTCCAATATCGACATTTTCGTGGCCACTCGAGTGCAATGTGTACTTCACAGTTCAACATCCGAAGAAACGATTTCAAGGAAATCCAAAGTCGGTCAAACTCTCTGACATGTTTCAACACCTTTTCACGTGCACTGGGGTTTTTCATGTTGATATACGTCCATGGTGTACCCCCCGTGCACGGTAGGCTGATCCATATAAATGGTTTCACATCACCTTTGAAAGAGTTGACGTACTCTGCAATCCTCATTTGGTTTTCGACTTCGTTTAGATCAAATTCTTCAGTGAACTGTAGTACTTCACAACCTTCGGACCACTTTCTGTTGGTTTGGCTGAGTTTGGACTCGGGATGACAGCAAACTTCAACGATCAGTCTCTTGGTATCAGACTTGGCAGCGGGTCCCCCCGTGCTTGGTGTGGCAATGATTGGAGGTGTGATGGCCTCCGACGCCGACGCCAAAGCTTTCGGTGGGGTAATCTTCTTGGTGGGGGTCAATGCAAGAAGTTTGACAGCTAGTTTCCATTTCTCTGCATTAACAAATGGTTTCGTGAGAATGTCTGCAGCTTGGAGCATGCTTGGACCATGGACTAGCTTATACCACCTTCTTTTAAACTGTTCCTCCAGCCAAGATAGATTAACTCGCTGTGTTTTGTCTGTATGCCGGAAAGTGGGTGATTTTCCGTTCTCAAGGATTCTAATGGTGGCCTGATTGTCCTCTACAAAAACACCTTTTATCGACCGTGGGGAAAACATTGAGATCATACATTCTCCCTCTTTCTCACGTCCTACGAACTCGTAGTCGGTGATGGCTTCACGGATTTCGACCGATTCGATGTTGTAGTCGGACTCGTAGGGACCATAGACCCTGAAGAAAGTCTTGCCGGTCCACTCCCCGTTGATCGGGTAGTCAACTTTGACCTTCCAATTGTCCTGCATGAAGTCAACCATTCCGTCCTTTAGCATCACGGTGGTTCGAGCACATCCGATACGCTTAAGGTTAATGGGTGACTTGGACATGTCAACGGGTGTGAACAAATGTGACCTTGGTTTTGTATGGACTCGGACGAGCAATCTTCTACTTCTCATGAATTGCCAATATTCCCCATTGGATTCTTTTTGGGTTTCAATGTCATGCCTTGGCAAACCTCCCGGTATGCTGTCTTTTGGTGCTCTCTCCCCCCCCGCGTTCTGGAGGTATGCCCACAAACCGGAGGAAGGTAGACCGACAGCTCTGAGGGATACGTTTGCACTGACAACTTCACTTTCGGTGCTTGACATTGCAACGGCAGTTTGTTTCTTACTGAATGCTGTGAGTGGGAAGTAGGTATTGGGTCCTACAAGGACTAACAAACAACCACTGGTGGATCGATTGTCGTACTCCCCTGCATGGTCTGCATCAGCAAACAGCCAAAGCCTACATTCACTAACCTTGTCCCCTATGAAAGCCCTTTGCTTGTGATCCAGGGTGGAATTAATGTAACAAATAAGTCTGTGCAGTGCCTTATCGCATTCTGCACTCCATTTTGTCACACGAGCTGCTAGGCCTTGGACGGCGCGCAGCAAATCGAAACGTGCCATCCTGGCTGCAAATAGCACTTTCATAAGGACCCTTGCGGCTATTGGAGCCAATACGCCTTTGGTTTCCTTCTCATCGGCAATGGGCCGTGCAATTCTTTCTTCATGAAATGGTGTGGAAACTTGTTTCAAAGGCTTGGCATCCCTGCCCGCAAGTGAAATGTAACGTTCAACACATGATTTGAGGAAAGGCTCCATATCATATGTAAATGTAGTCACCGGCTTTTGCATGCAGGGTTGGTTCTCAAACAGTTGGTCCATGTAAGAGAAACCTTCCGCTCTAGCTTTCTTTTTGGCTCCGGACTTATCCCTCTTGATGGTGGCCATGGCAGCCTTTGGATCTTTGCATGATGTTGGGAAGAAGTATGTTGTGCCAACCCATGAATCATTGAGACTACCCCCTTTGTTCACGTTGGATCCAATTCCAATAGTATCCCATTGCTCAACTTCACTTCCATGGTTGTTACATGGGATTGCATTCGTGAATCTAAATGGGGCTAGTTGGCATGACTTAACCACTTCTTCATCGGGCAAAAATAGTTTCTTCCTTGGCTGCACGTGGTGTCTCATGTAGACATCGTTGACGGTGTCGAGCTCCCAGAAATCCTGAGTCCTGTGGCACGCGGCGGCGGCAGGCGCGGCCGGGTCGGCCAGTGACTTGTCAAAGACATGAGCATAAGGGTGATCCTCGACCTTGAGCTTTACGTTGTGTTGAGCTACATGGTCGCATCCAAGATATCTATTGACTTCCCCGGGAGTGTCCATGTCAATCTTTGATGCAATCAAACTCCATCCCTTTGACATGTTTTCTTTGGGACCGGACATCTTAAAATCGTCAACATACACGACAAGCAACAATTTGAGCTCTGGATGGAAAAACACCGAAGGCCACCCTTCCGGGTCTGGCATGATAAAGCCCACTAGTTTCAACATGGCTTCACAGTACTGTTCCCAGAGTCCCCCCGAATCGGGGTGACCGTAAAGAGCGATGCGAAGCAATACAACTGGTCTAATGAACTTACCATGCCACTCTTTGGGCCATCGATCGGGTGGCAATTCCACCCATGTCTCCACGCCCTTCCATAAGGCTTGAGTGTAAGCTTGTACTCCATCATTTTGTTGGGTTATGAATCCCGGCTGAGCTCCGTAGGCATCTACTGCTTTGCCAGCTTCCATGGTGGCAGGCGAAGACCCTAATTCCGAGAACAGGGCAACATCGGCACTTTCGTCCTTTACGTTGTTGCCTTGAAATACTGTTCTTCCTTTGAATTTTCGGAGTTTATCTCCTTCGGGTAATTCACTTCCCTTTTCAACGCAAATCTCAAAGACCTTTCCTACATGGACCTTCTTCCCAGTCTTCTTGGCCTTGTCGGCAATGACCTTCCATTCGGCCACTGTCTCATATTGCCAGGCCTTCTTCTTTACCAGTTTGTCCCATTCTACATCTAAGGCTTGCTGGGCTTTGGGATTGGCTCTAATTTCCTTTTTCCCTACTGGCCTAGCCACCAAAGTGTTAACGGCTTTCTCCCCAGATTGGATTCCAAGCCTAATACACTTAACTCGATGCTTTTGAGGGTTCATCTGGCAAACAGGCATAGCTGGGATGAATTCGTAGGATAAACTTTCATCCAATTCATTTGGTGATTCCTTGAGAGTTCCGATCATGGGTACAGCTTTCACTCTTTTGGCGCGTTTCTTTTCCTTTTCTTCCAGGGCTAATTTCCGTTGCTCCTCTGCAATCGATGCTCTTCTTTCTTTCTGAGACATTGCTTGCCAAACAAATGGAGGGATGTCCTTTGGTTTGCTTGAATTTTTGTATTTTCTTGCTTTAAATCCACCTGCGTCATAGAATGAGGGGTCATTAGTCTTGATTCTTTCGAGTTCCCCTGTGATCGGGTTGATTACCTCGACTTCGGTATCAGGTATAGCTCCTCTGATGGGCTCGTCCACACGGTTCCTCAGGTCGATCGGCTCTTTTGAGAATATGGTGACGATCACTTCATGAACCTCAATGTCTTTTTCAAGGTCTTCGACCGGAGGATCAATCTTCAAGTTTTCTTCGTGGACATGCCATGATTCATCATCTTTAATGCATGTTGTCCGAAACGGAAAGTCGGCTGCATCAAAGTCGGGAGATGGACCTATACACTGATTGTCGATGATCCGAACATTCACCTTGCAATTGGCGTATTCGTACCATGCTTCCTTGTGATCAACATGCTTGAAAAATTCCAACCATCCCTGGTGATAAACTGCGGATGCACTGGATTGTTGTACAGGCTGTCCAGCTTCGATGTCAGTTATTGATCTCTTGACTGGGCCTGGCTCCCGCACAGGCTGAGCATCTTGCTCTTCCGGTGGCGGTAATGCATCCTGCTCATCACACAGCTGGTTTGGTTTCAAGCTACCGTCTCGGATGGCATCGGCACGTTTGCGACAGGGAAATTCAATCCTCTCGGGTACTGAAACCTTTAACACCCTCAATACTGCGACGGATTGGTCAAAATCTGCATCATTGATTTGCTTTAGAGAAGCTACTGCAAATTCTTTTCTCCAATGGAAGCCTGGATGGATGACATATCCTAGGAAGATACCAGGTTCAGTGGTCGGTTCGAACTTCATCTGTTTCTTTGGTTTCTTCCGAGGTCCATTCCAATAGTCCACCTTACATCCAAACGGGATAAGTGGTCCTTCGAAGTCTGTCCCAAACCTCAGTTTCCATGGTGTGTCCTTTCCAGTCCCATCTGGTGCCGTGTCATGCATGATGCACCAATGTCTGGCAGCATAAGGCCAATATCCATGGTGTAATCCTGCTTGAAGTAAATTGGCACGCGTTCCTTCCAATGTGGACCGCACGGCTCGTTCGGCAATGGCATTGGATGTCGAAATGTAATCTTTACTGATTTGATGCCTGATCTTCATAGCTCTCATAGCTGCTACAATTTCTGGGGCATTATCACTGTAAAAGATTCCAATTTTCTCCAAGTCATCAACGAAATGTTTCATTGCCAGTGTGGTGTTGGAAGTGTCACGGCGTGCAACGGGGTAAACATATCGAAAATCAGTGGCAACATCCTTAAGTACCATTGCGACCCTATCTCCATCAACACCGGTTTCAGGGTCCGATTTGGCAATAAGATAGTCACCTGTGACATGATCTCCAAACTTCTTTGCATCGACCATGGATGATCCTCCTTTAGAGTAACCGGGTGGCTTGTACATCTTGGCCTTTGTACAGACATCACAGTATGGATTCTTGGGAATATGGGTAAGCATGTGTCGTTTACTCTTAGCTTCAGCCTTGAGTGCGGCCTTACCCCTCTCCCTACGTCTTTCCATTTCCGGGTCACGACGGACTTCATCCCTTGAATCATCAACATCATCAGGCTGGACCTCCCGGTCAGCTGGTGCACTGCCTTCTTCATCGGAGGGCGCATCGGCACCGGGATCGCCTGAGATGTCAGGTACAAGGTCGTCGTCAAACTTTGATGAATTACCTCCTACAACTGCAGGTTCGTCATCTTCATATTCTTCGTCGTAAAGGTCTGGTGACGGGGGAGAATCATCCTCTTCTATGAAGCCTGACTCGGATCCTGATGAACTAGCCATCACTTTAACTCTCTTCATGGGAGAACGATTGTTGCTTGATTTTGCCACTGTGGACACACTTGGTTGATTTGATTTGGAACATAGATATGGGACATAGTCTCTGACCTCAAGTTCAATGACCTTCCCATCAGGTGAAACTAATTTCGGCTTCTCATTCTTGGAGCCCCTCCACACGAAGTCAAATCCATCCTCAACGCACCTGAGTCCAACTGATAAAACAGGAGGTGAACTTTGCACCAGGTACGGTGACACGGTAGCATTCAGCTCTGGGACTTTGACCTTGCCCTGCTTCATGGATGAACTTTCCCCATTTGCAGTGATGAGACGGATTGGATTGTCGGAAAAGTAACCATAATGATCCGGTACATGGTGATCAGTGAGTAAATCTTGTGCACTACCGGTATCAACAATCCAATCGATAGAGGCTTCGAAACATCCATCAACGTACTCCTCGGATTTGGCAGGCATCGCAACTATTTCCTTTGGAATACAGTGATCACAACCAAACATGGTGTCACATTCATAGTTGCATTTGCAGACATAGTTCATTAACGAATTCTTGACTGCTCCTGCCAACATGTTCGCTGACAAACATGCGTCCTCTACGTCTCTTCGGTCAAAATCAAACGGATAGTTGATAGGAAAAGTTTTCTTGTATCTCCTTGAAGCTGGATTGATAGGCTCAAGGTCCCCCTTGGCAATGACTTGATACACATCGTGATTGGTGTCAAATGTCACTGCTGGGCAACTGATCACGTCAATGGGTGGCATAAGGCATGCATTGGATACGGATGCTAACATCGAGGCAATCAGGCAGACGGCTGCAGGGGAAGCTTTGGGAGTGTCAGGCTTGCCTCTATTCCCCTTTGGGGAGCGGCTATTCCTGGGACTCCTTGATCCCTTCTGCTTTGGCGAGCGGTCCCTGCCTTTTCCTGGACTTCTGCTGTTCCTTCGTCTGGATCCTTTCGAGTCATTGGACGAAGGCCTGGCAGGAGTGGCAGCACGAGGAGACTTGGTTTGCTTACCCTCGTGACTAAACCTACAGTCATTGCCTCTGTTGCATCTTCCCTGTTTCCAAAACTTGCATGGCTGCTTCTTCTTGCTCTTATCGTTCTTACCCCTTGATGATGATCGACGGTCGGATGAGGGTCGTGATTGACTTCTGTCTTTCTTTGGTGGAGGCTTTTCATGTTTGAATGGGCAGGCATCATTCGTGCAGGTCCCTTTATTCCACTTGACACAGTATCCTTTTGGAATGTACCCAGTCTTCTCACCCACAGCCGGAGCTGCGCTGGACGACGAGGCACCGAGGGTCCTAGCAACTCGTTCACGATTGGACTCGAGTCGCTCCCTATCCAAGTAGCGGCGAACTGCTGTCACTAGGAAATCGTAGGACTTCTTTTCGGTCCCATCCTCAGCACGATGATATTCCTGCAAGTCGTGTGCTATTGCTTTACTGGTCTTGACTTGGTTAAAGAACAGAGTCTCCAGAATGCTAATCTCAGGAATCTTGGGGATACCAGCCATCACTTGATCCCAATTGCTGATGAATCCGCGTAGGTTGTCACCCTTAAGTTTGACACTGAACAAATCCTGTAGTGAGTAGGTCGCTCCATGCTTGATGTTTGTACTGAAATGTTCATGCATCATAAACAGTACTTGACGGCCCCTCACATAACGATGGTTTGTTGCTTCAGTCTCTTTATAAGTGTCAACCTTTCTTGCGAAATCACCCGTGAGAATATTGGTGAGCGCGGACAGCAACTTGGCATCCAGTGTGGTGAACTTGCCTACGTCACGAAGAGCCCCTATTGTTTGGCCTTCTTTCCAGGTCTCACTTATCCAATCAAATGCTTTATCAGGGTCAGTAGATGCTGACATTACAGCTTCCCTTGTGCGAATCCTCCAATTTCTGTATGACTCCGCATGGGGAAAAGCTGGAACTTTCACAGTGTCGGCTTCTTTGACCTTGTTCTTTTCATGTGACTGGTCCCTGGAACTGCCGAACATGGCTCTCATGCGACGGATGAATCGATGGTCACTATCATCAGAATTGTACCCATCCCCGTCTCCACCATCATCATCACCGTCCCCAGGCCCACCTCCCGGTGGGCGTCGGCTCCCCGGAGGGGGCTTCTTCCCACGATTGTCCTTACCACGTTTGCTGTCGCGATCTGCCTGTGAGTCCCTGTCATCATCTGGAGGGTCAGGTCCTGGTGGCTTTCCACCTGCATCCGATGGTGCAACACTTGTTGGTGGATACGTTGGGGACCTAAGACCGGTTATCTCAGAGACAGGATCCTTATTATCCACTGGTGCATTTCCTTCCGGGTCAAGCATTTCCCATATATCTTGGTTGGGTTCCGCTGGTTTAGACGCACTTGCTGATGCAAATGACGGCAACGGTGCAGAGTACTTGACCTCAGTGGACGGCGGTATTATGGCAGTGGCGGTCTGGACAATTGGAATCGGCATTGGGCCTATTGTGTCAAGGAGTTTACTCATCCTCATGTTCATGGATTCGGTTTGCAACTGTTGGGCCTTTATTTGCTCACTCTGTTGCTTGATGATGGATTCAAGTTGGGACATCTGCATCTTACGATGTTCATCCTGGCGTTCATAGTGATCCCTGAGTGATTGGATTTGTTGTTCCTTCGTTGCATTTGACTGTCTGGCATTTCCGTCTAAAACCCTTTTATATACTTCCCCTTGTTGGGCCAATTCTTCACGAAATTGATTTTCCCGACTCTCTGCGAGCAACATCATCTGTTGCATCCGGGCACTCGCAGCTTGTTCTTCTGCATGGAACCTACCGCTCATTTCGGACATCATCGATTGCACCATGTGTTCAGTGTTGGCTAATGCCTCTCGATGACGTGCTTCGGCAACCTGCTCTACCATCTGTGTAATTGCAGGGTCGTGTGAATTCACGTACACTTCATTGTTTTGTACCTGTCGTAGATTCATGGTGTTATTCACCTCAGTCATCTCATGGTGGTGTACCTCGACAGTGTTGGATTGTACATGATGTGAGCCGGCAGGCATGCCCTCCCGGGATGCGTGAAAGTCATATCCACGGTGTGAAAACCTCTGGGCTCCACTTTGGGGCACAACGGCGCCTGGTGGAAGCGGGACACGGACCTCACGTTTATCACTGCGGGAGCGTTCTGAAGGAGTCTGGGAAGTTGTGTGACTTGGTGCATTGTTTCCAGTTTGGCCATTGTCTGCATCCTCGATCGCCATGGCTTGATGGATCCCGGAATCGCGCGAGCCCTCTGGAGATGGTTTTCCAAAGGGGGCAGACATTTACTTACAAAAGGAAAGTATCTGGCGATACGGCTGATAACCTATATTTGTAGGAAATCAAGCCACAATCAGCCAGTAAGCACGCACACTATTTTCCTTGAGCCATGAAGTAACAGATACATTACAATGGACAACAGACACTACTTTACAGGGAGGTATGGGGAATACCAAATAGTACTCCCGTAAAAACATTTTTTATCAAAGTTGCTCGACATAACCAGCTTAACTTGTGGTATAATACATATACATATATATATATATATATATGGGTAAATTATAATAATTCACTAACCTGAATTAAGGCCCATTTGGGGATGATTTCCCTTATTAACCATGATTCCAGTGAGGTCGCAGTGAGGTCGTTGTAATTTACCCAGATATATATATATATATATATGGTAGCTATAGTTCATTGGAGTCATAGACCCCAACTTACAACTGGCAAAACGCTACGACCATAGCTACGACCTTTCGCATCCCAGCGCCTTGACCCTGCTGGAGCGTTTGCAGATTTCCTGCGCAGGGTAAACACCCTCTGGTCATTAGCTATGGAATAGATGGGGCCCATAGACATAGGCTGATTTACCCTCTGGTAATTTAACATAGCTATGGTTTAAATCACCATGTTTAATGGGAAAATCCACTATTTCTATGGCCATTTTCAATAGCTATTTTGACATAACCAGAGGGTACCTACGAAATTTAGTGTGTTCCATATAGGTATGTTAGTTTACCAGAATCGTCCAGTGTCTATAAATTTGGAATCACCGGAGATGGTTCTTTCGCAAAGGCACTTTTTCACATTTCTTCACTGTCATCTGCCAACTCTCAACATTCGCCTTCCAAATCTTCCAATCATGCTGTCCCATAATCAAACCTTTCCTGGTTGGTGGTATACCTACCCCTCTGAAAAATGATGGACTGAAAGTCAGTTGGGATGATTTTTCCATTCCCAATATGATGGGAAAGTCACTTAAAAAGTCCATGGTTCCAGTCACCACCAACCAGATATCTCATTAACCATTATTAACCACTATTAAACCAGTATTAATCACTATTAACCAAGCCATGTTCCAAGGGTGCTTTGATCCCCCCATCCACCGCTTAACCGAAGCGATGCTGAAACCGATGGCCGGCTTCGCCTCCAGGTCCATCTCGATCTCGCGCACCCCGCGCATGATCGCCTCCATGGCGTCCCGACGACGCCGGCGCCGCGTTGGGCCCCGTTGGGCCCCGTTGGGCGAAACCGCTGCGGAACGACGGCGATGCCGCGGTTCGAAGACAGACCGTTTTGGTGACAACAGCGACAGACGTGAAACATGGATGATTTCAGTATGATGTCTATAAATCTGAAGCGGATATTTTAAGGAAAACATGACTGGGGAGGTGGTATATTGAGTATAATGACAGTGTGATTTTGCAATTCACCTATAAATAGAAAGTGGCGCAATTCCTGATACATTGGGAGTGAAATAATCCCTTAGGAACTTTGGAAATGGACCTGCAAACTTTGATAGTAACATCTCTTGGAAGCAAGACCTTTTGACAAAATACGGCTGTTTCATGCTGCTCCTTGGCCACAAAGGATCATCTTCCTTGAATAAACATTTTGTTGATTGGGAAACTCCCGATATTTTGGTTGCAACATGTTGGAACATGGTTTTGAGTTTTCAACCAGTGGCAGCTAGTGGGTTGAACTACACCCAGTGGCTGGACGAAAGGCTGGCCCTTTTGGCCATCGAAAATCACCTTCTGGGGTTCACCTTCTGGGGTGGTGGACTCCCCATCAAGGGATATCTCAGGGCCTCAGGGAAGTTCGAATCTAAAAGTTTGGCCAACAACCCACCATCAACCATGACTTAGACCAAACCCACCAGGCCATTTTCCTAACTAATGATGGATGCAGGTGTATAGTTGAAAGTTTAAACTCACAACGGTCTGGGATACCTCCCAATAGATCCCAGTAGTTTCGGCTGAGGTGTCCACGTGTCTGACCTAATTCACATCGGTTTCAACACCCCGAAGGTGAGTTGCTCGGTTTCCTTCTCGAGAACTACACTGCCCCAAGTCCTCACAGCCCCCACAGCCCCACTGGCTGGAGTTTCCGGACGGGCACCAAAGCCTTCTCACAGTTGTCGCAGGGTTTTTCCTCCCAAATCCGCTGGTTTCACCGTTTTGTGCTTTTGTGAAGGGAAACTCATCGAGAAACTGGAGGAAACTGCCCCATCCGGGCCAATGGATCAACAAAAAAAACTACTGACCTGCCCTGAGCCGTGGACGTCTGGCAGGCCGCAATTCTCCACCACTTGGTCCTGGCCCAAAAATGTCAGGCCCTCGTCCCATGGCGAAAAATCCTTTGGGTAACGAGAGATCATCTTGATCCTGCTTAGTTTTGAAGGTAGCCTTTTGTTGATTATCCCCATGATATCCCCATTGTACTCATTCTGTCCCTATCATATCACAATCTGATTGATGCGTGAATCTCAATTTCAGTCAGATAAGTTCCAAGCCTGGATTCATGTACCCCTAGTTGGTTTGATATGGATTAACATACGGGCTAATATATGAATTACATTATATGGAATTATATGGGCCAATGTCGATCAATATGGAGTCATAATTCATATAGGTCTATATGGACTAATGTTGGTAAAACAATAATAAACAATCTCCAATCATCACCATAGATAGGTGGTAGCTTCACCATTCCCAAATGATCTCAGCGGCACCGCTACCCCCAGTCATGGTTGGTTCAATCATTGGGTTTACCACATGATCTCAAAAATAATCATAAATAATAATAATAATAATAATCATCATCATCATCATCATGATATATCCATGTACTGTGTAGTCCGTATCTCTGTGTGTGCGTGTTCATATATAGTCCAGATATTTGTCATTCCCTGGCCCCGTCCCTGCCTGGCCCACGAACAAACACTTGGAGCCGCCCAGGGCGATGTTCGGCATCTCCTGACAAGCGGATTTTGCCGGGCGATTCGTATGCCCCAGTTTCGTTTGGGGATATACATGATATGCCCATATATAATGCTGTTATATATATATTATTATATATTATATAATATATATATATATATCTTATATTTATATATATATAACCAAGAAACATGTGAAATTTCGGGAATTCGAGGTCAATGGCTTCAAGGGACATGTTCGCACGATGTTTTTTTAGGGGAGTTTCAATGAGTTTCGTGATGATTTGCTAAGAGATGGGCATGATTTCGGAGATTCTCTGCTAAGGGCATATAAATCTATATAAATCTACATCTTCGCTGGTGCCCCGGAAAGTGTTATAATCCTATTGGATTGGTTTCAGTGAGATTTTGCAGGAACCCATGGGTTTTTTGTTACATCCCATGGCTCCTTTTCTGGCTCCAAACGTCACCTTTCCCCAGCAAATTTCCCACCTCTAAAGGCACGCGTTGGGTGCCCAGCATCGGCAAAGTGTAGACCGGCATGCAGATGAAGTTTACAGCCACCTTTTGACAAAGGCAAAGGCCAGATCTGAAAATCTGGAGATTTATATTAGGTTAATTAACTAATTTAGTGATTTAATTGACTCGTATGAATTAATTAATTAATGAATTAATCAATCAATCAATCAATCAATTAATTCCAATTAATTAATGAATTAATTCATTAGCTCATCATGCACTAATATGGGCATTGACCGTAGGTTACTGGCCAGTTAATCACTTGATTTCATCGACGATCCGGGCGAGCGATGAGTGGGGGATCTGGAGTTGAATGGGGATGGAATCTGGCTGAGTTATAATTACTCATAATCAATGGGAATTTCAGGATCCTAAATTGGAGGTACCTACCTTATATAAGGCCTATGTAAGGCCTATGTAAGAGAATATCCCCATTGACATGAGTATAGTAATACGCTGACCATTTAAGGATGATTCCCCGCAATCCACCATCATTCCAGTGATGTCACTATATGTCACCATCATCCAGCCAGATCGAACGGTGCTTATCCTCTGGTAAACGTTTACATAACTATGACAAATTACCATGTTTAATTGTTTAATAGGTAAATCAACTATCAATGGGCCATGGCTTCAATAGCTATGTTAGTTTACCAGAGGGTATCACCAGCAATCTTTTTTTTGGGTGTGTCTGAAGGTGGGGCTAATGATTCACCTGTTGATTTGGAGATTTTTGGAATCCCCAAGTAACCAGGTACCCCAAAAGTAATCTCTCATTGGGTTCTCATGTTGGCCAAATAAGTCTATCTTTTGGGGCTCACTTTCTTTGCACCCCTCCTTTTTCAAAATAGATCAACCCGACCTTTGAGTGGTTAACTGGTCCGCAATAAGAACCGCAAGCAGTTGACACGTGTTGGCTCCTTGACCTGGTAGGCGCGCCTACCAAGGTCCCAATCCTCCCCCGACATCCCTTCAGATCTGGCCTGAAACACCGCCACCCAGAATTGCAACACATTCCTGGGCGCAGCTGTCGGCGACCCAGGCCCCCAATGCGACCGTGGGTTTTTTCGGGCCCCGAGACGGCCGGGCCCCCGAACACATCCAGATCGCCATCGTAGCCACGGAAAGCAATTTCCTGGCACTGGACGCTGCCAAGGAGGAAGAAACCCAAGTGGTGAGTATTGGTTCATAGATGTTATAATTTAATAGTGGTTAATAATCACTTCTATTAACCATGATCTTCTCTTTCTGATGTTTCTCCTGTGTCTTAGTCTTGTCCTCTTGCCTTTTCCTTTCTCCTTCCAGCTCTTTCTTTCCCTAACTTCCCTTTCTTGTTTCGCCAACCTGCAGAAGTGGCGGTGGATGAACTGGGCTTCCCAAAAAAGACTGGAGGTAAAACTTAAACTCAATAACAGTTGATGGGATCATATGAGATAATCATGGGATAGTCATGGATGATGGGATAAGTATGGATAACCTTTGTATCCTATCCCCACTTTGGCTTCTTAACTTTGGCCTATGCTTGGGCATGCTATTGGCAGCATGGCCCCCGAAGACTTGCCAGACCGGTCCTTGAAGACCGTCGACACGGCCTGTGGGAGAATGGCCTCGGTTCACCACTGGAAAGCTGCCAGAAATGTCGATTATGCTGCTGCTTCCGATAGTTTGGTGCAATTCTAGTGGTTAACAGTGGTTAACAGTGCTAATCACTGCCATTTATAGCCTCAGCAGTTTGTTGACCTGTGAGTTTCACAGGCACTCAGAGGGTTTCATCCCAGAACCCTGGAGGGGGTGAGAACGGCCCCCAAGTTCAAGGTAAGACCCCCGGCCATGGCGAAGAAAATGTTTGAAACCGGCCAGTTCTCCTCCTGGAATGCGTGGAACAACTGTGAAAGGATGAAAGGGATTGGGCTTCACAAAGGGGATGGCGATGACCATCAAAGATTGCAGGTCTCTGAGGCGAAATAAATAGGTTGCAATAGTGAAAAGGTGAAACTGATACGATTTGTATTGCCCATGGCCACCATGTTCACAGGGTCAACATGCTTGGGCCCCTAGGCCAAAATATTGAGGATTTCGATGTTTTTTGAGATGCGCCATCAGCATATACTTCTGATTTCCCACCAATAATGGATGTCATCCATGTTTCCTATCAGTACAGTATAGGTCATTCCAAAGTAAAACTTGCGATTTCCAGTTTCAGCTGTCCTGGCTATCCCGGCACCGACACCTCCGAGCCCCAACTTTTCCACGAAATTTCACGGTACGGCGTCCTACGGCGTCCTACGGCCCTCACCAAACCGGGAAGGGCCACCTACAGCCTCACCGGCTACCTGGAGCTATCGGTGCTCGATAGTGAAGGCTTACCCCAAAGAGTGATGACATTTGAATTTCTTGCTACATTTGGTACACCTTGGTACCTGGTAAACAATGGTAAACAGCTGGGTGTTGCGGCGAACTCCTGGCTTAACTACTTGACAGCTTGGGCTCCGAGAGGTTTCAGGCCTCTTCGACATGGTCACCATCAGTAGGTCACCACCTGGGATCGCAGGTGAGGTCCCGTGGAGAGCGTTGACATCACAGTTCACTTGGTCACCTCTTGGGTCTATGGGGAACGAATTATAACGACCTAGTCATGGGGTGAAACTAAACCAACAAACATCAAGTTTTAGGGCCTCACCTTGCATGATTTACCATCAACCCTTATTAGGTTCTTAGCGCTTTCTTCAACCCTATTGCTAGAGAGGTACCTTTGCCACGGGCCGACGGGGTAGGAAGGGTAGGTCGTTTGAGAAGCACTGCTTCTAGTGATTAAAATTCAATGGCACCCCCTTGTTGGTTCAATCATTATTTCTTATCTTGTTTGCTTAAGGGGTCCCAAAAAAAATATATATATAGGGCCCCAAAAAATATAGTTATATATATATACACATATGACATATTCCCCGTAGATTCCCCAAATGGCGGATTTCCCATTGGGAAAATAAGCCAAATCATCTTCAGCAAATCCAGGTGATTGGTTCAATCCTCTTCGAAAATCTGCAGCAGCGAGGCTTTGCCCCTGACAAATGGCGACAGTCCACACTTGAATCTCCAATGTCCATGTCAAATCCGAATCCATTCATTCGAAACCCTGTGAAATCATGTGAAATCCAGTCATGCCAGTCATGTTCAATCCTAACAAAAAAAAATCCAGGCCCCAAAGTTCATTAAACATCATGAAACCAATATGAAACCCATCTCTTTTCCACCATTTCTCCCAGCATTTTGCCCCAGTCACCGCTCGGAGGCAGTCGCCGGAGTGGAGCGCCTCAATGGCCTTCAAATTGCCTGAGATCGCCGGGTTCTCGGGGGGAGAACCCCCATCTTTGCCACTGCTCATCGGAAAAATGATTTGGAAGCAACTGTCAATGGATTGGTTTAAGGGAAAATCTTAACCGGAAACCATGGTTTTTACCATCAAATATAGGGGTTTCCGGTTAAAATTTTCCCATCATCCAGTTCTATGAACTGAACATCATCAACATTTTCCGGCCGTTGCTTGTCACGAGGACAATCTGGCTGGTTGGCCCTGGCCTTGGATAACCATGGATAACCCCGTGGTGTGCATGACATCGTGCCCCAAAATGTCAGGCCTAGCGGAAAAATGTTTGGATCACCCCTAAAAAATGGAGCTTCCCCCAGCTTTTCAGACCAAATTTCCGTGAAAGATCACATGTTTTCATGGGTCAATACCTATAGATACCATTTTTAGGGGGATGAACATCCATAAATCCTAGCTACTCTGATGTGAACAGAAGGGGTACAAGGTTTTGACCCATCCCCACATGTTTTCATGAAAAAAGTTCGACCTGAAAAACCACCGGGTCCCATCCGCTGGCCTTCGACGCCTTGAAACCGATGGGTGATGTAGTGGTCCAACTTTAATCTGCCGGCCTCAAGGCGAAGGCGGAAACGAAGCGCCGACGTTTCCGTTGATGGAAGGAACAGTCATGACTTAATTGGCGTTTATATGGAAATTCAATAGGTAAGTGGGATTTAGATGGAATCTATATATATATATAGCTGATTGGGATTTGCATGGGATTAAATATGATCTTACAAAAACAATTGGTATTTACATATTTAAAAATGGTGATAGAATGAGAAACTATATGGGATATACAAAATCAACTATGTGATGTTTCGGTAAACACCGACCAGTTCTTTTCGTGTTCACTATCCCTTCTGAGACACTTGTAGGTTCCTACTCGATCACATGTGGGTCTATATCTTCAGACCCCCAAAAAAGAATACCCTCTTGTAATTTACCAGCTTGCTATGGGAACATCACCTTTTTATAATAGGATAACCATCTAAAATGTGCAATTTCTACCTTAGCTATGTAGCAAACTACCATAGGGTCTCAAAAAAAGTGCTGGTGAGCACTGATGGCTCCAGGGAGAGGGATGGAAGGGGCGCCTTTCCTGGACTCTCCTTCTACACCCGATAGTTCGGTGTTTCGAAATCTCTACATCTATCATCAACCATAGTAAATCTTATCGTTAATATACTTAATTAGGTCATACTTTTTTGTAGACTACATAAAAGTATATGTAATATGTGTATATATCTCTCTCTCTCTCTCTCTCTCTCGCTCTCCATCGCCCCCTCCGAGAGTTTCGAGTTCAGTCACTAAACATTTATATTATATGTATATGCATACATATATACGATTATGCACATACAGAAGTATACATAATTGTATATAACTATCTAGGTAAATTTTTAATACTTCACTCGTCTGAATTAAGGCTATCGGGATGATTTCCCTATACATTTACCATGATTTACCCGGAACTACATTATATTATATACACACAAATATACAAATTATATATAGATATATACATTTATTTATTTATTTATCTATTCATTTATCTATTTATTCACTTATTCATTTATCTATTTATTTATTCAATTATTTATATATATATATGTATATATATTTATTTATTTATTTATATTATAATATATATATATGTGATATTCAGTGTATAGCTACAATCCCACTTTTAAAAACATCCAGCTCCTTCCCACCTCATAGTCATCGATCAAGGGCGGCACCTCAGAGCGTCCTTTGAAGCCACCGAAGGCCTCGTGACGAGTCGGATTGGTGGCCCCTTCCTGCCAAAACGTTGGGAAAACCATGGGAAAACCATGGGAAAACCATGGGAAAACCATGGGAAAATGGTGAGAACTTACAGAAAAAGCTGGGAGAATTGTGATTTATTGGGATTTTTATGGGATATTTGATGATGATTTGAACGGAAAATGGATAGTCTACTCACTTGACAGTTCTCTCTGGAGGGTTGTTTCCAGGGAAACCCCGAAGCCAACATGTGCAATTTGGTTTTGGCATGTTTTCACCAGCGAAGCGAAGAAAAAGGGTCAAAGACGGTCAAAGCAACCAGAATGTGCGGGCTGCTATTGCCCATCTCCAGACATCATTTTTGCATATGTTTGCATTGCCAAGCTTAGACACTCCGCAAAAATAGCTGCTTGGTGTTTGATACTCTGGCAAAAAATTGCACGAGATTGAAGTGTTAAACTGCTCCAGTCACTTTACCCACCAGGTCAAGAGATGGTCTCAGGACCGGCCCCAAGATGATAAATTGAAAATGGAAACCAGCAGAAAATTGGAGACCCACTGTGGATGAGTTTTTGAATATGCGATCTCCAAAGTGTCCAGGTTGCGGGCCCTGAGGGAAACTGGAAAAAGTGGGGAAGATTGCTCTCCTCTTGGGCTGTTTGCCATTTATTTTCGTTGCAGTCATTACATTTCTCATTGCGGTCTCTCCATTGATTGGTTACAACCCCATTTTCGGTGGTTCGATTTTCCTCCGGTCAAACGTGGTGGTCAATATCCCATTTCTCTTGGTTAACACCCCATTCTTCCCTGGCTGAAGCACCATTACCTGGATTTGCTTAAAGGGTCCCGAAAAAACGGGAAAAAAAAACCAGTCATGGTGGATTCACCAACAATCACCTTTAAACAAACCCAGGAAAACTAACATAGCTATGGAATGTCACCATGTTTACGAACGGCAAATCCTAAAACTCAATGGACCATCTATACCATAGTTTAAGACAAACCCATCATCGACACCCCCCAAATCTTGACCCATGATTGTTGGTCAAATACCCCCAGAAAAAACAGGGGTTGGTAACTGTCCCATTTTGGGTATATTGGACATCACCTTATAGTAGCCATGGCATTGACCATATACCTAATGGTTGGGTGATGTTCAATGGGGACATTTAATGACCCATGAGGAAAAAAAAAAGTTATCCCCAATCCTATAGTTCGATGGTTCCCACTCTCCAGTTGGTGAAATCCCGTGAGTTCGAGGCTCGGTGCCGGTCCATTTTCGACCCGTCACCAGCTGGAACGGCCGGGTGCTAATCTCCTGGCGCCGATCGAAAAATTGATGGGTCGTGTTTCAGGTTTTTTTCCTGGAAAACGCTGATGTTGAGGCAGAAAAATGTTGTTTTTTGGTGATTTACTGGGATTTCATGGTGAAATTCGATGATTAGTAAATAAATTGCACTAAATGGTGGTTATATCATTGTTTTTTGATTTGTTTTGAATGGTTTTGTGAAAAATTACATGCTCAGTAAATGTTCGTAATAACCCGTCAATGATATTTATAGTATGGTTTTATAGCTGTAGAACTTCAAATGGAAAACAACAAAAATAATATGACAAAGAATGGCTGGTTGATACGTGGCCAATCTAGATGCCCTGCAAGAAAACTCAATGTCTAGCAGGTGAGCTTACTGTATACCCATCAAAATCTTGCAAATGATAGCTGAAAAAATGTGTATATGTATATATATATATGTCTGTGTGTATGTGTGTGTGTGCGTTTAGAGAAAAACTACGTAAACATACGTCAACTACCCTCCACCAATTGGTTTTTGAGGTCACTCCCGGATTCACAAAGCCCCAGGTTTTTTTTAACTGGGAACGACCATAAATCCTAGCAAAGTCCTAAGGGATCCAACTGGATATGGATGGAGATGGATGGAGACGGTGGATCGAAAATGCCCAAAATCATCAAATCCCCCTCTTTGGTATTCACTGCAGTCACATTTACCCTCTGGTAAACAGCCACATAACTATGGAAAACTATCACCATGTTCTAGCTGGGTAAATCCACGATTTCGACTGGGCCATTTTCCATAGCTATTTTGACACAACCAGAGGGTACAGAAGTCTTCAATCCTTGCTACAAATTACCAGAGGGTATGGTACTGGAAATCCAGCCTTCGATGACTTTCCCACCTACCAAACTCCATGAACCCCGATGCTGCCACAGGGACTTCCCATGTTTCATGACCACATTGGGACTCTCAGTATCCATTACATCGCCCATTTTACCCCCCCTGTTTTCCCCATGATTTCCCATACCCCCCCTTGGCTTCACTAACATAGCTGTGGAAATCACAAGTTTTAATAGGTGTTCCATGTAGCTATGTTAGCTTACAGGGAGGTATCAGCCCACATAAATCCATCTACCCTTCTTGGTAATTTGTTACATGGCTATTGAAAATTGCAATTTATAGTGGATTTTCCCATTAAAAATTGTATTTTCCATAGTCATATTAGTTTACCAGAGGGTAAACATTCTCAACCGGCGGCTTTTTTCAGTGCCCAGCGGTCCTTCCCGGCGCCCGCCACGCCAATGACGCAGCTCTCGCCCCAGCCGCGGTGCGCGCACTCCAGGGCCGCGCGCATGACCTCCACATTCCCAGTGCCTCAGAGGTCGGTCATCCGGGTGACGACCGATTTCGATGGATTTTGATGACCCCAAAACGGTGGTTGTTGAATAAGGGGGATCATGAATAGTTTGTATATCCAATACATTCCAATGGGCTATCTAATGAGTCTCATCCAATTTGACCCACACCGAAGCCTGTCTCGTGGATTGGTTCAAGGGAATTGTCACGTCGAAACAGCCATGGTTTTTTTTCCATCAAATATTAGGGCATCCTGTAAAACAATGGGAAATAATCTTAAATGGTACACCCCCAATGATTTGATGCCGTTTGGGGGTTATTGATGCAGGGTTGACATGGGTTGACATTATCCCTTCAACCTTTTCTCTGAGTGATCCAGGGATTGCGCAAGTGATCGAGGATTGTGGCTCGGTAGCAAGGACACCCTCCACTGTCCTGAGAGTTTGTTTCAGCTACAGTATCACAATTCATAGCTTACACGGGTGGAATCCTATCTATATAAAATATGGTAAGATCTTTAAGATAAGCAGTTGAAGGGCTGGCTCGCTATGATTCATGGGAGTATGTATCGACAATCCCATGCTTTGACATGAAGACTACTGAAATTCTATCAGCGCTTGGGTTGTTTTCAATGGCTCTGGACAGTATAGCGTCCCATTTAATGGCTTCAAATTTTAAACATGTGTTTCGCTAAAAGATTTTACCAACCTTTAAAATCCGCGCTCCACCCCTAAAAATCCGCCAAGCGTCAATCAAAGGTGTAATCCACACCCCACTTGGTCATGCCCACGATCACCTGCCACATCACCCCATGATGTTTCCCCGCAAGCGGAGATTTCACCCCGTTCAAATGGCCCATCTATGGCGTCCGAATTGCCAAACGGATGGGCGGATTGGTGAGAAAATCCCATAGGAAACCATGGTCGTTACCAGGACTTTTAGGGGGTCCTGGAAGTAGGGGGCCCATGAACTTCCAATGTTCTCATCCAATTCGGTGAGATCATCACTTGAATCGTGGACTGACGTGGGACGGGGCAAGTTGATTTTGTACCATCCCCTTCCCCCATGACATCAACAACTCTGCAAAGGCTATGTATCTGTAGAGACGCTCGTAAATACTGGATGTTTTTGGGCTGGGGTGGCCAACGGATCGGCATGTCTGGTGTTCCTGCTCACAATCTCCCCTTTTACAAGGGGCTCACATCCCACCAAATGGATCCAAATGGCGCATGCCGAACAGGAAACCAGGCCGGCTCAGATATTTCAGTTTCAGAAAATATAAAATCCTGCTATTTCACCCTTTCGACATCAAGGATCCGATTGGCCTTTCCCACGAACCTACAGGCTTGTCACTTCATCTCATATTGTACCGCACAGCTGTCACCACCAGATTCTGGATAGCCCCATGCAACAATGGAGCCATTTTCCAGGATCGCAGCAAATGCACCCCCAGAGGCGTAAAGCTGCTGCACACTCTTTAGGTGATCTTGGACTGCAGAGCTGTAGCCACCAGATTCTGGATAGTCCCATGTAAAAACGGAGCCATTTTCCAGGATCGCAGCAAATGCACCACTTGCGGCCTGAAGCTGCTTCACGTTCTTCAGCTGATCTTGGACTGTAGAGCTGTGACCACCAGCTGGTGGATGGCCCCATGTAGCAACGGAGCCGTTTTCCAGCATCGCAGCAAATGCACTTCCTGAGGCGTGAATATACTGCACCCTCTTTAGCTGATCTTGCACGGCTGAGCTATAACCACCAAAACGTGTATCGCCCCAGGTAACAACAGAGCCGTGTTCCAAGATTGCAGCAAATGCTCGATCTGTTGCCCGAACTTGCTTGCACACTCCTCAGCTGATCTTGGACTGCAGAGCTGTCAGCTGTCACCACCAAATGGCCCCAAGTAACAACTCCATCACCCCCACAGTTTCAGTTCTCCCACATTCGCTGTGAGTTGGTCGTCATCTTCAAGCCCTGCAGCCTGGAGAGTTTGCATGGGATCACGCAGGATGCTTGCCTCTGCAGTGACAAGCCTTGAGAAACCATGTCCAAACGGCTTCTGGGCCAGAGTCTTAAGGTCCCCTACTTTGGAGGACTCTGAAATGGAAGCCCCACCTCCCCGCCTCGGCCCCTTTTTTTGATCCCCCAGGCCCCAGGATCCCCAGGATCCACCTGTTGGATGGGCTTGTCATAATCCTTGGGGTTCACGCAATCCTCGGGTCCGGCAGACAAGCGAAAATCCAGCAAGGTCGCAACATCCACAATCATCATCTCCCAAAATATGGTTAAATGATGCCCAAAATGCTTGGTTTTTCGTGGAAATCAATGATCAAAATGGATGACTTAGGGGTACGGGGTACCCCGCTTTTTGGGAAACCTCCATGTAGCTCATCTGAAATCCATTCAGGCGATCTTTGAAATGGGGCATGCCCTGTTTTGACCATGCTGAACCAGATTCTCTGATTCACACTGTCTGCCCATCCCGAGAATATGATAGTCAATTGGAATCAAAGATTTTCAGGTAGGAAGGGAAATCAAAAGTTAATATGAAACCACCAAATCTACATGGACGTGTCTGTAAAACAATTGTCATTTGCTTCCTGCTCCCCCCCCTTTATGGCCGAGTTCGAATAGGTAAGACATGATTTTCTCAAGCAGTCCACATGGCGCGTTGCCCTTCATTTCTGGTGCGCATATAGCTATAATCATAGGCTGGTTCTATCCCAACTTATAGGGGTGAAGTCACAGTTATCCCCTTGGTTCGTTCACCCCAACAATGCTTCATGGCTCCTCCATTATCATCCCATGGTCAAATCCCTTGGTCGAATCCTTCCGAGGCTCTGTAGCACCTAGCTCTTTGGCCATTTCGAATTTCTTGGGGTTCCTCGACTCGTGGTTCGTTTCGGTCTCTGATGATGTGATGGTTGAGACGTACTTGAGCCATCTGCCATGGGATTCGTCATAACAGATATGATATATATATATATGATATATATATATATATACATGTGTGTGTGTGCGCGCGTGCATGTATGTGTATATATATATATTGTGGAGACAAATCCTTAGGTATCAATGGATTGGTGACCATCCCCGAATATGGCAGCGGCTACGTCTACGTCATCGATGTAATCCAACTTTTGACCATGGCCTTCTGAAATGAAAGAATTTCGATGCTATGCATCTTGGTATCCTATGAATCTTTCGGGACTCAACTGCCCGCCCAGTTCAGTGAACCCCCCATTCAGAATAGATGCTTAAGATTTGCCCATTTTGCCCTTCTCATGGGGGGTGAAAGCCCTATCATCGGAGGATGGTCTTGAATTTATGGTTGATGGCTACCTAGGCACATCACCATAGATTTCCTAACTTGGAGGTACTTTAATCTTCTTGCAAGGCTTGATATCTTTGGCGGAAAGTTCATATGCTGGTGTCTGAACCATATGGGGCCCATGTGTTCTTTTTTTTTGAAGATTCGAAGTGCTAGAAGGCCCTCACTTTCAATATGCTACGTGCGGTCAACTTGACTTCCTCTAATTTTTGGCTCATGGGCGTGGCAGCAAAAAAAAATATCGGAAGCCCCCCAGAAGACGATTCGCGGAAATGATCATCATTTGTTGTAGGCTTTTCATCAGTCTGGGCCCATCTTTAACCCTAAAATCTCTCGGATTTCTGGCAGAAAGGGAAGGACCCCCCAAGCGCAAGTTGCCAACAGGCTGCATGTCAATCGCAAAGATGCGAGCGGCACCTCGCATTTTGGCACCTAGCATATTGCCGCGCGGCAGCGTGAGCCGCGCAAAGTTCTTGGAGAAAAAAAAACGATGTGTTGCCCCAGTGCGTCAGCTGAGTTAGTTGTTAATTTCTGTAATCCCATCCCCCGAGATTAAACACATTCAACGCCCCAAAAAACGGTCCCAAATATCTGTGAATCCCCTATTTCACCATGGTTTCTGGGAGATGTTTTAATATAAAGGGGGATTTGGATGAGATAAATCTCGAACTAGTTGATGGCATTTACCAACACACAAATCACTGGGGCACCACCAGATGTAAGAAGTTCACCGAAGTTCACCCGCCAGAACGGTTGAATCTCGGTATGTGAGATTAACCAACCATAATGTGGATATCATGGGGCATAGGGATGTTCCACAAATACCCTCCTATGGATAGGGGATGGTAGGGGCTTTCACCCCCTCTTATTGGGTGTTACAGCTCCATGGTCTCATGTCAACCCTGGTAAAATGAAAAACTTTGAAAAACATATATAGCCATTGATTCCCTAGGCCCTAGGCAGTGGATTTTCCATTAGATCAAATGCCAATCATCTTGGGCAAATCCAGACGTCTTCAGCTATACATCCCATTAAAATCTATCAAAATCTCCATATTTTTCTAGGTGAAAGATGGTGAAATCACCATTTTCCCATGGTTTTCCCATGGTTTTCCCATGGTTTTCCCATGGTTTCCATGGCTGTTCCACCGATTTTGGCGCCTTGGATCACCGAGAGCCCCACGGCGCCCAGTCCGAAGACGGCCACCGAGCTGCCGCCCTCCACGTTCAGCGTGTTCCAGGCAGCGCCCAGACCGGTCCTTTTTTCGACACGACCGCAGAAAACCGAAAAGACGGGGACCTTTCGGGAAAACGAAGACCTTACCCTCTGGTAAACTGTCACATAGCTATGGAAAATCACCATTCTTCATGGGAAAATTCACTATAAATGGTGATTTTCTATAGCTATGTTAAATTACCAGAGGGTAGGAATTCCATGGAGGTTGTGGGATTTCTTTGGATTATTTGGTGACTGTGTTTTTGTTGCTTTGGTGACTGTGTTGCGCTGTTTTTGGGGAAAATGCCCAGGTTTGCTGGCAAATTGTGGTTGGTGACATGCCGTTTACTCTTACAGTAAGCCCCCTTACGAGTCCATATGTTTGATCATTGAAGGCTTGAATCATGTTGAGTCCATATTTTGTTGCTGAAGAAAATCCCCTGTCAAGCCATGCAGATTCTCATATGGGAGTTGAAAGCAAAACAGAGAGGCTTTTGGGACTCGCTTCAGTGGACAATGTGACAATCGCGGTTGTAGTCTTTAGATCACTGCAATTGAAACAGGATCTATCATGTGGTTGGGAAAGTTAATGTTTAGCTCCTTGACTTTGTATTTAATAGGGAAACTCCTACCACCAGATAGGGAGAGACAGAACGGAACTATGTCAAGAGGAGGATCAAGGAAACATGATTTGAGAAGACCCATATACACAGATACACACATATACATCATACATTACATTCCATTCCATTGCATTCCATTGCATTGCATTACATTGCATTACATTACATTGCATTCCATTGCATTGCATTACATTGCATTACATTGCATTCCATTGCATTGCATTACATTGCATTACATTGCATTACATTGCATTGCATTACATTGCATTACATTGCATTGCATTACATTGCAATCATTGCATTACATTGCATTGCATTACATTGCATTACATTGCATTGCATTACATTGCATTACATTGCATTACATTGCACTGCAGTACATTACATTACATACATACACATATATATATATATGATATTATAAATACATATGTGTATATATGTAATTATTATAATTGTATATAATTATATATATATATGTATATATATATATGCGTGTGTGTGTGTGCGCGCACAAGGCTCCACGAAAAAAATGAACGATCGCCAAAAACTATATAAGCACCAAAAATAGCGCTGAGGTGATGTCACCAGCAATTGTCGGGCGTGCGCTAAGCATTCCTCCGAAATTGCCATGAAGAAAACCCCATCCCCCCCAGACAGTACAGGCCCCGGTAAATAAAAGAAGGTTCATGACTAAAGAGCAAGGACAGGGATTGTAAGCAGCACCGGAAATCAAACATGGTTTGATTGAAAATCCCCCATTCGAGATGATATTCTCATTAAAACCTCCATTGTGTGCGGAGATTTCCTAGCCATGCTTGATTTCCGAAGGGTAACCCATTTCAATCCTTTTATCCCATGATATCCTATCCCATACCACCATTTTTGATGCTTCCATCCCCATTTTTTGATGGCTCAGCCAGCAGCCAGCCCGGGCGCCCAGTGCGTTGTTGGGTTCCCCGGGTGGAATGTGATTCGCCAAGGGGCGAAACACCGCAGCCCAACAGCGAACAAACCTGGGACCAGTGGAGCGACTCTGGTAGGTCCATTGCAAAAAAAGGCCGGAGATGAAAGTTAGAATCGAAACTAGCTTGGGGAAAAAGCTAGGTGGGCCATGTGGTAGACCTGATGAACAATGAACCTGCATGAACCTGCCATATGTAATGTGGTAAACCTGGTTTTAAAACTCTTTCAGGCACATCCCCATTTTTTCGAGTTCAATGGACGGGTATTGACCATCCAAAATTGGAACGCAGATTTCGGGGATGGTCATGGTGATTTCCCGCAGAATTCCCCCTAAGAATCCCAACATTAGACACTCGAAATCATTAAATCATGGTTTAGTATGGTTTAGTAACTACCCTCTGGTAAACTAACATAGCTATGGAAAATCACCATCTATAGTATAGGTAAACCAACTATAAATCACCCATTTTCCATAGCTATGTTAAATTACCAGAGGGTAGTAACTCAGTAGGGGATTTACACATATTTGGGACCAAAAAAAAGGGCGATGTTGACAAATTTGCAGGGGCAGTGGTGTATTTTCACCCGCGATTTCTGGGGGGCCAAGCGGAAAAGCTGCAGAAAACCTCCATGACTTTTGTAGGCAAAAGCCAGATCCAATGTATGAAACATCCCATGATTAACAGTGAATCCCCCTTTCCTATCATGTGATTGGTAAATTCTTTAGTAGTTCCTTGGCCACATGGATCCAAGCAGCTCCTTCTCCAAATCCGACCAGAAAACTGTGTTTTTTTTTGGATATCAGTTTCTCAAGCTGTTGATATGGAGGTTGTTTCCTAAATAGGGGTACCCCCAAACCATCCAACATTAGACCATTTTCGTATTGAAACCCAGGGTTTTGGGGATCCCCTAATTTAAGAAACCTCCATATATCTGTGTGTGTGAGTTCCCTTTGATGGTCAAGAATTCTATGAATCGAGATTCCGTCCGGTCATGAAGCGTGGCTTTGGAAATAGTTCCATGATTTTCCCAGCAAACTAAACCTCCATTTACCCTCTGGTAAATTAACATAGACCCTGAACATGAGATGGTTGTAGTGGAAACTAGTCCAACCATGTCCGTTCCCAACATCTGGCAGGGTCGAACTGTTAATTTACTGGAGGATATTTACCCTCTGGTAATTTGTTACATAGCTATGGTTTAAATCACCATGCTATTCATGGGAAAATCCACTATTTCGACATGGTCATGGCTTCAATAGCTATTTTGACATAACCAGAGGGTACCCTCTGCGGCATCTTCCAGCCAACCCTCATTCAATTTGACACCAGAAAAATCCCCCAAAATCCGGCGAAGCCTCGGATCTCCGGAACGGCCAAGGAACGTCCAAGGGTGCCGTGTCCGAGACCTGGGCATCAAATGTCACAGGGTTTTAATGTTGATTTCGTGGGATTTCATGGTGAAATAACGGATAATAACGGGATTTCATGGGATTTAACTCCAGTACGAAAATCAAACTTCAACAGAAACCCTCCATAAAACCCACAGTTCTACCACCTAGTGCCTGGCCCGCGCCGGGGCGGAAGTTTCGAAAAACTGGTTTTAAGAAATCATTAGCCTACAGGAAAGTTTTTGAAATGCAAAAGCAATGAAGTGTTGAAGCTGTGAGGTGCATAAACGAATGAGCAAATAGTGGGCGAGATGCCACTCGTGCACTGTTTGTCGGCAACCCGAGGAGGAAAAAAAACCAGGGGTTCACGCCCGAGAGTGTTTTCACCCGTTTTTCTTCACACGCTTCCGAACTCACTTCCCAACTACTTGATGATGGGGTTTGAGATGATGATGTGACATGATCGTGGGGTTGGCATATAGTGATGCGGTTGACATGATGGTGTGAATGCTGTCCGTAACTCGGAACTTTTGCAACTAAGTTTCCTTTGATTAGGTACGTCATCTACAAATGATAAATGGTCCATTTTCCATAGCTGCGTTGGTTTACTGCTCGGCATACATGGGGACACATGTCATGTGAATTTTCCTTCGTTTTTTTCTCCATCAACTCCAATTATATACAGTAACGCCAATGGTGATGGGAAAATCATTATCCTTATGGGGTTCCATTGGGAAGAACATCTATGACGGATTTAGCCCCCAAAAGGTTGGATTTAGCCAGCCCCTAAAAAAGATCTTGGTTTGTGCAGACATGCGGGCGTCACACCCAAAAAGAAATCATGAGATCAGGCATGATAAGGCCTTCAAGTCTTCTGTTGTTTGTCGAGCCAATGCCCCACGACTCGGCATCTTGTTACCCATGTTACCTGTGACACACAATCGACTTCATAAAGAGAAGAGGAACCCTGAAATCCCCTGGTACCTTGGCACAAGAGATGTCTGCCACCACGGTATACTCTGAAAAAGTGGAGCATCCCATGAAGTGCCTCGGAGATCGATCTCATCAATGGGAAATTCCGGTTTTTCATGGGAAAAAAACCACTCGAAATGGAGGTTGCTTATGGGAAAATCATAGGAAAGTCATGGGAAAATCCATCAGAAATGGTGATTTAACAGGATTAAGTTGGGGTGGCTTGATGGAATGTTCATCAAATATTCATAGAAAGTTGGTGATGACCCCCTTGGGTAATGACTAGCAGCTTGCGAAATTGAAAATCACGATTTTTTGTAGATAGGGTCTTGGTAAGACTTATTGGTAATGATAACCCATAAACGATGGTAAAAAGCGGGGGACTGGAAAACATAGTTGGGACCATACAACCGGGGTGTTTAATATCATATGAGGGGGTTGGGATTCGCAATGACAATAGGAATAGTAAAAACAATGCCAATAATACATGTCGTATCATAAAAGTAGTAAAAAGAATAATAACAATAGTAACAATGATAATCATCATCATCCTCCTCCTCCTCCTCCTCATCATCATCATCATCACCATCGCCATCGCCATCGCCATCGCCATCGCCATCGCCATCATCATCATCATCATCACCGTCACCGTCACCGTCACCGTCACCGTCACCGTCACCGTCACCGTCACCGTCACCGTCACCGTCATCGTCATCGTCATCGTCATGGTCATGGTCATCGTCATCGTCATCCTCATCCTCATCCTCATCCTCATCATCATCATCATCATCATCATCGTCATCATCGTCATCATCGTCATCATCGTCATCATCATCACCATCACCATCACCATCACCATCATCATCACCATCATCATCATCGTCGTCGTCATCATCATCGTCATCATGAAAAGGCGAATTCAAGCCGCAAACATGTGGGACGGCTTTGTCCAACTTGAATTTGCCCAACACTTTTTTGCATTGCAGTTCGCCAAGCCACAAGATCTTTTTTGTCCAGCCTCTAGACTTGACGCCTTGAATCGCCTTGACGTTGTCCGTAACCCCCTTCCTATTCACACAAGCTGTTTAGCATTGAATCGGTTCATTGGTCCCACATTAGCCCTCTTCTCAGGGGCGATGTGATTGGCAGTTCCAAGCCAAGTTGCTTGATCTCTTTCCCTTCTGCATCTGTAAATCTGCTGGTGCCATCTGGCATCACACCGCTGCCTGAGATGGATCATCGGGTCATCGTTTCGGAAGTCAACCACAGCTTGGGTGCCCCATAACTTTTTTCCCGCTCCTGTTCAGAAAAGATCAAATAAGAGAGAGAGTAGAGAGAGAGAGAGAGAACAGTTTGACGCTTTATCAATGGTTAGCACCATGTTTTGAAAGAATCACCATTTTCTCTAGGTCAATGGCCATTTTAAGGTATCCCTGGGATCATCCACCAACCCATAGCTAGGCACCAGAAACGATTGGCCCCCAACAAGAAAACCTCCGCTGCTGGTGGAGATGCCCCACGGTTTTTCTCGCAGAACTGTGGACACACCGACCTGTCATAACAAGTTGTTTATACTTATTTATTGACTTATATATGTTTCTCTAGTTCTTTATTGTTTTAATCTACTTGTTTATTTACTTATTTAATCTTATATTATATATATATGTGTGATACCATAATATACCACAATGATCCCCATGATATCCCCACTGATGGTTGTTTCAACCTTCATTGATGATGATTTTCGCATGAAAACACTCATTAAACTAATTTAATATAATTTAATTCAATTGAAGCAAATGTTCCTCCCATTATATCCACGTCTACTCCCGACCATCTTCCCCCGAAATCAGGCTCCAACCCTGGGTACCGCGAATCTTTGGGCAGAGGTTGGTGCGCTTTCCTGGAGCCACAACTTGTTACGAGAAGAAAAAACGCTGAAATTTTTCATGGTGCGTTTCCGCCCAAAATCATCAAACATGGGGATTTCATGGGCATCAAACATGGGTTAGTTGGATGAACCGAGAAAATATATGGCACCACTAGGCCACTCAAAAATTGCACCGCTCAGCCGTGGGATGAGACTGATGAGACACCTGGATGTGTAGTCCTATGCTCTACTATCACAACCCCCAAACAAACAAACAAAACCACAGAATGCATACTTAATTTCGATCCCACAAAAAAAAAAAAACCTGTTTGATCCAATTTGTTCTGGTCCACCGGGGCTTGAAACCTCCTGACCTCGCCTCGAGGTGGGAAACAGAAGATGCAGTCCTCAGACGCCATGGCACCCTGCCAGTTTGGGGGTGCCAAATCTCCCCAAAAGTTCAAGCCTCGTTGGGTCGGATGAAACCATGGTAAAGCATGCCACGGCAGAAATGGCACCATGGCCAAAAGGACAGTTTTTATTCACACAATAGTGGGTACACTTGGGGTGCTCTGAGAATAGGGCACTCCCAAGCTCCAAAACCTAAAACCATGAGGCTTCATGCCATGAGGTTAAATCTTCAATTTGGGCATGTCTGAAAGCATGATAATTTCTACTTTCAAGGGTTTAAAAACTCCTGGTGTCCCTTTAAGTCAGCATTTTTGGGGTAAGTATACAATACTTTCAACCAAACCCAAGAGATGATTATTGTTGGTTCTATATCCCAGTGTATGCCCCGATTAACGGTTGCTTCAATCCCAATTTATAGACAATTTATCATTTAAAAACCCCATTGGATCCCATTTGAAAACAATTGTTGATTAATAAATCTCATTCTCACCCAAACAACTGACACAAAAAATCCGTGAATTCCCATTGAAACCTCGCTTTTCGCCATTTTTTCGCCACCGGTCTGTCCAAGAGGCTGGTTCGCCGCACTGCGGGGTGTAGCAGGGGATCACCTTGTCGCCCGGCTGCAGCCCCGTGACGCCTTCGCCCACGCTCTCCACCACCGTGCCGGCTTCGTGGCCCAGGATGCCTCCAGGCGGGGCGGAGCGGAGAGGTGGTGCCAGGGACTTGGTGTTGAAAATGGAACATTCGAAAGTTAGATGTATTGTCTGGCTTCTTTTTTGGTGATTTTCTGAAAGGGGCAAACTTAGCAACTTAGCTCCCAAGCTTTGGATGGATGAGATAGATGATTTATGGGTGCTTAAAGCCTTGTGTTATACCGTTCTCCCACGAAACCCTCAGGGCCGAGAAGCTGGGGAAGAGTCCCTCAGGGTCTTGTCCCGAAAGCCTCAGGCGGAGGGGAAAATGGGCACGATGCAACTGATGAAACCAATCGGAAGATGGGAAAGTTGACGCTCAAAAACGGGTGAATTGAGGTGTCAAAATGGCTTTCAAAATATGAGTGATACACGTTGAGAGAATAACATGTCGGAATGTGTGCAAGGTTGACTTCGCAATGGCTTGTCAAATCCAGCTACAAACAAGAAATCAAAAATCAGGTCATGCGATCAACGCGATCACCGCCCGGAGGCGGCTAATGGCCAAGGCACGTGTAGATGTCGGTGTGACACAAGGCATTGGAATGCACCTGCCGTGAGCAGAATGCAGAAAGTTGAGTCGGAAATTTCTGGGGAAGATCATCTATATACATATCTATACCATCCTGGAAATCCGGTTCTACCCGCAACGGGGTGGTACGATGATTTGGTGTTTCGAGCAAGAACTAGACCAACCATTTTTGGGGTCATCAACTTTGAGCCACATCCAAACTATGCAACTATGTTTCATGATCTTCATGGTCCTCTGCTCGAAATGCTGAATGTGATGCTAGCTGTAGCCCAGGCCCATGGATCTCCATCTACCTCTGTGGAACTTGACGAAAAGAACCTAAACCTCATATACAACGTGGGGGCCCCAGATTATAGAATTGGTGTACAAACTCCATCAACTATAGTTGTATCTGCCATAAACCAAAATTGGAGTAGTTTTAAACCAACTTACCCAACTCTGGGGCACCCACCTTGCAGTTCTCACTCCAACAACTTGAGATGAACCCTGGACGCAGTGAATGCCCAGTCATGAGGGGTCGATCGCCTAGCGTGATATCTGGGTCTCGAATCCCTATTTACTTTGTTCAATTCACTCATGCATTTACTCGTTTATGTGTTTGCTTATCTGAATACCAATCCCCTACCCTTTTTATTTTCACCTCAATTCTGAAACAGCCCCACCACCTGCCCTGCCACGTAAAGGGGTCATCTCCCAACCATTTTTTGCGGCCGCACAACGGCGCCGTGTCGAGCTGGGCTCACTCCTTGAGTTTCTCCATGGTGCCTTGCTCATCCATTCGGGCCTGCACCTGGTCAGCTCACAGGGCAGGGCCGAAGGGCTGATGATTGTTGGCACCCCTGGTTTTATAGTGATTTAATGGGATTTTATAGTGATTTAATGGGATTTTATAGTGATTTAATGGGATTTTATAGTGATTTAATGGGATTTTATAGTGATTTAATGGGATTTTATAGTGATTTAATGGGATTTTATAGTGATTTAATGGGATTTTAAAGTGATTTAATGGGATTTTATAGTGCTTTATATATGGGATTGCATAGTGATTTAATGGGATTGTATAGTGATTTAATGGGATTGTATAGTGATTTAATGGGATTTTATAGTGATTTAATGGGATTTTATAGTGATTTAATGGGATTGTATAGTGATTTAATGGGATTGTATAGTGATTTAATGGGATTTTATAGTGATTTAATGGGATTTTATAGTGATTCAATTGGATATTAATGGGATATACACTCCGGTAAACATACAAAAAGCTATTGAAAATTGCCATTTAGAGTGGATTTTCCCATTGAACATGGTGATTTTCCATAGTGATGTAAACGTTTACCAGAGGGTAATCCCTGACCCCACGATAACACCGCCAAACGAAACCACGGTTATATAAGTAGCGAATAACACCACATCGTTGGGACCATGGGATTAGCCCTCCTTGGATCTGGAACGCCGATTGATGAGCCCATGGCTTCTTGACCCCAGCTACGTATAGAGTCTGTACATGTTAAACCCCCGGCAAATCTGCCGAAAGTCTCGATCATGGCGGGATGCCGGCTCGGATGTGCTGCCCAGGGTAAGTTGACTCCATATATCTCCATATGAAATAAGCCACTTGTAAACCTCCTAAGTGTGGATCCTAAGTGTGGAATATCATGGGATATCCCCTGTTCAACAGCTATTTACAAGGCATATTAAATCCATGGGTTACCCGGTTACCCTTTCAAAACCTGGGTCCCACCTGTTTCTGGAAGAGGGTTGCTGGTGGCCACGGCTCCTCCACCACGCTTGTGGTGAAGTTCACGGTCCGGACCTCTGATGCAAACAGGACCGGTGCGACACCAGGTGACGACCTCTTTTTGGGGGGTTAAACATGGTTGAACCTCGGAGTTGCTTCGCGCAAAATGGGGAAAAATATGGAAAACATGGATGTAAACATGGTATAACATGGTGGGGTTCAACAATAAAACTGAAGAATTGGGGACCTTTGATCGGTACTTGTCGTGACTGGCGAAAGCACTCGAAAAAGCGCATTCCGATTTGCATATGAATTCATCATGACCCGTCAAGTAAGTACCCCGCCAGGAGGTAATGGAGGCATTTTTCTCATTCCTTATAACACGTTTCATAGAGGCTGGTGGTGGCTTTCATACAACCGAAACATCATCGCATCATCGTGTCCAGTGGCCCCCACTCTCTAGGTCCAAAAAAAGTGACCGGCCCCACCCAAACCCTGAGCCGCCTGAGCCATGATTTTTATCCATGCGCAGAGCATCGGTCTTTTCAATCGGTTGAAGCCAAATGTGGTGCTCGTGGGAAGTCATTAAAATGGTACTTCTGCCAGCTTCTAGCTGGCGGGCGTTAAAGATTCCTGAGCTGATCCCGAACTGCGGAGCTGTCACCACCACAGGATGGATTGCCCCATGTAACGACAGAGCCATCTGCCAGGATCGCAGCAAATGCACTTTCTGTGGCTTGAACCTGCTGCACCCTCTGCAGCTGATGTTGGACCGCGGAGCTGTCACCGCCCAAAGATGGATTGCCCCATGTAACAACGCAGCCGTCTTCCAGGATCGCAGCAAATCCTTCACTTGTGGCCTGAACCTGCTGCACACTCCTCAGCTGATCTTGGACCATAGAGCCATAGAGCCGTCACCACCAAAGTCTTGATAGCCCCATGCAACAACAAAGCCATCTGTTAGGATAGCAGCAAATGCTACATCTGTGGCCTGAATCTGCTGAACACCCCTTAGCAAATGCCGGACCGCGGAGCTGTCACCGCCAGATACTGCACGGCCCCATGTAACAACAGAGCCATTTTGAAGGATTGCGGCGAAGGCTGCCTTTGTGGCTTGAACCTGCTGCACATTCCTCAGCTGATCTAGTACTGCAGAGCTGTCACCGCCCCAGTCCCGATGGCCCCATGTAACAACTCCGTCGCCCCCACAGCACCAAGCAGCAAAGGCCTGTCGATTTGACGCTAGTTTCGCTCGTCCCACGATTGCTGTGAGTTGATCACCATCTTGAAGCCCTGCAGCCTGGAGGGTTTGCATAGGATCACTCAGGATGCACCCAGCTGCAGTGGCAAGCCGCAAGGAGCCTTGTCCGAAAGACTTCTGAGCCAATTTGTTCAAGTCCTCTTTGGAGGACTCCAGAATCGAAAGGCTCTCACTGCGCCCACTGGCCAGAGCTACCGTCACTTCAATCATTGAGGACACTGATGCTCAATACTGCACCACGTGCTCAACAAAATCACGAGCCAAATCTTACTGGCACCGCGCGGCACGAGTGACAATCTATCCGAGTTTTGGGTAAGAAGGTGAAATGCCTCTTGATACTGAAACACCTTTGCACACAAGGAACTCCTTGACTGCATTTCTGCGTGAGCTAAACTGCCCTTCTCGCAAAAAGAAACTGGCTATCAGTACACACATATCCAAATCGGTTGACTCGAGAAATCAGAGAAATTTACGATTCCTGCATTAGGCATATCCAAGGACGCCCCGAATAAACCAAGCCCCAGCAGCCCATCCAAACCAGCAGCCCAAGGATATATCAACCCACCATGGATTTCTCAATCCAGGGATTTTCGAACTGTGTTTTTTACCCGGCCCGGTAAAGGTTTACATAACTATGGAAAATCACCATTTTTAATGGGAAAATCCACTATAAATAGCCCATAACTATGGAAAATCACAATTTGTAATGGGTAAATCAACTATTTCTATGGCCATTTTCGATAGCTATTTTGACATAACCAGAGGGTAGATTGAGTGATCCATCATTAAGCCCGTGGCTGCACCATCATGCTTTCTTTAAAATAGATACTAAACCCACCATAGTAGGCCCCACACCCCCGGCCCCCAAAAAGCCCCTTCCTCACATCTGCAATCTCATAAACCGGCTTTGAAACTTCGTATCATCACCGTTACCAACCAAATAATCTGTATATTCTCTCTTATGCATCTTATATACAGTATATAGATATATACATTAATCCAAACAACAAAAAAAACTACCATCATCTCATTAAAAATCGCTGGGAGCACCTACCCCGAAATTCACCACTTAAACTCTATCCATATACCTTTTTAAAAAATAGGATACCCTCTGGTAAACTAATATAACTATGGAAAATCACCATTTTTAATGGGAAAATCCACTATAAATGGTCATTTTCAATGGCTATGTTAAATTACCAGAGGGTATATATATATAATTATTATATATATATATATAATTATAATTATATATATATATATCACTCAGCATCTCAAATCCCCAACCAGTTTCCCAGCCACCCAACTGGCACCTTCCAATCCAGCTCCGGGGTGTAGAAGTTCTGCACTGCCCAGGCCATGGCCTGCTGCGTCCGCTGCTTGGCTTCGGCCTCCGACAGCAGCTGCGCGCCGCAGTGGCGGAAGCTCTTCTTGTCCACTTCGCAGGTGTGGTAGAGACCTGGCGCCAGATTCCGGTGGGGATGAGGACTGATATGGACTGATGAAGATAGACTGGCGGATAAAAATTTGCTGGGAGAATAATTAAAGAATCAATATATATATATATCAATATCAATATATTAGAATATCGTGAGAGAATGTGGTGATGGTAAATGGGACAGTGGCCCATGGTTTCTGGGCCCGTTTGTCGGAGAAAAAAGGGAGGTCGAAACCTTCGAAACTTCTTGGAAGATTGGACTGACTTGATGGTTATGAGGTTGAGTGTTTGTAAGCCTGATGATCGTTTTTGTCCCCAATTCATGGGGTCATATCTACACATGGAATTGAAAAAAAAAAAACTATATATATATATACATATATGGCATTTTATAGTGATTTAATGGGATGTTATAGTGATTTAATGGGATATTAATGGGATATATATATATATACCCTCTGGTAATTTGTTACATAGCTATTGAAAATGGCCATAGAAATAGTTGATTTTTCCCATTAAAGATGACCATGTTCAATAGCTATGTCAAATTACCAGAGGGTATATATCCTGACTTATAAAGACCTGAGAGCTTGGATCAAAACCATGGGGATGGGGACCTGCCAATCCCAAACGCGCGAGAAGCCTGTAGATGTGAAAGTTGGATCTGACAAGATCTCAGATGAAAGAGAAAAAAATCGCCGATGACTGAAATGTACTGGAATCTACTGGAATAAAATTGGGTTCATGGTGAACCCAATGATGGTTGATGATGGGTTTTTTCAGGTGGTGATTAATGTGGGACATCACCACTGGCTACTGCCAATAACTGGAGTGGTTATGAGTTGACTAATTCTAAACTGGAGTGGTTATTGGCTGCTAATGAACCCTTTTCCAGTAATATTGATGATGGTTGACTTCCTGCCGGCGCCTTGCTTGGTCCTGGCATAGGTCCTTTCGCACTGCTCAACGCCGAAGTCCTGAGGTAAGCCGAGAAATTTCTGAACTTGGCCTCTGGTAATGACTGGGACATAGCTATTGAAAATTGCCATTTTTAATAGGTAAACCATCTATTTCTATGGGATATGAATGGGATATACCCTCTGGTAATGAAAATGGACCATTGAAATAGTGGATTTACCCACTGATAGCATGGTGGACCTTTCCATAGTTTCTTGTAAATGTTTACCAGAGGGTAAACAAACAGATCTACTGAGTGAACTAGACCCAGATCACCAACCTTCATCCTTCCCTTCCCAGCACCTTCCAAGGCAGTTGCCCCCCTCAGGCCTCGCAGAAGGCCTGGCCCAGCGGCACGCGGTCGCCGAACTCGCAGCGGTGCGAAGGCTCTTGCGCCAGGCTGGAAGCAGAGAGCTCCTTCGGGGATCCACTGATAAAAGGTCATCCTTCATAAGCCCCAAGTTCTACAGGATGGGGCCCCCAAGATAGCTAAGTTGCCTTGTAAGTGGCTTAACTATGGTTTATGGTAGATATAACTATAGTGAATGGGGGTTATAAGTTACAATGGTTTATAAACCAACTTATAACTGGGGGGCCCCATCCTGTATGGGAGAATGATGGATCATCTTTTTTGGGAAAAAAAATGAATCCATGAGTGCCGATGTTTGGTGCGGAAAATCATCCCACATCCCACAAAAAGAAAGTGGTAGCCGCTGAATGGGACCTAGATGGAACGATCCAGATTGGGGATCCATTCTTGGGGGAGCTGGTTTTTTTCAGTGTCAATCAGTAATTCGAATTGGGGAATGATACACACACATATATATATATACATTTACATATATTTATTTTTTTCCTTTATTCATTTATATATTTATGTATTTATTTATTTATTTATGTTATTTTTTATTTGTGTATATATATATATAATCTTGAATTTGGTATCCGGTCGAATCTCATTCCCAGCATCGCGATTCTGGGAGACATCCCATCGGATGGTCATTCCCTTCTGGATGGTCAATGGCTTGGATGGGTCCACCTTTGCCAGAATTAGTTCGCCAGAATGAACGGAAAATACCCTCTGGTTATGTCAAAATAACTATGGAAAATAACCATAGAAATAGTGAATTTTACCATGAAGAATGGGTGGATCTTTCCATAGTTATGTAACAAATTACCAGAGGAAATCCTGTTCTTCATCAGTACACACCATGGGACACACCGTAAACACCATGATAAACACTATGAATTGGCAATGAATTAAGGGTCCTCCCCAAAAAGATCCCAAGCACCGGCGCAAAGACCGCTTCCCATGGAAATATCACCCATTCATTATGGCTATGGGAGAACGATGGATAAGCTAGCTCTTTTAGCTTTCTAACTCCAGCTAAGCACAGGCAGTTCAGAGCAGTTCCGGCGCCTTTGCGGCATCCTTCTCCATCTGTTCGTGAAGCTCTTCTGCAGCCTGTCGATCTTCTGAGTCCTACTTGCAACGTCCAGCCAGCTCAGCCAACCCAACAATTTCATCTTCTTTGCATTTACCCTCTGGTAATTTAACATAGCTATTGAAAATCACAATTTTTAATGGGAAAATTCACTGTAAATGGTGATTTTCCATAGTTATTATGTTAAATTACCAGAGGGTACCACGGGAGCAAAATGCATCTGCCTCAATTCAGCTGATCCACTTGGTCAAACTAACCCGCAGATCAGTCCTGGTGTTGCTGTTCGTAGCCACTGCTCACGCCTTCTTCCTCAGCCATGGCGATGCTTTTTTGGAGCTCCATCGAGATGACGGATGTTCCATTGCCAGGGTAGAATACTAGAATACCAGAATGCTCAACGAAAAAATGTGTTCCTTTGCCAGGCGGTAGCTTTCGAATAACGCTAAATGCACTTATTCTTGGTCCTAAGACTTATAATCTTACATACTTTCTATTCCAGTAGCCCAAAAAGAGATTTTAAAACATTAAAACCTCCCTATTTTAGGACCCGGACTTCATATCTGTTCCACATCGGGGGATGTCGTCCCTCCCGTTGCTTCCCGTGACGGTCCCGTTGCAGCAGGTGGCGACCTCCTCGGGCGGCTCGCAGAGCTGCCCGCGGCGGCAGGCCTTTTCGAACTCCGCCCAGCCTGGCGTGGCGAGACCTGGAACTCCGCGAAAGAATGGGAAGTCCATAGGAAATCGATAGGAAATCCATAGGAAATCTATGGGAGTCAAGTGTGTTTTTTTAGGACTTTCTTGAAAGTCCAAAAAAATAATCCATACGGAAATCTAGATGTCAAAAACTGGACCATTGAAAAAGAGCAACAACCAATAGACCAGTCAAAAAGTCCCAGGGTGGACCCCTGCACCTCGGACGGGGTCTTCGCAATGGCCTGGATAGACTGGACTCCATCTGGTGAGTTGAAATCTGGGGCGAAGCGTAGAAATATCGTAGAAATATCTACTGATACAGGGGATGTATAAACCCATCCTAGATTAACTGTGGTTTATGGTCATTACCATCTATAACCATCTGGTTATGACTAACAGTTTGCCATGGAAAGATCCACCATGTTTTATAGATTTAATAGGTGAAGCATCTATTTCTATGGGCCATCTATACCATGGCGAACTGTTAGTCATAACCAGAGGGTATATCCCATTAACATCCCATTGAATCACTATAAAATCCCATTAAATCACTATAAAATCCCATTTAATATTCCATTAAATCCCATTAATATCCCATTTATAGAGGGTAAATCCATCCCAAATCATCCCAGATCTGTCACTTGGGATCCCGGACACACCAAGCGCCCGCGGTCACACAGCACCGCCGGCACGCGACCACCCAAGGTCCAAACCTGAAAAACGGCACCGAAACCAGTGGAGGCAGGTTGGAAGCTGATACTGACTAAGATCTGTGGTCCTCTGAGTCTTCAATTCCAAATCGTTGAGCCTGATTTGAAGTGGGACATGCTCCATGTCTAGATCATTTGCCTGCAAAAAGATGTGGGTTTCCAGCTGATTGGAAATGGAAAACCCACCATTTCTGGATCATATCGGATGAAAATTGATAAAATTGGGACTTTCCAGCTGAGCTTCATTGCAACCATTCAATCACTGGAAGCCATCCAAACCATCCAAACCGCTGCCGAGGCACGTTGATCATGCCCACCTGCCGGGTGCTTCCATCTACAGATCCTCAGTGGGATCCTCCTCCAGGAGGTCATCTGAACCATGGGACAATCAGCACCTGACCATTTTCGAATCCTACCCTATTTCAAGGGTTGAGTTCCATGTCATCTTCGAAAGACCACACTTTTCGTGACTTTTCGAATTCAAATCATTCACCTAGGGACCTAGTTGATCCGAAAGCTCCTGTTCCCACGCGTTTCCATGTCATGTTGGAGCCCATCATCCCCTTCCGAGGCACTGAAGAAGGCGGGCGCCTGCGTCTTGCCGCTCTGGTAGAGCAGCGCGGCTTGGGACTTCGGGTCGCCCGTCAGGTGGTCCACACCTCGGCAACGGAACGGAAAAAATGGGCCGGGGGCCATGGCAGTTGCCGGGGACCTCCATAAATTGTCCCATTCTGGGGATACATTGGGTTATTTATGTGTATGGTTATACATGGAAACTTGATATTGAAACTTAGTATCTATCAACATGGAATGGTTCAAAGATCAACATCTTCTTCATGGTGCTGGGCCCCCAGCAGCAGTCACAAGACACCACCGTGTCTTCCTTCCACACATCCTGGCCATGTGATGATGGGATCCATGGCAGGGTGGGGGTGCTTTGCTTTGGCCGATGAGGCCAGGGATGAATACTTCTCTTGACAAAAAAACCTTACCGTTGGTCCTATGTTTACCTTGTTTACCTACAGTATGTTTCTGTTGAAGTTCCGTACTGTAAGGGCTACAACCACCTGCGGTCCCCAAAACTGCACAAAACGCTACAAAGGGTTTTCAAAAAACTTCGGCCTAGCTGATTGTCCACGTTAGGAATGAGTGAGCCAAGCCAAGGGAAATAGCTCACATCTTGTCAAATATTGCCTGTGACAAGGGACATCCTCATCCATCAAGAGACAATTTCGGAAAATCATCTGCCGCTATGACTCGTGGTTTTCCATCACCAGGTTAGATTACCAAAGGGTACTGGCGTTCCACATCTCTCAGTTTGGCTCACCCTTTTCAATCTGGCAGCATGGTCTCATGGCTGGTCCGTAGGCCTGTGGGCTTATTTTCCTCGACTTTAATTACCATCTGGTTATGACTAACATAGCCATGGTATAGATGGCCTAGAAATAGATGGTTTACCTATTAAAAATGGTGGATCTTTCCATGGCTATGTTAGTCATAACCAGATGGTATCACCTCTGCACACCAATGCACCGGTGTTGTGGGTCACGGCGTGTGATCACGCCGCCATCATCTTTCTGAATCCAGCTGCATCCAGAAGCTCTCCGGCCTTCCCCACTGATGGAGAATGTGGACCACTTCCGTCCACTTGAATAAACACACAATAGAGAGAGCCACCACATAGACCGCAAGTGAACGTCGATCCGAAAAAACTGTGTCACATCAAGGTAGTTTATGCCAACTTCCAAAACAATCACGCCATCATTGCGCATCCGAGGCGTCTCACCAAGCCGGAAGTCCACGTCCTCGACGCGCGAAGGCAACCGGGCCGAGCCGCGGCACGGCCATCAAGCGCATCATGAGAACAGAGCAACTCACTAAGCCACGGTCAACGGTCAAATTGATCTTGAGCCGAAAAGGCAGAGGAGTGCTCTCCCAACAGATATGGGCATGCAAGACTTTGCAGATCAAGTCATCAAGTGGCGGTTCATGACTTGCTCATCCTAGCTTCCTCCAACCACCCCCATCCCTTCGGTAGCCCCGCACCTTGCTGTTGCAGAAATTAGGCAGGAGGCCATGCCTTGGAGAATTCAAACTCGATGATTCCGGGGATGAATATTTATGTCTGAAATCAGCACGTGATCGCTAGACGGGGTGGAACGCACACACAAATATAGATGTAGATATTAGAGATGGATATAGATATCATCTATATGTGTAAATGTATTTATATATATAATATTACATATTTGAGGCCGCGTGTTTTCCATGTCACATAGTCATGATCAATCGTGGTGCTTCACACTGGTTTGGGGGGCATAGTTGTGACCATCATCTCAGCATCGGGCTTGGACCCACGGGCTTTGGAGATGTGGATCCACTTTTTGGCATCCCAGAACCAGCCTCCGCAGGCATCATGGTGGTTATGGTGTCACCCCCGAGAGTCTAAGGGGATCCAACCCACATAAATCCTGGGTTTCTGGTTTATGAATTTTCATGTGGGAAGAGGACGACTGAACATGTGCAAAATCCCCTGGCGAGATGACCTTATTCCAATGGAAGGCCATGTGGCATTAGGGACCAACAGGTCTCCAAGAAATGCATGGCTCTGAGTTCGCGGACCGTACAACCTGGCTTTCAACTCCGCAAAAAATGCAGAACCATTTATATACACCTTGGGATTTCTGGAATGAACGGAACGCCCAATGACATTTAAAATATGATCATGTTCACGTGTTTATCAGCAAATGTGCCGGTGAACCGTGGTGTCTCCCATCAATTGTGGGAGTTTCCTGCAGCTTTTCCCTTCAAACAGTCGATTCCCGCACCTTCAATGGTATCGAAGACGGTCGCACGCTGCGACGTGATGTCTTCCCGTACTTCGGGCACCACTTCCTCCAGGTCCGCCCAACGATCATATGATCTATTCAGATGGTGGTTTATTCAAACAAAACCTATCCTACCAAACTATTTTTAGTGATTCAATGATTGATAAACCACCATCTGAATAGGATAGGTTTGGTAGGAGTTGGCTCAATCATTCTTATTAGATCACCGCATTCAAACCACCATCTCAACATCTCCCATGCTTTCCTCGCCATGTTCCCATGCTTTCCATGTCGCCTCCACCTGGGCTGGCGGCGGTTCCAGGTACTCTTCCGGCACCTCGCCCTGCGCTTGCTGCACTTGCTGCGCTGCCAGCAGGGCCAGGAGCCCTGCACCTTGGGCGTTGGTGAAGTTGGTGAGTTGGTTTAGGCATAATTCTAGTCATGATTGGTATAAAAATCTATTGGATCATTGGATCATCATTGGTATAAAATTATAATTATCATGAATGTATAATTGGTATAAACAAAACCTATTGGATCAACATGGATCATTGTAGTCTTGGATCATTCGTAACGTCATGAATGGGTAATTGGAAATCTTCATGTATCATTGGTATATAAGTTGGATATAGTTGGATCATTGTGCAGTGTTGATTGTTCTTGTAATTCAATACCATGTGTTTGACCCTCTGTTGCCGTGCCAAAATGAAAAAAATGCCGGATGTGACTACAACATGATTTCATCCGTTTAATCCAGGGGGTGTTCAATCTTGACCCGCACCCATCGAGGTACCCTCTGGTTATGTCAAAATAGCTATTGAAAATGGCCATAGAAATAGTGGATTTTCCCATTAGAAATGGTGATTTTCCATAGTTATGTTAGTTTACCAGAGGGTAAATCTCCCAAAGCCCCACCAAATGGTGGGAAAAATCATGCTTCAGCCGACACAGCTTCCAACCCGTCGTTTCACTTCCAGTGCTTTTACACTTAACCTGTCCTACGTCCATCGAATCATCTCGAATCCCACTGGCACGCCAGTTCGGCCCAACTCCACACCCAAACACTGCTGCTGACCAAGGCACGCCACATTGTTCGAGAAAAACGACAAGTCTGGTTGGATATGGCAGGAATACGCCGGGGTTTTCTTGTGCTTCGCGCAAGAAGTTGTTGAACACAGGCCACTATGGCCACAATGTGTTGATGTGGCCAGGTGTGTCCTAAAAGTTTTGAGCCGAAAAGCGGCAGCATGCAAAATCACTTCGGCTGATTTGGGCTCCGAGGCAAGAATTAGATTTAGTTTACATGGCTCGGCGTTTATCCTGTCAAGTGCATTCACAAAAGAATGCAGCTTTCCCTGGCTAATCTTCACCGATCCCTGGAGAAACCATGATAGTCTACGAGCTCATCAAAATTTGCCCCAAAAAAAAACGACTATCAAACCACACCCATCCATCCAAAACTGCGAAAATAAAGGTAAGAAATCGTAAGAATCATGAACATAAGCAGACTCAACCAGCCACCAAGGGTTTCCCCTGCCACCCGCCCTTCAGTGCATCGATAGTGGCACCTTCAGCCGCACTTCCCGCGGACCCGGGGGGGCGACTGTGATCTCCTGGTGGGAGCAATGGAGCAGTGGCTCAAACCCATGGCAGGACTGGATGAAATTTGAAACAAAATGGGTTGATAAGAAAATGGCCATTGAAATAGTGGATTTTCCCATTAAAAATGGTGATTTTCCATAGTTATGTTAAATTACCAGAGGGTAAAACTTGGAAGAACCAAACTTTGGATAAACAATGGCAGACTCAGAATGATTTGGTTCTTAGATGCATTTCCAGAAGCCCTCCCCCCTTTCAAGGGCAGGCCGGTGACAAACAAAAACGTTTGGACATCTTTGGAAGAGAAAAAAAGCCTGAGGGAAGTTCAAACAATGCCATTTCTCAGATTCTCAAAGTGAATCAAGAACACTTCTCCAAACATTGAATGTCACATTGTGTGTACCCCATAAAATTGCTATATGGGTATGGGTCAATACCTATAGATACATTTTTAGTGGGATGAACATCCATAAATCCCAGCTATTTTGGGGTTCACTAGGTACCAGGGTTTTGACCCATCCCCATAATTTTTCAAGGGATCTTCGGGGAACGCGTTGGATTTGGAAAACCATGGCAGCCCAGAGGCAGCCCAGAGGCAGCTCCTCCACCCGGATGTCGTTCACCCCACGAGCCACGGCAGCCTCTGTACAATGTAGGGCCCCCGTTGGATAGCTAAGTTGGTGCAAAGAACTCCAATTTCACTATGGTTTATGGTACTTCACTATAGTTAATGGGGGTTATAAACCAACTTATAACTGGGGGGGCCCACATTGTATATATGTATGTGTATATATATATATATTGTATATACAGTGAGACTAGTTCCTTCAATGCCTCTTACCGATAGTTTTCTCTTCTGTCTTGCAGGTCCTTTCCTTTGTGCGCCTACTGTTGAAGCTTCTTGGAGATCTTCTTGGGACCCACACCCCAAAAACGAACAACCGTGAGCCAAAGCAGTCCCCAGGCTGACTTGGAAAGCACCCAGTCGTTTTTGAAAGGATATAAAAGTATCGTCGCCCCTGCCAAGGATACACATTGATAGACAAACAGACAAACCATAAGGCCAACAAACAAACGGACCAACAGATTGATTGATAACGTCATTAGTTCAATATATAGCATATTATATATATATATACATATATGCACATACATATAGAGAGGGAGAGAGAGAGAGAGAGAGTCATATCCTGTGATGATGATGGTCAGAGTCACTATATATATATATAGACATAAGACATACTTACACAGTAAGAATCAATAACTCTTTAAGTCCGTGGGATCTTTCCCGGCTCTTCCTTTGCTGGCCTTGCACTTGATGGGCTGGCCCGCTGCAAAGTGCCGCGCCGCGTGGCAGACACGCTTGGCCAGAGGAAAAAGCTGACGAAAGGCCTGGGGACATGGGACGGCCCTAGGAAAGCCCCTAGAAATGACACAGTTTGAGCGGAAAATAGCAAATGTACCTATCATCATCCCAAATACGATACAGTAAATAAGTGGAAAAAAAACACCTCTGCAGATCCCCCTTCCATAAATTCGTAACCTTAGGTATATATCACCATCTGTTGGTTGAATCCCCATTTTTTGGAACAGTTTTCCACTACCCCAGGGACTTGACTGTTGCCAGCCCAGGCACCGCCATGGAAGATGACCCCGCTGAGAACTAAAACCGCGCCGCGAGGGAAGGCGTAGCCGGCCGGGGATCAGCACAGCTCGAAGGTCACGGGCCCGCGGTCCACGGGGAGCCGAAGAAATGGGGGAGATCTGCAACAGAAAGGGGAAATATCAAAGCTGTATATATAGATAAATTACGAGATATATATATATATATACATATATGTATGTATGTGTGTGTGTGTGTATATGTGTAAATTGCTGTTTGTTTTTGGGAAACCCCCATTGAAACACCGAAGTCTGGTTCATCTGCTACCAGTCGGGCCGCCCTTTTCGCTGCGACCGGAAATTCTCGGACTGCTACCTAACTCCTTCAGTGCTCCTACTTCAGCGCACCGGGCAAGAGGGGGGTCACACCACGATCTGAAAACGATGGATGACACTTGGCCGCATGCACTGGGTACAGTAACCGAACATCAAGAGAGCGGCCCAAGATGAACACCAGATGGGCCCTATCGCAGGTCAAAAGGTTGAATGGTCACAAAAACCCAAGAAATATGCTGTCACATGTTTTTCACGAGCCAGTGACCCAGTGGCAGCCGGGTTAGGTGCCTCAATTGGATGGTGTCAAGCCCCAACAAATGCCAAAATCAGAAATCGGTGCTTCCCTGGCCATCCTAGGCCCATTTCACCAAGGGTTAGCCCATGGCGATACGAAGCCAATGCTCGTCATGTCATGTCGATCCCCCTTTGCTTGCCAAGCTCCGACCCAAAACTGTTCGGCCGTGCACTCAGATGATCATCGCAGCTAGCAACATGACTCCGAACCCTGGATACCCTGGTTGGTCACCCAGATTCACGCAAAAATTCAGCGTTTAGCCATGTTGAGCCTACCAAAATGAGGCTTCAATGCAACAGAAATGGTGATATAACCAACTCATTTCATGGATTGCTGGGTTTAGAAGCAGGGTTGTGAAGCAGTCACTAGCTGGGCTGAGCATCCAAGTATCCCTGAAACGACCAGCTGGAACCCACCCAACACAACAAAAAGGTTGCCCGGCATCCAATCTTCCAAAAAACAGGTTATCGAAGGATGCTGGTGCTAACACCAACATCATGTTTAAACGGTTTTTGCCACCAAGGTTAGCTAGCCACATGGAACCCCACATGCAGGCACTATTTTCAGCAAGTCCCAAGCCAGAAGCTCCAGGGATAGTAACTGAGCTTTCGCCAACCAACTCGGCCAAAGCTGCGTCCTCTTAAATCAGGGTTCACTCCCATGCGAGTTCAAAGCGCATCAATAAGTCACCACCTCGGCTAAAGCTTGGGCTCTTCCTTGCTATCATCTTTCAGAAGGGAATGGAACGTTTTTTTTTAACCCTGCAAAATTCAAACGAAATGTCGTGGGGGTACACCTCATTCATGGCAAGAAATCAAGTTGTTGACATACCGAAGGTTGACCCGCTGGGTTAGGATCTGAATAAATGTGAACTCCACCATGACTAGTTAAGCAAATATTCTTGGTCCCGGCGTCTGAAACATGTTTGCTAAACTACATCCAATATTTTTGCTATTGGTATAGTTTACATCATGAATTTCGTGGGAAAACCACAAGCTTTCATAGTTGAAACCACTATGTTTCATTATAAACCCAGCATTTGTGATAGTAAAACTACCATTTTCATCCATTTTCATCCAGTTTCATCCAAAAACCATATTTTTCATGGTAAAACCACCATTGTTTTGGTAAACCCCACCGCTTTTCATGACCAAAACTACCACGGTTTCTGCTGACACTCCGAGATGCTGCTCGCAAGCAGTCGCCTGAATGGAGGGCTTCGATCGCCTCCTTCGTGCCTCGCTGTGCAATTTCCGCAGGCATTGGGAATGATTTGCGTGAAATGTATCTATATTATACTTAAAATTATATGTTATATAATATATGCGCAATAGAATACATAAACATGTATGTGCATATACATAATTCTATATCTATATATATATCATATATATATATATCCCAAACAAACTAAAAGTGGTTATAATATGATCAAATATGTGCAGTAGATCTTTTTGTTGGATGTATCTTGACAAATTTGGTCCGAAGCTTGGTGGAAATCCCATGGATTTCTCCCCCCTTCGCACCTTCGACGCCCTTGAAGCGATGGGTGATGTAGTGATCCAGCTTCAAGCGCCCGGCCTCACAGGGTGAAGCCGCAAGTCATGTCGAAAATGCTTGGTCTTCCCGGGGGTTGATGGAGTTTTTTTGTTTTAATTGACACCCCAGTTGTGAGAGTTCTAACAACTGAAAAAAATAGAAATCTTCTTCTCCAACATGGACCCTCCCATGACCACTTGAGGACAATCATTGTTTCAGATTTTAGGCCGTTTTGGGAAGATCTTTCCTTTTTCTGGCGGGTTTTGCGTTGGCAGTTACAAAGTGGTGCCCCTAAGTTATACATAAGTAGGCTCCGTCTTGCTCATTTTCCTGCGGAAATCCAAAATCGGCATTGTGGAGCTATTTCAATCCACAGAACCCTGGAGCTAAGTGATGGATAAATCACCCTTGCTGATTGAAATTTTGGATAAAAGTATTTAGCAAATTTTAGCTAACTGAATATTTATCCAACAGGCTAAGTGATGCTATATAACTCTCCAAATTTTGCTTGGATAAATCACCCTTAGACAGAATCGCACCAAGTCGCTGTGGTCATCTTTCAGTCTAAGCCGCCATAAACCATACCAAAATGCTGGGTTTATGACATTGGCTTGACCACATTTATCATTTACCAATGAATCACCATGAAAACACCATGAAAAATCCCATTGAATCTCATGAAATCCCATTCACTCACCGCTAAATCACCATGAAATGCCACTGAATCCCATTCAATTGGAGGAAAAAAAACGTAAAATCACCAGGAAATCACCATTTTTGCTGGGTACAGCTTCCATTTTTCTTCATCCAATGACCATTTCTCTTGCTTCAACCAGGCCGTCACATCAGCGGACACCAGCGACACCTCGTAGGCCGTCACCAGCGAGGGCACCTCTGAGCGACCCTTCCAGCCACCAAAGGCCTGACGGCTGTGGCGCCATTGAATGATGATTGAATGGCTGTGACCCTAACTGGTTGGTGGTTTGAACCCCTCTGAAAAATATTAGTCAGTTGGGATGATTCTTCCCAATATATGGAAAAATAAAAAATGTTCCAAACCACCAACCAGCTAATGTTCTTCAGATATTTTCTAAAGGAACTTTGCTAAGATTACTTATAACAAAATCTTTCCCGATGGTTGATGGTAGATGTATCTATTATTAGATGGCTAGCAACAGACATAACTGGAGGGCGCACAATATGGGATGATAATACTGGGAAGGTAGTGGGAAAGTATGCTGTGGTAAACCGAAATTTGGGAAATTTGGGGATAAAGTAAAGGGATAAGAATTGGACAATAATGACCTTGAAGGTCACTGGAAATCTTGAGATAGTTGTGGCTGAAACAACTGCAGTACCAAGGAATTATGCTACAGATCAATCAATAGTTAGATAGGGTCTCAAATGTGTGTGGCAATTGTTGAACCCGGAGAACCAGAAACGAACGAGACCAAGCTGCTTTTTCGACGGCACCCGCATGGTAAGTCATTGGGTATCGTGTGATGGCGATTCCTCCACATTGAGTATCGTTATAACCGAGATGCAAATGCCATTAAGGTACGTCACATATCTCACGTCGTAAAGGTGAAAATTCCTTAGCCACTTACTAACGTGTCCAACCCTTCCCTACATACGTCCAAACGTCATACTTTCTAAAGTCTATCACATATAACCTGATTATACCACATTAACTCAAAAACAAACCCAAAAGCAAAAAAGTTGAAGTTACCCAATACAGCTTTCCTCCAAAAACATCACGTTCTGCTTGGGCCACTCATCAACCACCAAAACGTGATACTTAGTCCACTCGGGAAATGCAAGAGACCATGATGATTACCATGGGAAAATTACCATGGATCCTGAACCTGTAACTCAAAAGCATCAAATCCCCCTACAATGGATGGTGAAATAGTTCCTTCAAAGTCACCCAAGTGACTTGTGGGCCCTTTGGAAAATTTTCCACCATTTGTTCAGGCACACGCAGTGGTATATATGCCATAACCCCTGAGTTCACCTGCTTATCATCATCAACTTGGCAAAGTAATAATCTAATAAACTTGGTTAAATCGATTGTGTGGGAGGTTGAAACCCCTAAATAACCAACCAAGTTGGCTAAAGTTGGCCTATATAATTACCTTCTGGTTATTTAACATAGCCATGGAAAATCACCATTTTTTTATGGGCCATTTTCCATGGCTATGTTAAATAACCAGACGGTATATGTAAGCCCCGGGCCCCTTGTGTGGGTGAAATCACCGAAAAACTGCTGGGCGCCCGGCTGTGCCCGTCCACTTGCGGCCCGTAACCAGCTGGAAGGGCCGGGTGGCAATTTCCTGGCAGGAACTTGGGGCTGCAGGGCCTAGGGGATCAAATCCCAACCATATGGGCCTAGGGATAATGGTTATACCATCAATGGTTTTTTTTGGGCCATAGCTAAATGGATTATCCCAACTTGTGAGGTTATTTAACGTTTTTTAACCATAGTTATGGGGGTTGTGTAACCATAGCTCTACCTATTTTTTGAACTCCAGCTGCACCTCTAAGAACGTGGGGGAAAAGTGCCAGGGACATCCAGGTACAAAGGAACATATTTACCCAACCTGGTACTACTGGGATTTTAATGAGATTTTAATGGGAAATTGATGGGAAATTAATGGGAAATTAATGGTGATTAATGGTGATTAATGGTGATTAATGGTGATTAATGGTGATTAATGGTGATTAATGGTGATTAATGGGATTTAGTGGTGGTTAATTAATGGGGATTAATGATAATGTACCCTCTGGTTATGACATTCACAGTTCGCCATGGAAAATCAACACCCATGCTATTAAGAACGGTAAACCCAGGTGAACCATCTATTTCTATGGACCATTTCCCATGGCTATGTTAGTCATAACCAGAACATTTAGTCATCACGGTTTAAAAAATTGGCCAAACATGGGATCAAATCGCTGGAGAATGGCAATGTTTTTCCCCCCCTCAGACGCAACCAGTGGTCCTCAAGATGCATCCATTGAGTCCACCCCGCAGCTTTTGGTTCCATAAGTCATTCACTTGATGGCAACTCTCTTGAAACCCTAGGCCCTAGAACTGGAATATGTTGGTGAAACATTGACTGCAGCGACACGAACGGAGCGAAAACATGTAAACTCCAGGCAGTAACAAGACTGCTGCCAGCGTCAGCCATCGGCGCTGGTAACCCCGGATGAAACGATGGGTGGCGAATCGACCACGACCATAAGAGATTGATGATGTTTGAAGACCCAGATGCCGGAGGGTTCAGAGTTGGGTTGGGTTGGGGGAAGTGTTTGGACGAGCCAAACATGTGCTTGGCAAACAATAAACTTCGCCTCGAGCATATTTTCTTTAAAGAAAGTCAGGAGCAGAGATTCTTTGCTTTATTTGATTTCTGAAAAGTTTCGACGAAAAAGATGGTGCCGCGCTGCACCTCGTGAACTTTGCTTGAGGTGGCGATACGGCTGTTGAGATAAGATGATAAAACTGTGGCAGAACCCTACACCAGAAAGGCATCACTACAACCAAAGCTGAGATCAGGATGTCCAATGACTGCGGAACTGTTCCCGAACTTGTGGTCTCTTCAGAAGCGATCAGAAGCGAAGGATCGATCCCAATATTCACTGTCTGTGTCTTCGCTCGAACTTAAGGCATCCACGTGGAGTGGATATACCCCCGATATACCATACCGAAACATGGATGGTGGCAACCCAGAACATCAAAAACCACCTGGTATTGAACATTATTATCTTCCCAAAATAGGGTTCTTCGGTTTTACCTTGGGTCAATAGTGAATAGTGAAGGCTAACCATGTACCAATACAAAAAACCCTGAGGATCCTGGTGCTGAACAAGCATTTTTTAGAAGGCCAACATGTAGTTCTGATAAGCAAACCCAAAATTCTCAACAGTAAATCAATATAAACAAGGAAACTTCACCATTTAGATATCATTTCCCAAGAAAGCCGTGAGGGGTTCCATAGCTACCTTAGTTTACCACAGGCTAAATCCCTATAATTATTTTTGATGGCTAGTCCTGTCTAAATTTTGAAAGCCCTAATAAACCCCATGCTCCCATGAGTCTCTCACCGAATCTCCCTACGTTTTCCCCGTGAATTTCCCGTGATTTCCCATAGAACTCCCACGAAAATCGCCAGATTTCCCATCCCCAGGTGCCTTGCCAGCGGCCGCCACGCCAATGACGCAGCTCTCACCCCAGCCGCGGTGCGCGCACTCCAGAGCCGCGCGCATGACCTCCACGTTCCCAGTGCCTCGGAGAAACTAAGGCAAATGTGAGAAAACCTAATGGGGAAACCATGGGAAACCATAGGACAATGATCCGCAAATGGTGGGTTTTCCACATTTTTTGGTGTGGTTACAGGAAGGTACTTGACTTTGTTTGTTTTTTGCTGCTGGAAACGAAAGTTTCTACCATTCAATGTAGAGGGTCACAAGCTTCACTTCTCGACCAAGTCCAGGATGGTGAAGAAAAAGCTGTTCAAAACGGGGAAGCGCTTCACAACAATTGAAGCTAAGAAATGACGGCTGAACATGACTAAGAGAAAGAAGGCCATCAGCCGAATCTAAGAAGTGAGTATGTGGTTATTGGCGAAATGGCGTTGAAATTGCCATAAATGTGTAGATCTCAACCATATGTTGAAGTACCCAAAATCTTGGCTCAAGTGTCAATGGAAATGAACAGAGAACGTATCTCCATGGCGATTGGCTCAACACAATGGACTTCAACACAGGGGGAGGTGATCACAAACGAGGACATAGATGAACCAAGCAGTGACCGTATCACCCCAAAACAATGACACCAAATATGTCAGCCATGAGAATGCAAATAAAATCGAGCTGGCCCCTTGTCAGTTTTGCGCGTGGCCAATCTTAGGGATCCGACGCTAAGGCAGAAACAAAGCCAAGACTCGATCTTGGAGCTGCTCACTATGTAGATATGTTCATGCATGCGGCTATTTATATCATATCATACTTTATCATACCATGCCATCTCATATCACATATCTTCTATACATTAGAGAGGTTACCAAGACAAAAACCACCTAGATACTCAACCAAGGCTTACCGGGTAAACTTTACCCAGTTCACCAGCTTTGACCGAATTCTCGCGGAGCCCAGGAGCAGTCAAAGGTGTAGTCCACCCCCCAAGTGGTCATACCAACAATCACCTGGAAATCTACAGGATAGCATGATCATTCATTGATCATGGTTTTTCATCACAAGTATAGGGTTTTCCGGTCTTTTGTCCATCATCCAATTCTGGGAAAAAAATGATTGAGGAAAGGTCAAAGTGGCTACTGTTCAACAGAAAGTGTGGAAAAGGCACTGTTCGACATGATTCTGAAAGCCTCAAACGTCAATACTTGTTGGAAGCACTGTTCTTTTCCCAATCAAAATGTAGGAATTCTATGGAATTCTTGGTTCCTCTGCGACTTTCATGGCATGTGCCGTGCCTGCTGGATGGGCTTATCGTAGTCCTTGGGGTTCAAGCAATCCGTGGCGCCCAGCTGTTTGGCGATCTCAAATTTCTTGGGGTTCCTGGGCACGGCAACCCTACTTAAGGGGAAAAGAATTCACCTCAGGGGTAAGTTATTCATTGACCCTTTGACATTCGTCCCCACGGAAGAAACTCAAAGCCTTGGTACACCGAAGTATCTATCACAGAAAAATCCAGGGACCCAGTTGCATTTGGAGATGAGTCCAGTGATTCATTTGCTAAAGACCATGCCACTCAAACAGCGACTCGAAATCGATGCAATCTGACAAACCCAAAAAACAAACCACAGCCAATATACCCGACTTTGCCCCTTCATCATTCCAACCCGACATGACCCCCCGAGTCTAGAGAGGCCAGGCATTTCCTCATGATCAATCCGGCCAGGCATCATGTCAATGGCGAAAATTCGGGAGCATCCGCGCATCTGGCAGCCTGAAGGGAAGCCAACCCGAAGTTCAGATTGCCACAGCTTGAGATCCCAATTTTCCTGAATTGGAATGATGTGGGTAAAACAATGCCATAAACCCATCCGGGAATGGTACCACCTGGCATTGTTTTACCCACATTATAATCATCATTAGTCATCCATTAATCACCATTGAGCATCATTAACCATTTATTAGTCATCCATTAGTCACCACTAAGCATCATTAACCAGAAAAAAAGTCATCCATTAATCACCACTAAGCATCATTAACCATTTATTAGTCATCCATTAATCACCATTAAGCATCATTAACCATATTAGTCATCCATTAATCACCATTAAGCATCATTAGCCATATTAGTCATCCATTAATCACCACTAAGCATCATTAACCATTTATTAGTCATCCATTAATCACCACTAAGCATCATTAACCATTTATTAGTCATCCATTAATCACCACTAAGCATCATTAACCATTTATTAGTCATCCATTAATCACCACTAAGCAGCATTAACCATTTATTAGTCATCCATTAATCACCATTAAGCATCATTAACCATATTAGTCATCCATTAATCACCATTAAGCATCATTAGCCATATTAGTCATCCATTAATCACCACTAAGCATCATTAACCATTTATTAGTCATCCATTAATCACCACTAAGCATCATTAACCATTTATTAGTCATCCATTAATCACCACTAAGCAGCATTAACCATTTATTAGTCATCCATTAATCACCATTAAGCATCATTAACCATATTAGTCATCCATTCATCACCACTAAGCATCATTAACCATTTATTAGTCATCCATTAATCACCACTAAGCATCATTAACCATTTATTAGTCATCCATTAATCACCATTAAGCATCATTAACCATATTAGTCATCCATTAATCACCGTTAAGCATCATTAGCCATATTAGTCATCCATTAATCACCACTAAGCATCATTAACCATTTATTAGTCATCCATTAATCACCACTAAGCATCATTAACCATTTATTAGTCATCCATTAATCACCACTAAGCATCATTAACCATTTATTAGTCATCCATTAATCACCACTAAGCATCATTAACCATATTAGTCATCCATTAATCACCACTAAGCATCATTCACCATTTATTAGTCATCCATTAATCACCACTAAGCATCATTCACCATTTATTAGTCATCCATTAATCACTATTAATCACTATTAATCACTATTATTAACCATTATTAATCACTATTAATCACTATTAATCACTATTATTCACTATTAATCACTATTAATCACTATTAATCACTATTAATCATCCATTAATCACTATTAATCACTATTAATCATCACTATTAATCACTATTAATCACTATTAATCACTATTAATCACTATTAATCACTATTAATCACTATTAATCACTATTAATCACTATTAATCACTATTAATCACCATTAATCACTATTAATCACTATTAATCACTATTAATCACTATTAATCACTATTAATCACCATTAATCACTATTAATCACTATTAATCATCCATTAATCACTATTAATCACTATTAATCATCCATTAATCACTTTTAATCACTATTAATCATCCATTAATCATTCATTAATCACTATTAATCACTATTAATCACTATTAATCACTATTAATCACTATTAATCATCCATTAATCACTATTAATCACTATTAATACTATTAATCACTATTAATCACTATTAATCACTATTAATCACCCATTAATCACTATTAATCACTATTAATCATCCATTAATCACTATTAATCACTATTAATCACTAAATCACCATGAATCACTATCAATCACTATTAATCACTATTAATCACTATTAATCATCCATTAATCACTGTTAATCCCCATTAATCACCATTAATCACTATTAATCACCATTAATCACCATTAATCACTGTTAATCCCCATTAATCACCACTAAGCATCATTAACCATTTATTAGTCATCCATTAATCACCACTAAGCATCATTAACCATATTAGTCATCCATTAATCACCACTAAGCCTCATTAACCATTTATTGGTCATCCATTAATCACCACTAAGCATCATTAACCATTTATTAGTCATCCATTAATCACTATTAATCACTATTAATCACCATTAATCACCATTAATCACTATTAATCACCATCATTAACCATATTAGTCATCCATTAATCACCATTAATCACCATTAATCACTTAAATCACCATCATTAACCATATTAGTTCCATTAATCACCATTAATCACCATTAATCACCATTAATCACCATTAATCACCATTAATCACCATTAATCACCATTAATCACCATTAATCACCATTAATCACCATAATTAATCACTATTAATCACCATTAATCACCATTAATCACCATTAGTCATCCATTAATCGCCATTAATCACCATTAGTCATCCATTAATCACCATTAATCACCATTAGTCATCCATTAATCACCATTAATCACCATTAGTCATCCATTAATCACCATTAATCACCATTAATCACCATTAGTCATCCATTAATCACCATTATTAATCATCATTAATGTCCATAAATCATTACTATGAACCATGAATCACCCATGATCTATCCTCCATATCATCAACCATCATCAACCACGCTTTAAGCCCCATGGCGCCCTGCGCTGCGTCGCTCCTTGGATCACGGAGAGCCCCACGGCGCCCAGCCCGAAGACAGCTGCGGAGCTGCCACCCTCCACGTCGCAGGTGTTCCACACGGCACCCAAGCCGGTCCTAACGAGGCTCAAGTGCCCAGCTGGATGTCAAAGAATGTCAAAGATGGAGCTTTGGAGCTGGATTTCGAAGCAGTTTGGAAGATTTGATAAGATTTGAAGGTTGGACATCTTGAAAATTCTTGAAACAGGGCCGTTTAAGATCGTTGAAGTGATACGTTCGCATCTTGAAAGCCACAAATAAAACAGGAGAAATCCCACGATGAACACGAAAACCCACGAAAATTGCAAAGTCTTAAGCAAAAAGTGCTAGTATCTTTTGAAGCCAAGAGGCGCCACGCCACAACCAAGCAGGGAGCAAACCTCGTCTTCAGCAAGCGCAGAGTCTCTACAGGAAGAGGATCAGCAATAAAGATCGTGAGACGATCATTCCAGCAGGATCCCTCAAGGAGTAAAGTTCAAAGGGCACGCCCCAAGATTGAATGGGGAAGCGAGATGAAAGCTATGCTACTTGACATGTATTCCAAGTAGTCACGAAAACCAAGTGAAAGCCAAGTCGCATCCAGAGGAGCCGTAGGAGACACCTGAAGCACTCAGGATTATCACCGTCCGTCCCCATGTGCTCGAAGACCCCAAAATCCACATGATTTCGGCGATGGTCTCCCTAAATTCGTTCGTTGTTTCCAATGGATTTACCCCAAAACAGAGTAGCCCTAGTAACTCCAGTGCTTCAGGACCATGTTCATCCACTTTCCCTATGAACATGTGCCACAAAATGGGGCTACTATCCCCCCTCCGTGGGTATTCCTAGCCATTCCCGGCCTTTGCACAGGAGATGTCCGCCACCACGGTGTACTCCGAGAAGGTGGAGCAACCCATGAAGTGCCTCCCGTAGGACCAATATGTGGGTGGCACACCACATCATTCCTCCATGGCTGGAAGAGACCATGAGGATGCTGATCTGATCTGGAAAACGCCTCTAAAATTCAGAATGGACAGGTTGGTATCACTAAAGATTCACGAAAAATGACTGCTTCGGAACCACGGTCATATCGAATTCTTGCGAATTTCGAGTGTTTGGATCCAATGATTTTCAGGTGCATTTCACATGTAAAGCCATAGAACTTGGGGGCCCAAAATCGCCCAGCGCACCAGATGGTCTTGCCCTCGGCATCCGTGAAGCGGCTGGTGCCATCCGGCATCACGCCCTTGCCTGGACGATGCTAAGGGGGAGTGGGGTAGCACCAACATGGAATATATCCCATATGTACATATACATATAAGTACACATACATGTAAGAATGTATATATATATACATATGTATGGGATACACAATAGATGTCAAAATATATATATATATATGTGTGTGTATACTACGCGATAACCCGGTTATACCAATGATACATGGGCGATATTGATGGTTATTATTGAGCAGTGCGATGCACATCCAAGCATGGCATCGTTCCCCGATGGAAACTCGTTGGATCAAAAAGAGTTTGCCAAAAGGACCCGCGAGCCACGGGAACTACGGGAAGTACCAGAGTCATAACAACTGCTTGCAATTGTTGTGTATTCATCACTACGAAAATCATCACTGATAGGTCAACCCTTTCACCAAACTCCACCCCCTGCCCACTATAGGTGCCCCGAAACGTCCCGAAACAACGCCGGCTCAACGCCTTGTGTCCCACGGATCTTGGGGCACAAGTTGGTGCGCTTTCCTCCACGGAGCGGCTTCGTGGCTCGGGTTCATCTTCCCGGTGATTGTATGAGTGCATCTATGGGCCTATAGATATATAGCAACCCAAAAAAGGGGCTTATACTATAGGTTTAGAAAGAAACCCATATAGAGAAAAAAAATGTAGCAAAGTTCATCATCCCAGTTTTCGTACCAGTTTAGTTTAATGGTTTACCTTTTTGGGGGCAACTATATGATACTATAAGCATGTGTGGCCTTCAGACCTACAACTTTTTACCATCAATCTATCGATCCAAAAGGTGTGCGGAACGCTAATCCAAGAGGCCACGTGGAGGGAAGCAGAAGATGCATTCCTAGGCCCAACGGGACGTTTTTCCTAAGGCCTGGCTAGGCAAAAGAAGAGCCACAACTGGTGTTGGATAACCTCGATGCCTAGATATCTGGATCCCGAAAAATGCGGTGCTGGATTACCTCCCTATCTGAAAGGATAAACAGTAATGAAGGGACCCGACCCGCACCACAAAATCTTGAAGAAGCAACCCGAAGAAAGATGGAACTATCAAATCAAATTTCCTACGAACATCATCTGAAATAGTGACGTCACTACGTTTCTAGCTCTTTGGTGGTTGCTATCACAGAACCATGGCTGATACATGGGACTTCCATGGATTTCCCATGGAAACGAGCTTAAATTCCCGGCCCAGGTGCAGGTTCACCGCACTGAGGGGTGTAGCAAGGAATTACGTGGTCTCCAACTTTCACACCTCAGGGCCAGTGAGTGAAGTGTCAGAACTGTTGAGATCTTGGTCACTTGGGATGATGACATTCCCAACACGTATGGTTTATGGTACTTATAATGCACCTGGTTGGTGGTTGAGCCTACCCCTCTGGAAAAAAATGAGTTCGTCAGTTGGGATGTTTGTCATCAAACATGGTGGATTACACATCAATGGGGGTTTCACCATCAGAAATGGTGGGTTAGACATCAGAAATTATGGTCGATTGGGTCGTAGCTCGTAGTGGGCATAATTTGAATTGATAGATCCAAATTATGAAGAGTCAATATTCATTGGTATCAATAATGGATCCAATTGATAGTCAAGATTCACCTTTGAATCGGTTGTTGGTGCTTCATACGGCCCAGCTAAGCCCAGCTAAGCCCAGGTCTCCCATTTCCTGGTTGAAGCCTCCCTTTTAAGCGGTGATGATTCCAGTGATGATACTGGATGGAAGCCTGAGACATACGGAAAGCATGTGGCCCGACCATGTTGAACATACAACGTTGGTCAATTTTCATGGGTCAAAACCTACCATTTCTATCCATTTCTCATAGAATAGACCAATTTCCAAGTTAGCCACAGCACTGACAGAAAATGGACATGTCCCTGTGGCTGGCTGGAAGTTATACCATCTGGTTATTTAACATAGCCATGGGAAATGGCCCATAGAAATAGATGGTTTACCTATTAAAAATGGTGTTTTTCCATGGCTATGTTAGTTTACCAGAGGGTAATCATAGTTTAGAAGTTTAGACCTAACCACATCTTGGCATCTGCCGGACCACTGGTCACGCCCTCGCCGATGCTCTCCACGATGGCACCGGCTTCGTGTCCCAGGATGCCTTCAGGCCGCTTAAGCCGCTTCGGCAATGGATTGGAAACCAAAGATTTTCCCATTTCCCATCCCAGATGCTCCATGTATGGAATATTTACCTACATTTACCCCAAAAATAGCTCAAATGTAGATAAGTATTCCATACATGGAGCCTCTGGGCATGAAATATGGGGCTTTCCTGCAATTTTTCCCTTAAGCCAATCCCTTGACTATGGCAATGAAACGTTTCTGAACTACATGGAGCCTGTGATAGGAAAACGATCTAATCTGACCCAATCATAAACCATCCCCTATATTTCCATCAATGGGTGGTAAAGCTCGTCCCCACATGCTAGGCTTACTATTGGGGTCTATCACATTATAAGAAAACTTGACATTTAATATTAAATCTCCATGTCTATGGAAGAATTGCCTGTTAAAAAATAAATCTTAAAAAAGACAAAAACATTTCTGTGGAATTATGGGAAGATGATCTATGCCTTGCAATCTCTTTATCGGAAACGACAGATTACATTGCCTGGGGTGGTTCCCCTTCTTAATCTCATCCCCCAATCATATCAAATACTCTCGGTTACTGGGCCCCAAGATGAAATGATCAAAGATTCAACCAAGGTGTTTACATAGCTTCGCCCTCGAGATAAACAGTTGGATTGGTTTCTAAACCAACTGGAAAAAACATTTTCGATTGATGGAAATGTTGCAATCCCCCTAGAATCCTAGAAACCCTGGTGCCATGTATTGGATCTATTCATGTTTGCATCCTGGAGGTAATTCATATTGATGTGCAAAACATATATATATCATACACACGCCCATTCGCAAAGGTTCTGACCATGTTCAAACCTCCTTTTCATAGTAGGTGGGATTATTCCTGGGAAGGGATCCAATTTTACACCCATCAAACTCTCCCAATCTAACTCAGAACTTGCCACTACTAAAGTTGGTTTTGGGTTCCAGGTACCCATTCTCACATATCTCACATCAGCTATATCGAAAATCTATGGAAAATCTCCATTTCCTGGATATTTCCCATAGAACCCATATATTTCACCATAGAATCCCCATAGAAATCTATAAAAATCTCCAAGTTCCCATGTTTTGCCCCATCGAATCCCCCAAAAAAGTCACCTCCCCAGCTCCCAGCGTGACGCTCAGGTGCTGGGGAACAGCCCTTCGGGATCGGCGCCGGAGAGCCTCACGTTGGATCTGCTGGGGGGAAGTGGGCCGGAAATCCACAACTTTTTTGGCCCAGATGATGATGATTTATCTGATTGACCCTCTGGGAAACATACAAAAAACCATGGAAAATTCGGAAAATCACGATGTTCAATAGGTCAATCCGTCAAGAAACAAATCTTAACAACTCCAAGTTGTCAAGATTGAAATCGGTACAGTACATCCCCCTAACAACAAAGAAGTCAAATCATCTCTGCACCAGATATTCAAGGATAAGAATATGATCCTGAAATGCAAAAAAATCTTGGGATTCCATCTGACCAATCGGGCAAAAAAACCAATGAGCTGGGAAGCTCCAGCTCAGTGGCTGTGATTTGGGGGATCTTGGGATTCCACATGCGCCGAATCCGAGGGGCGTGTAGATGTCTGTGTGACACAGAGCATTGCTCATCACCTGCGAGCGTCGGAACCATCCGGAATCACCAAATCATCGCCTCAACAAACATCCTCGCCTGGTTACAAAGCCAATAGGAAACACCAAAATCATGGACTGAAGTACCTAAATGGAGGTTTCCTAAAATGGAATTACCCCCATTGATCATCCATCGTATCCATTTATAGATGGATTTTCCATTGTACACCAGGTATTGGAGGTACCACCCAACCACCCATTTATAGAACCCCCTGCAATTTCCGTTTGGAAGGTCTCTCACTATCCCCACACGTCTGGTTCTCTACCCGCCCAGCTGGAGATAGCTCGAATCTCCCCAAGTCATCCCCTGTGTTGGTGGTGATGCACATCCATCCAGCATCCAGGGACCTTCAAGCGAACCTCCCTTGGCCCTGGCACTGCCACATTGACTTCCTGGCAGTTCCGGTCTGGTGCAATGCCCTATCGCTATGGCAGAATCCTGTGACCATCTCAGTTTGGCCAATCTTAGATGGCCCGGAACACCATTTTTTTCGCTTCGACCTGCGGGATTCTGCAAAGGTTCATGGACTTCATAGCTGTCCATCCAGCTGTGTGGGGATGGTTGCAGCTGGTTGCAGCTGCTGAACCCTTCAGCCCAGGTTTATTTGTCCCCAAAGGTGGATGATTTTGGAGCACCTGCCCAGCACTAGAAACTATGGCTCATCGGTCATCTCATCCCATAGTCATCCTAGTCATCCCATCCCGTCCCCATAAAAATACATTCTGGTAATTTAACATAGCTATGGTATAGATGGCCCATACATGTTTTTTTTGATTTACCATGATTTACCTGACTTTTTACCTCTTCAAAATGGTGATTTTCTATAGCAAACTGGCTTGGTTGACCAGAGGATATCCAGTCCTCGATCCTCAGGTCGTTCACGCCTCGTGCCACGGCTGCCTGCCGTCCACCATCGTTCGAAAGGCTTGGATAGGCTTGGTTTAGAAGCCCCATGAACTGAACACTATAGTTGTTGACAAGTATAAGTATCATAAACTATCATAAACATTCATAAACTATAGTTGGTACATTCATAACTCCAATTTCACTTTGGTGAAAGCATAGTTCTAAGTATCATAAACCATAGTGAACTTCCAGTTATGAACGCACCGATTTCTATATTATTTGGGGCCCCCACTTTGTATCAAAATGATGGAAAAAATCGAATCATGTCAGGCCCTTGCCTTGCACTTGAGCGGCTGGCCAGTTGTCTCGAAGGCAATTCGTTCAAACTCGGTTCAGCTGCAAGAGTGCGGATGAGGCAATGGGTTTCGAGATTTGTTGCAGCTTGTATTCACAGGCTTTGCGTCATTTAGTTATCACCTAACATGATTTTGACACGACGGGCAAAAAGCAAGAAGGAAAAGCGGAAGGTACGTTTGTATCTCTCACATTGGTTTTTTCAACATCAAAACGGTTCTCTTTGCTAACACAGACGGTGACCAGTGAAAGACCTGGATCATGTCGCTGTGGGAGCTTGTCCTATCATTTTCCGGGTGTGCAACTGATTGGTAGACCATTTCGGTCTCTCTCAGTTTTTGGGAAATGCAGGACGCAACTGCAACGGCAGTTGTCCTGGTGGTACCATACCATACCATGGGGATCTTCATGCTGCTAACACCTAACCCTTCTTAATTAAGTGTTGTCCCATAGGTCACCCTCCCATCGAGCACCTTCTGAAGCCCTGAACTGAGCCATTGGCACCACCGTTGGCCATCGTGGGAGCACGGATCTTCTACGGCGGAGCAAGAGTCGAGCCAAAGAGCTCTTTTTGGGTCAGCCGTGCCCATTTCTCATGGCTGGGTTAGATTGTGGAAAGGTCGAAAACTGTATTTTTTTGTGGTTCACATACCCTCCAGTAAACTAACAAAGCCATGGAAAATGAACTATGTATAGAAGATGTATCTATTCAAATAGCGATTTTCAATGGACATGTTAATTTACCAGAGGGTATATGGTATATGCGGTAAATGTGCATACGAATGCACACCCTTGATGTATCCCTCTTACAAGCTATAAAGATGTGCAGCGAGCCCTTCCCAACCCTTTGTTGAATCCATTTATCAACAACTCTCTTCCAACTTTGAAAAAATCCACAAAATCCCATATAGAATCCCATGGAAAAAATCTCCAGGCTCCAGGTCCCCAGATGCACAGGTCTTTTCTCAAGCGATCCTCTGCCTTTTGGCCGGGCGCTTCATGGGTTTCTTCGTCTCGCCTTTGGACGACAGCCAGGCGGCAAAGCTTTCGGCGCAGCAGATCAGGTACTCCACACCCTCCAGCTCCTCCAGTGGAGAAAGCTGTGGAACCAGTGGAGAGGTTCGAAGGTTTCTCCAAAAGCTGCTTGGTTTCACAGCCCATGGTATGGATATGTATGGTATATGCACGGATAATCGTGAAGATTTGTATGGCCCATCTGCTTCGATAATAGAAATGATGATGTACTGTTCTTATTCGTTCTTCCAAATGGTGAAGTTCTATAGCTAGGTTAAATAACTAAAGGGTATTGGGAATGGAAACCATCAATATTTTGGGTGAGCCAAGAATCGTCAGCAATAGTCAGGAATAATGATCACAAAAAGTCATCAAGTTACAGGTGGCACCAGGCGAACCATCATTGGAATGTACACATGATAAACCAAGAACCTTGGACACAGAGGGAGCATTGGAATGAGCCAAGAACCACCTCCACTAGTTGGATCCCCGTAGATTGGTTGGGGTAGATCAACTCATAACGGGAATCAACTCGCCGCATCCCATTCTATCCTCATTGTGGTTGGTTTAAACCCCCATTTTTGTTGGTTTGCTCATGAAAAATTCTCTCTTAGCCACTGATAGGTTGGTTGCATAATCTAAATATATCTTTTTTTCTTTGCATACTCTAAACATCTCTAAACCAACCCGTCTGGTTATTGGATAACCCCGGGGGGACTGAGTAGCGCTCCTCCAACCCCCGGCTCCTCCAGCAGCTTCCACGGCAGCCCCCGTGGCGTTCCCCACTGGCAGCCCTCCAGCGCCGCCACCGTCGCCAGCGCCAGGGCTGCCACCGAGTCCACGTCGCCACCCACGTGGACGCTGCTCAGCAGCACGTCGCGGGGGCCGCGGTGGAAGCGCAGCAGGTAGAGGACCTGGGGGATGGTGGACACCGTCGAAGACCCAAAAAAACATCGGAGAAATGGGTGAAAATCTACTTGTTAACCCTCCAAAGAAAAGAGTTTGGACAAAAAAAAACTGCTCAAATGGTTCATTGAATGATGTTTTCTCCTTTTTTGGGGGGGATTACTATAAAATAAAACATGGGAAAATCATGGAAAATTATATAGGTATTACAGAACAATTGTTTATTGGGAAACTGGACAGTTGGATTCGGAGTTTCTGAATCTGAATTCATCGTTTACTACCCCAAAACAACTAAGCAGCAAATTGGAATTGCACATTTCAAGAAACAAGTGGATTTGACTCTGACAAGCTGGGAATTTCAGATTGAAGTCATGGTTCACAGCCCCCATTCCGAACCAGACTCTAGTGACCTTTTCATGATTGTTCGATCTTTTTGGGTGCTTCTAACCATTTCTAACCCATGGCCAGGCGCCACCCCAGCAGTCCGCATGGCGTCCGACCCCACCCCGTGCACGGGGTCAGTGCCCAGCTCACCGCCACGGCAGTGCGCCAGCTGCGGGTTGGGCTGTGGACCGCAGAGCGCCTCGTGGACCTTGGAGGCGAAAACCCACCAGAAATGTCGAGCATTCTCCAGGGGAACTTGGGAACCATGGCTTTTCTACATCTTTGTTTACCCTAAGCCCCCTTGGGCTTGGGGGAACGAAGAATTCAATGGGTGCACCAGCCAGCATGGAAGTTTTAGTTAGATCTCCTTCGCCAGTGCTCAGTATCAAGTTGGGATGGTTGCACTGGTTGAATCCCACCTCGATTTGGGATGATTTACCCTCTGGTAATTTAAGATAGCTATTGAAAATGGCCATTTATAGTGAGTTTTCCCATTAAAGATGGTGATTTTCCATAGTTATGTTAGTTTACCGGAGGGTATAACGGCCTCCAAATGGTTGCTCAATGGGCTGGTTTATGATTGGTTTTGCCACAATCAATATCTCCTTCATCCACCAAGTTTCAATCATTTTCCCCCTGGTGCCCCGGCCTCTGATGGCATCCTAGACAGGTGCCGTCCAAAGGAATGGTAGTCCGGTTGTCGCTGCACCACCTGCGACAAATCCGAGCAGAAACGGAACGACTGGACTGGTCATGATTTTGCTGTTCAACTAGGCACTTTGAAATCCTCAAAAAAAAAATAACGAAAAGTGCAGATTATCAAATTTTAGGAAGGAATAGCCTTCGATGAGACTCTAGAGATCTCTAGAGGACTCCTAAAAAGTATCTCCATTTCATGGTCAATGTTGAGCCATGGGCAAATGGGGCCTGACTTCACAAAAGTCCCAGCAGCTGATCCTGTCAAGGTGGTCATATTGGATCTACTCCATCGGGGCCCTCTGGAGATTTTCTCACAAAACATGAAGATTTCCCACAAAAACAGAGCTGAAAAGCACCAGACCTCCAGGTATTCCTCGGTCTCTGCATGGCTCAGGGAGCTGTTTCGCAGCCGTTCCAGGCAGCACTCTATCACCAACTCCTTGCGGTCAGCGTTTCGCTGGATATGGCAGGACTTTGGAGTGGTATGATCCATCGACCAGGTTACCATCGAAAAAGTCGGTCTCAAACATTGATCTATCGAGAATCTTTCAAGGCTAAAAACCAAAAGTAGGATACATCAAAAAGTCAAAATATCAGAGAACCTTTGACAAATTGATCTATTTTGGGACACTTCAAATATCTTCAAATGATCCCCTTGCAGAAAAAACACCGACCCTTCGGAAATTGCCATGAGATCCTCATTGACCAACAGGGCACCCAAATTGGATCTAGTACATTCTACCACCGGGCCGATCTGATTTGGGAGTATGTCGATTGGATGGGATTTTCATGTATTAACTATGGAGAGATTGACCTGATTTCTTGATGCTTACACTGCTTTTCACTCCCGTTTTGGATATATATATATATACACAATGATATATAGTTAAACCCCATTGGTTACTCGCAATTTTCCCTATTGAAATTGCTATTTTGGCGGTATACCCAGTTTTAGTTATAAATCCCACCATTTCCAGGAACAAAAAAAAACTGCTGCTGAAAATACTCAACAAATCACGATCTTTGCCGAAATTTGCCAACCAATCTGGCCATATCGGCAATGTCAATGTACCACTTTTCCTGCTTCAACATCTATCCCAGTGAAATCTCCGGGTTTCACCATGAAGAAAGTGTCCCAACCCCCTCTTCAAAGCGCGCTGGCCTGCTTTCCTTTCTCCAGGATCAGATACCTCGCTGCCATGGCCATCAAGAAGCTTGCAGCCGAGGCCTGGTCGAACGGGCATGGGAGATGAAGCATGTTGGAGAACTTCTGGTAACGGAACTATATGGGAAAATCACCATTTTTAATGGGTAAATCAACATAAATCAACTATTGATGGGCCATCTATACCATAGATACGTGAAATTACCAGAGGGTAACTTCTGGGAAATTTGGATCTTTGGATAGCTCTGGCAATCAACCACGGCTGGAAGATCGTCCATTGATACTTGTTGTTCCCAGCGAACTAAACCTCCAGAGAGCTTTCTTGGAGGAATGTAAGTGGTTCGTAAATGAGCTTAGTGCACCCAGTTATCAATGGGAAAACCTACCGAATGGGGACTTAGGAACCAGGCTTACTAGCCACTTGCCGAAGTGGGAGGCTCCTCCAACTGGAATAACTTCTGGGGAAATTGGATGTATTGACCTCAACAATGAATTCTGGTTCTGGAAATGTTGGAGGTGTTCTGCTTGTGGGTCAAAGACACTTGGCTCCATTTTTCTGGCTGGGAATGATTTTCGCTGGAAGATGGTGAGTTTTCATGTGTCATTAGGGAAAATAACACCATCGCCCATAGCAAAAACACCCATCAACAAGGTTTAGCCAGCCATCCCGTACGATTTTACCACCTAGTGGTGCCGCCCCCCAGCCATGTTCATCGGTTTTTTTTTACCCCAATTGCTCAACGGATATACCTATGGCAATCCCCAGGCTGCCGAAAAATAAATTCCCACACCTTGGGATGCGGGTGGGTGGCATTGGCATTCACGGCACAAAGACGCTCGAGCTCCTGGGGCGGGGGCAGTTCAGCCCTGCTTTTAGCTCTTCGCTTCACTCCAAAAATCACTGGGATCTAGGGATTTTAAGGCCCCAATGTGGTAACCAGAGGGGTTTACTGTCAAAAATGGTGGTTTAAGCATGGCTTCATATTGTGTTTATAGGTTTTGACCCATCCCCTTAAGCATCCAGAAGGATGGGGTTCACCTGGTTGACTATCCTGAAGTGAGGATTAATATAGAGAGAGAGAGGAAAAAAATACAAATAAATAAATAAATATTTTAAATATTATATGTATATATATATATATACACATAGCCAATAAGACGTGATGTGGCAAACCCCATGCCATAGACTATAAACCTAAGAATTTTGGATGATGTCAATCCCACCCATTTCTGGTGAGTCATTGGATATTCTTTACGAGATTCTTTCCATGCACTTTCTCGCCCTCTAGCTCTGTAACTGGGATGGTCCTCCACAATGCTGACCTTTTTCAACTGATTAGCTGCCTGAATTCGTGCCTCGGTATTGTCAGCGTGAGCTGCTGGAAAGTCAAAGATTTCTGAGCAAATCATGGACTTTAGAGCTGTCACCACCAAAACGTGGTCCGCCCCATGTAACGACCGATCCATCTTCCAGGATCGCAGCAAATGCAGCACATGTGGCCTGAATCTGCTTCACACACTTAAGCTGATGTTGGACTTCAGAGCTGTCACTGCCATTACCCGGACCGCCCCATGTAACGACGGAGCCATCTGCCAGGATAGCAGCAAATGCCTGTCCTGTGGCTCAGCTGCTCTTGGACAGCGGAGCTGTCCCCAGCACCACCTGGATTGCCCCATGTAACAACTCCGTCACCCCCACAGCACCAAAGAGCAAATGCCGTGGCAGTTGACGCCAGCTTTATTTCTCCCACAACGGCTGTGAGTTGGTCCCCATCTTGAAGCCCTGCAGCCTCAAGGGATTTGAGTAGGATCATTCAGGATGCGCGAATCTGCAGTGACAAGCCTTGAGAAGCGCTGCCGAAAAGACGTCTGTGCGAGATTCTTCAGGTCCCCTACTTTGGAGGACTCTGAAATTGAAAGGCTCTCACTGCCTCCACTGGTCAGAGTCACAGTGAGTTGAAGCATAGTTGAAGTCTCGAGCCAATACACACTGGTGGCTGAATGGCCGTGAAGCTCGGGATGATGGGGCAATCCCCAATCCCCGCCATTGGTTAATGGGCTCTAACTTTAACTCCTGACCCCACCAAAAAGTATATAACCCTCTTTGTAAAGCAAACGTGGCCTTCTGGAAAATCAGACCTCTGTGGCAAGGTCGTGGCAGGACATATTCTGCCGAGAATACTGGTTTGCAACCATTTTTGTTGATTAATGCATAAATCCGTATGTTGTGTTTGCGAGCCCTAGATTTTGTTGTCGGAACCTTATATTTCATAACCCCCCCACATGTTGTTGGCTAATCATTGTTAACTTCCATATTTTCATGGTAAATCCCATATTTGCTTCACGTTGTCACCCCAATTCTTCCAAAATTCAGCTTCAGCAGAACACAGAAAATCATGCTTCTTTTTCACCACTGTTGCTGGTAGAATCCCACCTTTGGGTTTTTTGGCCAAATTCTCCAAGCTCCCTATCCACCCACTTCACCCACTTCCTCCAACTCCAGAAACGCCAAGGGCAGGGCCCTCATGGGCGGCGCATTGCCGGGGTCCACTCGTTCGGACTGCGACTTTTTCAGATCTTCGAGGGAACTTTTACCCTCGAAGTAGGCCTCCGTTGAAACGGTCCGACATCAGGGAGATCATAGGGGATCTCTTCCCAGCGGGGAAGTTCACAAATGCCTTGGGGAATGGATTGATTGGATTGTTTAGACCAAGATCTATTGGATTTCGTGGGCGAATAGGGATTCATATGAGGACATCAAGAAGAACTGGGGAACTGAAATGGGATTGGTTTTCCTAGGATGTCAAAGTTCGTGAAACAGAAAGGATTTTTGCTTTAACAAATAAATGGAGAATATGTGGAGAGTAGTAAGCAAAACTGGGTGGCTGGATCTAACCAGGGTCATACCTGTCATATACTCATGGACTCATGGCTGTTCATAAGTTCTTTGCAAAGATGGTAGATCCGGGAAGATGAGGATAGGAATATGGGAAATGAAATAAAATGAACCTAGTGCATAGGTCAAAGTGCCAGGATTGAAGGCATCAAAGGCCAATAAGAAGTGGCCATATATCTTCCCCAGGTGCGTCGCCCAGGCTTCCAATTTGGAGGCGGACTGCACCAAACCTACATTTTGGCATACGATGGTGGTTTCCAAGAATCACGCACTGCAATTCATCCAAATTTTGCCATTTTTTGCGGACACAAATGGTTTGGGGCACCCAAAAATGTTGAAAAACACCTTGGAGAGACAAACATTGGGGAATCCCCATTGAACCGAAAAACTGTTGTGGGGCGAAAAAATCCCAAGCCCCCGAGCAGACTGGAACACCTCCAATTTTGAAAATGAAAAGGTCGATGAGAAAATACACATGCGAAAGCACATTCAATCATTCAATCATTTCGAACAACTACATTCATCAAAATCCCACATTTTTTGAACATGTAGTCTACATGTTCAAAAAATGTGGATTTTTGATTTACGCTCTGGTAATCAAACATGGCTTGCTGGAAAATCTAGTTGATTTTCCCAGCTATCAACCTCCATTTATGGGTTGCCAAAAATATTTGTTATCAAAAACTCAGAAAGACTGATTGATGGTTCCCTATATATTACCATTGAAATGGAATGATCTCCAATGACCATTTAATGACCATGTCAGTGATAAACCCATCTAACTACAAGTTAAAGCATCTTGACAACTACGAAGCAAAATCCCAGTTATCAGTTCTCATAGTTCTTTTCAATGGGTGGAAAAAATTCCGGGAAAGCCCTATAAATTTCATGGGAGAAACCATGGCTTCCGGTTAAGATTTTCCCAAACAATCCAAGCCATTGATTTTTCCCAGCTGTAAACCTCACCTTTCTCCGGTCCCTTCAGCCTTGATGCTGCCATGCCCGGCGCGGCCCGTGCCGGGCAGCGCCGGCGCGGGGCGCTGCTGCGACAGGAGCCACTCGTTTCTCCAAGCGTCCAACATGTCGGCCTCGCCTCATCGATGACCAAATGAGGTCCATATAGATACCACATCAATGATAGACATGGTATTCATACATATATATATATTCTATATATATTCTATATATATATTATACATTAAATATTATATATTATATATATATACCATATATGAATGTATGTATCGTCTGATATTGTATTGTATACCATGTGGATCCCATAGAATATCATACAACATGTTATGCATGTCTGCATGTATGCATGTATGTTCGTCATGAAGTATGACATGTGCTTGCATTGAAAAATGTAACATAATATGGTGCGCTTGAATGCCATAGAAAGCGTAAAGTCACGTAATGTATGCAAATGTGTTGGGTACATCGTAGCTTCCTTTGACAGCTTTGGAACCTGTCTTCAATAATTTTCACACAACTGGACTCAACAATTTTGACGTTTGTAAGTTTGAGAAATGATTTTGGAAAAGTTGCAAACCATTCTGAAATCCCAGACCAATTCCAGACTTATCAACCTCTCTCCAAGGTACTCAATGGCTTGACATGGCTTGACCCATTCCAATCTTCCCACGGACATCATAAAATTCCAATCTTCAGAGCCTATCCTGCCCCCGGAGAGAGGAAAAAATCCATGGCACTTGGAACATGACGTGAACGTGACAATGGCCATGTTCCAACAGAACTCTCCAAGCCCAGGGCCCCAGGGCGCTCCATCCAAATCCCTTCTGGGATGATCACCGAGCGTCCCAAGTCTTTCAGATCCTCGACTTTCATCAAGGCTCTCATCAAACCCACCGTCATCTCACAGTCGTCGGAGTACATTCCCCTGCTTGGTACACAACAGCGACGCAGCCGGTGTGGACAAACATAAAGAGTCATGCTTCGATGTTGAATCAAACCATGCAATTTTGGGGGAGGTTGATAAGATTGATAAGTTACAAAAAAAATGCCAATTACTTGGATGAAAACTTGCCCCCTCTTTTTGCAGCAGAAATCCTTGAATTGGTAATAGCCATGTTTCACCACTGTATAGTAACCACCAATGAAACATACTTGCTTCACCCAGCTATTCCTATTTCCACCAGCAAGAAAGTAACCCATTGCATTCAAAACGTCCTAACCACCTTGCTACCCATTACAGCCACTATTAAGATTTGTCATTTCATCCATCCCCCAATTCCATTGCCATCTGGTAATCACAAATGGTTCGATGATGCTTCCATGAAAGGATCATTTACAGTGGAATTTCAACGTCTCGTGGATTTTCAATGTTTCCATCACTGAATTCTCCAGCTTGCTATGTTTGATTACCAAATGGTATATCTCCATTATTGAACAGCAAAACATATCCCGTATCTCCCCATTTCCATCACACCAATTGGTTCATCAAGATGTTCCTTAAAAATTCCATCCATGTTCCATCTACCATCCCATTTTTATCATTTTTCCATATATTTTTCCATGTTTGATGACTCCGGGTATCAAAGAGTCGCCACCTGATATTGTTGGGCTTGTGGTCTTCCTTCATGGCCGGATTCTGCGGCCATTCGCTGCACTTGGTGACCCGCTGCCGGATCCAATGCGCGTCCTGCCTCGGCAGTGAGGGAATTGCACCTCCAAGCATGTCGATGGTGAAAAGTCGACTGAGATCTTGTGAATCTTGTGAATCTATGTGATAGTATAGTATAGTATCAATGATAGTATCAATTATGGTTCAGTATGTGATATTATGGTGAATCTATGATAATCCATGTGATTTTTTCTAAATAATAGATTATCATAATCATTAATAATTAAATCATTCAATGGATTAACCAACCTCACCATGATAATCATGATAATCTTGAATGTTTTGTCAAGGTTCGGTTGGAGGTTCTATCCCTTCATCATTGATCATTTTGGCAAACCCGGCGTCACTCCACCCAAGTGATATCACCAGTTTACACCCCCACGTTGTGTTCTTTTGGATGATTGATGCCTACATATCCCCACACATAAAGTCCTTACCCACGTGTCATCCCAATATAATGATTCTGCAGCTGTTGTAGCACCATATAAAGCCATTACAAAGCCCCTTATCTACAAATTTCATCTCAACATCCGAGCATATACAGTATTCCTTCCACCCATAAAATATTAGCACCCCCCACTACACCCTAGTGGTTTCGTAGACTGTCATCATCCACGAGGCTTATTGCCGCTGGAAGGGTCATCAAAAGCCACATATCATCTACTGATGAACGCTCTACTGCTGCCAAACCATCAGTGAATTGATCTGAAGTTCCTGTAATTCTCCCATGATTCTTGGTCTTACCTCATTGTCAACATCCCAGAGGAGCCTACAGATTATTGACTCATTTCTGCATATATCCCCCATCACATTCCCATGGGTTACACCAATCCCCTTTAGTCACTGTTGGTGGTTAATTGTTCCCATGATTATTTACTCATTACATCCCCATATAACTATGACTACAAGATACTATAACAATGTCCTACGAGTGGGTTAACATGAACCCCTATCATTATAATTCGGTTAATACCCCACTATTTATGAATTAAGCTGAAAGAAGCCCACGACTGGGGATGATTGATCTTCATAACCATCATTCCAGGGACCTCACAGTGAGATCATGAAAAAAAAAAACTCCAAAAAATCATCCAGAATTGATCCTCTCAACCCAAACTGGTCCCCTACATCCAGCATGGTTTCTGGTCAAAAAAAGGGGGAAAGGGATGATTGCCCATAGAAATAGTTGAGTTACCTATTAAAGATTCTAATTTTCCAGTTCGCAAACTGTTACTTTACCATAGTTTTCCAGAGAGTAACTCAAAATTTCATCTAAAAACATGATGAAATACTATAGTTGGATTGTTGCCATCAATTCAACTATGGTAAATTTGATGGATGAAATACTATAGTTGATGGATTTTTTCACCACGCGACATCTCGATGCCAAATCCAAAGGCATCTCCGACCGCATCGCCCAGCAGCAGCTCCACCAGTCGCTGCGCGTCGCGGTGCCGAGACCGCCGGGCGGCGCTCCGGCGCAGCCGCCGTTGGGCGGCGGTGGAGGCGAAGCACGGCACAGAGCTGGGGGAGGCCATTGCGGGAAGCTTTGGGGCCTTGGGGCCTGGATTTGGGGAGTGAAATTGGTGGAAAAGATAGGGTTTTTCTTGGAATGTGTATCTTTTTCAGTGGGGAAATTCGATGAAATTCGAGGATTTTAGGTGATCTAGCGTTTTTGTTGAATGAATTTTGGGAAGAGCAAGGACATTGAACCAACACAAGCAGATTTTTGAGCATCCAAATGGGGTACAAGTTATACCCAGTATAGCACCAAAAAATTCGGAGCCTGAAAAGGTTGGAGTTTTTTGTTGGGGCATCGAAGATGGTTTGCCCTAAATTCAGCGTACACCTGTTACACCCAAATCCATTAGTGCTACATTTGGGCTTTGATACAGCATCCTGCATTGATTTTTAGATCAGCTTGGACCAGACAACAAGTCTGCGCAGAGCCATCCCATGACTCATCCCTAGCCTATAACATTTCTATGGCATTCCAAATCATGGCAGATTTTGATTGCAACCTATAGTCAGCATGTTCAAATCCAAAGTCACAGCTCTCCAACGGTGGCACCCAAAGGCTCGGGTTTCCCCGTTTACCGCGAGGTCTATATATTGACTTAAGAGTGACTTTGTGATGACCATGATTTAAAAGTCTCCCACCTCTGGATGGATCCACCGATCATCGGCTGGTTTCTACGTCCAGCTTGAACATGACCCCAGGATTTGGGATATAATACCATCTGTTTGTATTTACATCATATTTATAAACGATCTCCCATGGATAGTTGAAACCTCGCTGTTGCTTCTCCCCCCAGGTCAAAGCACGGGGCACTTCCGAGGGAAAAAAATATGACCATCTTACCATTCGTTGTGTATATAGATAAGTTTTCGGTTGGCATTCTTCCCATTCCGATGATTACTCATCTATATATATATATCTCTCTCTCTATAAGTCTATATATATATATACGTAACGTGAAAACTCCTGCAAGACGCTTGACGCTGTTGTTTTTGAAACGAGGATAGCAACCACTAACCTTGATGACTTAAGAAAACAAATCTTTAAAAAAAAAACACACACAAAAAAAAAAAAACTTTGGGATTTCCTAGGTTATTTACTATAGTATGCTCATCCACTGGGTTCCAGATGAGGCCCTGCCGCTCACCACCTCCGTTCCCCTCCCAGCTCCGTCAGACCGCCCGAGGGAGTCATCACCTGCTGTAGGCTGTAGGACGGTGGGTGACATGGACGGTTTTGCCCCTGTCTGTGGTGAAAGGCATAGCAAGTACGGCAAGTATGGTTTAGTTTACTACAGCCATTCTGTCTCCATTATCAGTTCTGGGGATGGCAATCGGAAATCGGGGTGTAAAACGCAGCGGTTCTGGATGAACCTCTCTTCAGGGGAAAGCTAATATGTGAAGAAATCCACCACAGTTCCACCTGGGTCTTTGGGGAGTGTTTACAATAGAAGGTCAAGCAATGGAGTACAGGCTGTTGATCGGTGCAGCGATGACAATCAAGGTTTGCTTCCTGGATCTTCCTGGTGGATGTTCCACATAGCAACGAAACCGTATCACCTATGAGATAAGGGTTCCAGAGTGCCACTGCCAAGCGGCTTCCAGCCTCCCAAATGTTCACCAAGTTCAATTCTTTCTCCAATTCACATCAAATATCATCAAATGGGGATATCATGGGATATTCCAATCCACATCAAATGGAGATATCATGGGATATCCCCAAAAAATCTAGCTATCTCTCTAGAAAAAGATGGATGGCCCAAGGGGCTCAAATCAAGCCATCAAGCCATGATTTCTCCCTGGGCTCCCCAGAGTCGCCGGGCCTTGTCTAAAACGATCCCCAGCACGATGGTGGTCGCACCAACGTACTGCAGGATATGGTACTGCTTTCGCAGCAGCAGCACCTGCCAAGGCCGGTGCCTCTTTAGTTCGGTTGGTGCCAGGTGCGCTAGAAATTTTACCCGCCATCATTGAAGAATAGTGAGAACAGTCATGATGATGGTGATATTGATGATATTGATGATGGTGATATTGATGATATTGATGATATTGATGATATTGATGATATTGATGATATTGATGATGGTGATATTGATGAGATTGATGATATTGATGATATTGATGATATTGATGATATGGAGGAGGAGGAGGAAGGGGCTCATCATCATCTGCTGCCGCTGGGCGCCCCGGACAGACAACAGCATGGTCACCGGGATCACAGCCTGCGACAAAGGATCCGTGGTCTGCAGACCTGTAGCAACCCCCAACACCTAAAAAGCAAAAAGAAAATGGATGAAAATGGTAAAGTCCAATTCTAAAGAAAGACATCCAAATCTCCAAAAACTGCGACTTTTGGGACTTTTGGGTGGTTTATACATCTATGACAGTATGACATTTTTATAAGCATTGTGGTCTAAATAGGCTTCCCGGATTTACTGTGTAAGAATCCTGGTCTGTGTACTTCGGGGCGTGCCATTCTGCCAATGATCACCTCGATGGGGTACCCCTCCCAATGAATCAAGCAGGGTTTACAGTCTTACCCTTGTACAGACACGTGAAGAATTCTTCTAGTGGTATTCAGAAGTTGCGTAGGCAAGTTGTGTAACACTAAGTATCCTTGTATGACATGTCTACTACTTCTTTCCATATCACTGGAATCACGGAAAGTGAAAATATCATCAAATATCTAACTCATTTGTGCGGAAATAATTATAGAGAGAGAGAGAGGGAGAATGAAAAAAGGAAAACAATCCCCTGGAACCCCAGTGGAATATGGATCTATTTGCTTTTGGGATCCCAGGTCGCTTCATTGCAAGAGGCGTGGGATTTTTTCAGGGTGATCCCCAAGTCATCACCATTTTTTGATGGGTGCGACTGCAAAACCCATCCCCGGTCGTGGTAGTTCTTCATGGCACAATGGCTTTCCCACACTAAACCATCCATCGTTTCTGACTGCCTGGCCCATGAGCACTTGCAACGTGCCGGAGGTGTGAACGCCTCCTAGCACCTGGGGACCAGAAATGGATGCCTTTGTGGAGGTATCGTTCGGTGAATTATGAGCCAGATTCTTTAGGGGGCTGTTTCTGGTTATAATATATGTTATAATAGTTATAAATTATAATAATCATAAACCAATCATAGACATCCAACCATATCATAAACCATCTAAAGTGAATCAAGGCTATTTCACGATGATTCCAATCCTAACCGTCAATGCAGTGACGTCACAGTGAGGTTGTTCAATTTGATCCAGAAATCTATGGTTGGATAGGGTTCTAAGAGCCTAAGCAACTGACAAAATTCCAAGGTGTTCCCAAGATGGTCCTCTTAACATTTATACTGCACCCACCTGAAACGTTTGGTGATTTCGGTATAAGTCCCTTCCTAACCATCAACTACAACGACGTCGTGTCTTGGTGACGCCGTTTTCACTTCACAAATGAGTTGGATCGGTGAAAACCAACCAACTTAAAGCGACGTGGGGTTGAAACAAAATATGAGGCATGAAGCCACAGTGAAATATGTTTTAATGCGGTTTCTTGGTACCTTTGTTAAAGGCTATCTTTGTATCTTTGCTGGCGAAATTCAGGGATTTGTCGATTCACGCGCCACATTTTATCCCTGAAATTTCACAGCTTTCACCGTGGCAACAAAATCCATGGGCCAAGAGGCCATGAAAGTCCCAGACAGGCCATCGAAGACCCCCATGATCGCGAATTTCTTCACCTAACGAGGCTTTCGTTTTTTCGATCGCTAAGTTTATATAACTCGGTGAATTAACTAAGGTGTATGGTACAATGCGGTGAGGATGGGTCAAGCCCTTGGGTACATATCATCCCTAGTAAACAATACATGTATATTTCCAACTACTTTTTTCACATGGAGGTTTCCTGAAATAGGGGTACCCCCAAATCATCCATTTTAATGGAATTTTCCCTCATAAACCATCCATTTTGGGGATCCCCCGTTTATGGAAAACCCATGAAAACCCCATATGTACTGATGAGTCCCCCATCATTTTTCTTCGGAACGTAGTGCGATGTCACGTCCTGTGGTTGGACCGTTCCTCGAATTGAAGCAACCCTGGCTTGATCAAGCTCCACTGTCTTTTCGGAAGTCCATCCTGGCCATTGGCAATTCCATTTCCTTAAACCTTTTGGGCAGAGTATACTCGCCCATCCTCATTTTATCCAGGTAACCCGGTAACCCCGGGAACGTAACGTTGCTGCTTTTTCAGGGCTCAGCCTTGAGGATCGGTGACATGTCCGGACACTGAGGTCGAAACCAGCTTGACATCAGCCTGGCCATCCCACAATGAACTGGGTAAGAATCCCAACTGGGTAAGATCAATGGATTGGTTTAAGGGAAAATCTACAGGAAACCATGGTTTTTACCATCAAATATAGAGTTTTCCTGCAAATTTTCCCATCATCCAATTCTATGATAAGAGGATGAAAATTGACCCAGCTTCACAATCCAACTGCAGCTTCCAGGGTTCCAGGGTTTCGTTCCGCTTTTCAGGGCCGACAAAAAACAGCACAGCACTCAAAAGACCCAGAGACTGAAACCCAAACCGTCACTGCTGGTGGGCAAAAATATGATTTGCATGTTTTATATATTTCAAAACATCCATGGGGTTACAACGACATTTCACTAGAGTCCACTAGGCTTGTGGCAACAGGCCTATCTTTGTGGTTGGTGATCCTCCAAGCACCCATCCCACCAGAAAGCATCAGGGATTTTCACATATTTCGGACCTTTCACATATTTCGGTGTTTTTGATATTTTTGATATCAGGATGGGATTAGTGACAGGCAGAAAATCCCTGACTTGTCCTTTCATTGCAAGGCTACTTTTCTAGAAAGTTGAGGTCAAGCGCACTGAGGACTGTGAAACCGACTGGATCCCTGCAGAATTACCGTGAAGCTGGACAGGAACAAACCATAAAATCACTGCTGAGTTGTTGTTGGTGTGGATTTATTGCTGTGGAATCATGAAATCATTGGATTTAAGAAGGTGATTTCATCATCGATCCCATCGATCCCATCCCCAAAAATTCGAGGGATGGAATCGAGGGAACCAGTTCTCCCTGAGGCGCGCCTGTTGCGTGATGCCAGTGCCAGCCATGCATGCGAAAAAGGGCACGTAGATCATTGTCGACAACTGCGTCAAGTACCAACCTGCCGATGGCGGTCGACCTATAGTAGGTGAATTGATCCCAAAAATGGGAGGCATCCAAAAAACGATGAAGTGTATTACTGTATCATCATCCTCTCTCTTAAAACAGTTTTGGAATATGGCAACCCCCATCATCACTATTCAGGTAAGATTTTACTTTTCTATCTTTTGGCGGTATTTCGATATCTCATTTGCTGGCACCATGCCATTTTTACTTAAGCACTGGTTGACTTCCCGTTGACTTCCCGTGCATCTATCGGACAAACCACGTTCTGCCCCCTGTTGCGCACCGTAGTTGGGCATCGCATTGGTCATGCGTTTGAAAAAAACCTGGGGGCTGCTGTGCTGCTCAGCCCAGACACAGAATACGAAGCCAGAGGGTACAACCCTAAAATATACAACTGGAAAAAAAGGTGATTGATTTGGGGCCCAGCAGAAGATTGCAGGCTTCAGTTTTCATTTTCATCCAGAACCATAACGAGTGTGACAGTGTGACCTCAATGCATCACTCAGGGCTGCAATGAAAATCAGAAGTTCTTCATGGGAGATTCGAGACAATTTAATCCCAGAGGTGGTGTGATGCGTTTTTTTTCCTGGATAAACTCTGGGCACAAACCCTTTGCACAAACAGTATGCAAAACATGTTTCTGAAAAAAATCCTGATTTATGTTTTTTCTGCATTTTTGGTGAGAACCTCTGCCAACCCCAAAACCAACTGGTGGGTTGAAAACCTTGAGACCAGGGTTCCCATGTTTGACAAATTCAAAGCTGCCATTAAGCTAACTAATTAGCATGGATGAGTTGCGCACTCCGAAGAATTCTTTTTCTAAGACCACAAACTCGGATATTCTCCCATAAATATCCATAGATCATCAAACAGTTTATATAAACTTCAATTTTTTATGATCGCCAGAAATATCGCGTTTTACCAACTGCTTTGAATGATGGATAAGGTTTTTCCTGCACCCCTCACTGGGTGCCAGCAGTATTCCCCACCGATGCGATCAAGAGAAGTACCTGCCGTGATGCCCCATCAAATCATCCATTGTTGGTGGTTAGGGTTTGTTCAGAAGAAAAACCGCTTTAGAAACCCGTTTTGCCGAAAAAAAACATCTGTTGGTGGCGCACCCCCAAACCCAAATGATACATGTTTTGCCTGTCACCCAGCCAGGCCGCCGCGATCAGTGTCAATTTTCAACGTGTCGAAAATTCACTACCAAATGGAGATGGTTTTGAATGGAGAAACAATAACCAGGAAATTTCGAGAAAAATAACAAACCAAATATTGATGACACATGTTAAAAACCGGGAATTATAGGATCTTGAACCACAAGATCCCAGATCCGTAGATTCGTTGAATTGGTTGATCAACTCATACGTGTCTCATACGTGTCCATGGCATTGAACCAAGTTTTTCGTGAATGTTTAATGGATGAATGTTCGGCGCTTTGCAAATGAAGTTGAAGAAAACTGAACACGGTACATCCCTGACTCAACAACAATCTAATTTCCTTGTTTCTGCTCTTGCGGGGCCCAAAAAACTGTTACCGAACACAGCCGTTCACGCAGCGGCGGACCGTGTACAGCATCAGCTGCCACTTTCGCAACCACCAATCCATCAATGGCGTGTTGCGTTGTTTGCTCATGGGTTCCTGCCAGTGCCGTTGGGCACATAATGCATTGCCATGGCCAAGCAAAAAAATATTCAAAGCAAAAAACAGAATGAAAATAGTCCACAGGGCACGGCCAAACATTATCGGCCCAACAAAAATAACAAATTGCGAACGTTTTATTTTCCATACTTTACCAATTTGCAAATGCGAAATAGGCGTAGAGTTTCGTCCATTGTTTTTCATACAGGCATCCCACACCCCACACCACAAAACAAAACAGTACTTTGGATAATTTACATACCCTATCTGTGCCAAAACCATTGAACTGTTGAAATTCGGTGTGCCAAACTATTCATGTAGATGTTTGTTGTTCAAAATATTTTGCTAACCGTGATCAATCATTTTAAGGATCGCCCTTAATTTGTTTCAAACAATTTTAATAAAGTACACTCATTGAACCGTCTTAACGCAAATTAAATTATGTTGAATCGGGTTAAACCACCTCAGGCTGTCTTAAATCCCGTGGGATCATGTTGAATCATCATGGGTCATTTTAACCAATCATTGATAACTACCTTTTGAAATCATCGTAATCTGCTTTCCTAAATCACACTAAATTATTCTTAGTCAACTTGAATCATCTGAGAACCATCTGGGATCACCTTCAAAAATTGTAATTCAATCATCGCCAATGGGTCAAAACATCTCAACCATGTTGAATCGTCCTACTTCATTTTCAAAACATTTTGACGGATGTTGCATCACCTTTCATCCCTTTGGACCGTCCTACGCTGAGTCAAATTTCATCTAGTAACATCTTCAAATACCCTGAGTCATTTGACATGATTTTACACAATCTTTTTCTCGTTTGGAATCATGTTGAATCACCTAAGGGCTGCCCTTACCCTCTGGTAAACTAACATAGCTATGGAAAATCACCATTTTCAATGGGAAAATCCACTATAAATCACCATTTTCAATAGCTATGTTAGTCATAACCAGAGGGTAGGTTGCAGATTTTCATCATTTTCACCCGCACACCTCCACCTCTTGCGGCTGCCGCAACAGCGGCGACGCCAAGGTTTCGGACGGCGCCTGGCCATCGCCCATGGTGCCTGGCAGACGTCGAAAAAACGGGGAAAAATATGGAAAAATAAAAATCTAATGGAAAATTGTGGAAACCGATTTTGGAAAAATGTGCGTTTCGTAGGATTTAAATGAAAATCGGTGTGGGTTGCGATACGATTTTGACAAAAAATATGTGAAAATGATTGTTTCAATTACGTTTCAACGGGTATGCTTTTGATGGGACCTCATGATTTGATGGGGACAATGATATTTCTAATGAAAGTACGGCAAGTTCAAAAAAAATGTCAACTGCAAAAACGTGTGTGAAGATTGATACATTAACGTCAATGGTAGCTAGTTCGCAACGGGAACTCTGCCTGTTTTTATGGTGTAAATAAAATTAAATAAAGAGGAAAAAAATGTGTAATACGGAAACAATTTCATGAAAAAAAAATATGGACATATCCTGCAACACTTTACACTTCAACGCAAGACATGCAGCTGGAACCAACAATTTTGAATTTATATAAGTTCCGACATACTTGTGTTTTCAAGCATGCGTATATTTCGCTAACATATTTCATAAAGCAGTGACACTATGATATACCATTGCCTTTAAAAAAAAAATCAATGTCCACCATGAAACTAATTGCAGTTTCCAAGAAGTTGACCGATTGACCGTAAGCGCCTAACCAATCACAATTATTTATACATGTTGGAAAGTGTTTGATGACGACTATATCCATGTATCGCTAGGAGGCTGCCATAGGCCAGTGCCACGTGCGATCCACGGCGCCTCCACCAGACTCTCCGGCTTGGACTGCAACCGTCAAAGGATTAGGGTCGCAGCCACGTGGCTCTACACCGGACTGCGTGCCGAAATGCCGACAGAAGCGAACATGTGAAACTCATTCTGCCATTTCACCGTCCCAAACCACAAACGGAAACCGTCGATCAAGAAGCAAACAACAGATGTCCAGTTGTGCGCATTGGGTTCGTCCGTCACCGAGTCTCAAGCGGTCGATTCAACAAGTTTCAAGGCAGACACAGGAGGCAACACAGTCAAACGTGGTTTTGTTTCATGGGCGGGAGAATTGTTTTCCGTGTGGATGGGGGGTAAGTGGATGAGAACTGGAAAGCTGGGACGTTGGGAGGGCGCCCTCTCTGACCCTTTTGCTGCGATGCATGAAGGAAAATATCCTTTTGTGAAAGGCATGTGGCATGCCTAACACATGGTTTGACCACAGCCCACATACAACCCCGCCCAGGCTTGCAGATGAGTTTCCGTATCCACGGCACCTACATTCGCAACGAGAAAGGGATGAAAATTATTGCTGATATTGAACTCGCACAAGCGGTCGAGAATTGCACACACTCAGCAAGCTGCACTACCGCGCTTGGTTACCTCCGTGGGCGTGGAAAACCCTTGGCCAAAACACAGTCAAGAAGGAACACTACACCTTGAAGGTTAAAACAAACGTGTTACATGTTTTCAATTTTGCCAATTTTGCTTGACGAACGTTTGCATTCCCAGCGGGCGCTGAATCAAAATTATCGTTGCTTTCGTGTGTAAGGTAAGATATCGCCTATATTTGGTACTAATCAGAAATATTACCTATATTTGGTACTAATCACAAATATTACACACAACTGGGCATATGTATCTACTCTTGTCTACGACACGCTCTCACATCAAAGCCGTCCCGCAAGCCGGTACCCGCATCACTTAGGGCAACACCAAACGCATCACTTCAAGCAACATCCAGAAATCACACGTTCCTCACACTTTGGACGCTCACTTTGGGCAACACGGAAAACATCGTTCTTATCATCTAATTTCTAGACTGAACCATTTAGGGATTGGATGGGGGGGTGGAGAAGGATCATTCTACTTACATCATTACTCGACTCAGCCATTTAAGGTTTGGTTGCGGGGGTCGGGAGGGATCATTCTACTTACATCATTGCTTGACTCCGCCATTTAGGGTTTGGTTGGGGGGGTCGGGAAGGATCATTCTACTTACATCATTACCTGACTCAGCCATTTAGGGCTTAATTGGTGGGGTGGGGGGGGATCATTCTACTTGCTTCATTACTTGACTCAGCCATTTAAGGTTTGGTTGGAGGGGGTGGGGAGGGATCATTTTACTTACATCATTACTTGACTTAGCCATTTAAGGTTTTGGTTGCAGAGGGGGATCATTATACTTACTTCATTACATGACTCAGCCATTTAAGGTTTGGCTGGGGGGTGGGGAGGGATCATTGTACTTACATCATTACTTGATTCACCCATTTAAAGTTTGGTCGGGGGGGATCATTCTACTTACATCATTACTTGACTCATCCATTTAGGGTTTGGTTGGGGGGGCGGGGACGGATCCGCTTGGAAAACCGCTCACTTGTAGCATGCGACTGTTTGCTCACATCACCTTTTGCAAGATGGCGGATGGATGATGGGGGTGGGGGCGAGGTGTGGGGGGGGTGTGTGAAGATGTCCTTTTGCTCTTGGCACAAAAACATATATGCTACACTATGAGCCGATCTTCTCCTGCACCTGTACACCAACATGATTTCACGCTATCACATCTTCTCTTGACGCTATCATCATCATGATAACGATGAAGATGAAAA